CCAACCCCTTTCTCTCTTTCTCTCCTCCCCCCTGCCTCACCATCTCCTTTCTCTCCTCTCTTGCCATCATTCACAACAGCTGGGGCCCTCTGGTTGACTGCACGCTCCTACTCTCTCCTCTGCCTTCTCCCCCTCTCCTTTGTGCAGATCACAGGCATGGCGGAGCACATGCCGCCATTCACAACAGGAGGAGCCTTCTGGTTTAAAGACCTCACTACACCCGACCCCACCTACATGCTCTCACATCCTCGCCCCTTCTCTCCTCCCCACTCCACTCCCGCTACTCCCTTGATCAGATCACAGGCATGGCGGAGCACATTCCATCATTCACAACAGGAGGAGCTTTCTGGTTCACTTGACAACAGTACACCCGACCCTTCCTCATGCTTCTCCCCTCCTCTCTCCCCCTTCACTTCACTTCTCTCAGATCACAGGCATGGCGGAGCACATTCCATCATTCACAACAGGAGGAGCTTTCTGGTTGGCTGCACGCACCTACTCTCTCCTCTTCCTTCTCTCCCTCTCCTTCGTGCAGATCACAGGCATGGCAGAGCACATGCCATCGTTCGCAACAGGTGGGGCCCCTCTGGTTCACCGACCTCACTACACCCAACCCCACCCCTGTTCCGTCCTTCCCCCCCTCCCCTCCCTGTCCTCCCTCCCCTTCTCCCCATCCTCTTCATCAGATCACAGGCATGGCAGAGCACATGCCATCATTTGCAACGGGTGGTGCTTTCTGGTTCACCGACCTCAGTACACCCGACCCCACCTACATGCTGCCGCTCTTATCCTCTGCTGGCATCCTGGCAGCTGTTGAGGTGAGTCCATATCTCACACCTCTTCTACTTCTCCTCACCTCACCCCACTCATCTCACCACACCCGACCCCACATACATGCTGCCGCTCCTATCCTCAGCTGGTATTCTGACTGCTGTGGAGGTGAGTCCATATCTCAGCAACAGCTGGTGCTCTCTGGTTCACCGATCTCAGCAACAGCTGGTGCTCTCTGGTTCACCGATCTCAGCAACAGCTGGTGCTCTCTGGTTCACCGATCTCAGCAACAGCTGGTGCTCTCTGGTTCACCGATCTCAGCAACAGCTGGTGCTCTCTGGTTCACCGATCTCAGCAACAGCTGGTGCTCTCTGGTTCACCGATCTCAGCAACAGCTGGTGCTCTCTGGTTCACCGATCTCAGCAACAGCTGGTGCTCTCTGGTTCACCGATCTCAGCAACAGCTGGTACACCTGATCCCACCTACATGCTGCCGCTCTTATCCTCTGCCGGCATTCTGGCACCTGTGGAGGTATGTCATCCGACCTCACCTGACCTCATTTGACCTCACTGCACCTCACCACACCACAGTACACCGGACCTCACCTACATGCTGCCGCTCCTATCCTCTGCTGGCATTCTTGCAGCTGTTGAGGTGAGTCCATATCTCACACCTCTTCTACTTCACCTCACCTCACCCCACCTCATTCCAGCTGAACGCGGCAGAGGGCATGGAGGGAGCACCCAATGCAGCGCAGATGAAGTGGTTCATGAGAGGGCTTGCTGCTGTGTCCCCTCTTGCATCCCCCATCTCCCCGCCCCACACCCACCTCCCCCCTCTGTTGCAATGTTCGATTCCAGCTGAACGCGGCAGAGGCATGGAGGGAGCACCCAATGCAGCGCAGATGAAGTGGTTCATGAGAGGGCTTGCTGCTGTGTCCCCTCTTGCATCCCCCATCTCCCCGCCCCACACCCACCTCCCCCCTCTGTTGCAATGTTCGATTCCAGCTGAACGCGGCAGAGGGCATGGAGGGAGCACCCAATGCAGCGCAGATGAAGTGGTTCATGAGAGGGCTTGCTGCTGTGTCCCCTCTTGCATCCCCCATCTCCCCGCCCCACACCCACCTCCCCCCTCTGTTGCAATGTTCGATTCCAGCTGAACGCGGCAGAGGGCATGGAGGGAGCACCCAATGCAGCGCAGATGAAGTGGTTCATGAGAGGGCTTGCTGCTGTGTCCCCTCTTGCATCCCCCATCTCCCCGCCCCACACCCACCTCCCCCCTCTGTTGCAATGTTCGATTCCAGCTGAACGCGGCAGAGGGCATGGAGGGAGCACCCAATGCAGCGCAGATGAAGTGGTTCATGAGAGGGCTTGCTGCTGTGTCCCCTCTTGCATCCCCCATCTCCCCGCCCCACACCCACCTCCCCCCTCTGTTGCAATGTTCGATTCCAGCTGAACGCGGCAGAGGGCATGGAGGGAGCACCCAATGCAGCGCAGATGAAGTGGTTCATGAGAGGGCTTGCTGCTGTGTCCCCTCTTGCATCCCCCATCTCCCCGCCCCACACCCACCTCCCCCCTCTGTTGCAATGTTCGATTCCAGCTGAACGCGGCAGAGGGCATGGAGGGAGCACCCAATGCAGCGCAGATGAAGTGGTTCATGCGAGGGCTTGCTGTGACCATGGTGCCGCTTACTGTCACCTTCCCCAAGGTAGTGCACTGCCACTCTGTCACATTACTTACTGTCACGTTGTTACTTACTGTCACCTCGAATTGAAAGCGGCACAGATGAAGTGGTTTATGAGAGGACTAGCTGTGTCCATGGTGCCGCTTACAGTAACGTTCCCCAAGGTAGCTTTCACTCTCTCTGTCACATTCCTTAAGCCAACTCATTCTGAGGCGCCTCTAAGGCAACTGAGTTGGTTCACGCAAGGGCTTGCTGTGACCATGGTGCCGCTTACTGTCACCTTCCCCAAGGTAGCTTCCTCTCACTCTGTCACGCTCCTTGCTGTCACATTCCATAAGGCAACTTGTTTTGAGGCGCCTCTGAGGTATTACATCACATTACTTACTGTCACATTACTTACTGTCACAATACTTACTGTCACAATACTTACTGTCACATTACTTACATCACATCACATTACGTACTGTCACGTTCCCGAAGCTAACTCATGTCCGCCTGCGTACTTTTGCATTTGAACAAGGAAACGAGGTGTTGTTTGTTTGCAGCGTGCTTTTTTTCTTCAATGCGTTGGTGTTTTCCATCTTAAACTCCTACCCGCCTTTTGTATGGCTTTTTCTGCCGCAGGCTGTGTTCTGCTACTGGATCACCACCAACGCCTTCTCTCTTGTCCAGGGCCTCGGTACGTGTTTCGTTATTTCTAAAATATTGTAGTGTTGTTTGAATTTTAAAACCATAAGTACACCTCAGTTCCTCCATGAAATATGCCTGCTTCTTGTGAACTTTTCGGTGCCTGATGCCATCCCTAATTGCCATAGCATAATTCCTCATTACCCAGTTTCCCTGCCATCTCTTATAGTCACATTGTTTCCCTAATTTCTCTGCCCATCGGTTGTCAGCATTTAAGCGGCCTGGGGTGCGAAAGGCTCTTGGAATCCCTATGATTAAGCCTCCGTCGCCTGATGCGCCTCCCGGAAGTGCTTCTTTGGGATTACCGGTGACGCAAGCGTCTGCTTTACCACCAAAAGCAGCTTCAACAACAAGAGGGAACACAAGGAGACCACCTTCAAAACGGAGATCAAGGTGATTCGAAATAGAAATGACTGCTGATCATGTTTCATGTGGGCTGTAGAGAAGGTAATATTGTTGACATACATTTGTTGCGTGTTATGGCATTTATCGTGGATCACTGCCGAAATTGATCGTATAGCGGGGTGGGCCACCTGGATGTCCTGCTCTCGATATTCTTGGCTGCCACGTCATCACGATACCTTTCCCTCTCTTGCGCCGAGCCCGAGGATGATCTATCTAGCGAAGCAGGACATGTTTTAAGAGTCGTGTTGAGAATGAAACCGAGGCAAATTGCACGATGGCCACAAATTCCTAAGAGTGGTCTTTACTTGCTTTCCGAAACCTCAACGAGTGTACCCAAGTGCGAAGTCCAATTCCGAACATTGCCTGAGAGACTTTTTGATCAAGAACTTCTCGGCAGTAACTTGGAGTTCCCAAGGTGATTCTCCTCTACCCCAGCCTTGCGGGGAGCGACTTCGTACGTATTTGTGAGAATCCGCAGGCTTTTCAAGCACTCCCTGAGTAGAGATCCATTTTATGAGGCTTGCAATAGAGCAGGCCGGTCAATTTTTCATTACGAGCGGCATCAGCAGTCCATTCGTACCGCTTTTATCATTGGTGAAGACAATTAGCTACTAACCACTTCAATTATTCCGCTGATAAAGGAAATAAGCGCTAGAAACGTCAGGACCATCTACAATAAGCTATTCGCCAAGTCTTAGTGAAGTCTTAGTGAATACATCCAGTGACACGTTCTTCGTTACTGAAGATTTTGCTGAGAATGGCATTGCTAAGAGTTCCCAGCTTGCAACTGCGGCTAAACGCCAGCCCGTCGTTACAATGCGTAAGTTCTTCAAAGTTTAAGAGTTGCCTTTTCTCTACTCCTTTTTTGATTCACACATGTAGCTACTACTAGCAGCTTTGGTTACACCTTTGCTTTACATTGTGAGTCAGTAGTTTATTGGGCGGACGTCGACCGCGTTAGGGGGGTGCTTGCTAGGTGAGACAGCTTCGCTCACTATTGCTTCAATAAGCTCCGTCCGAATATTCCCCTATTTTCAGTCACGCAGACGGCCCTCGTCTTTGTCACGCCTTTCTATAATCACATGCCAACTGGGCGGTCCAAACGAAGGCGGGGAGCCCGTCGTGGCTCGGCCGTTCGAGGCTGAGACGGAGGCTCGGGCACAAGCCAGACTCGCAGCTTCGGATCCGAACCGACGATACCAGGTGCGAACAGCAGCGCACGGCCTACAAACGACAGTACCCAGTCCTATTTCTGTGTGTTGATAGTGCAATGTCAAATGAGTATAATGATCTAGATTATTGGTGCCTTCTCATTGTAATTACAGACAAAATCACATTCTCAAAACCACCACTCCCAACCACTCCCGACCGCTGCAGGAGATGATGAAACGGAGGGAGGAGAGCCGACAACAGACCATGCGAGAATACGGTGATGTGAGTCACTCTTGGAAGCGTGAGTCATGTTCGTTTCAAATTCGTAAGAGACACCCTCAACTTGAGCCGAATCCATTACATTCTTTTCGAGTCACACTTGGAAGCGCGAGTCGCTTTCATTTCTGCCTCCCCCGACCTCCTTAGTTTCCCCACTTTCCAAATCATCCGCCCGTTTTTTCCTGTACCAGCTGAAGAAGCAGCTGTCGCAGACGGCCATAGGGGTGGGGGCTGCAGGCACGCTCTACTTCTTTCCCCAACCTCCTCCGTTTCCCCTCTTTCCAATTCCACCTCGCCTTTTCCCTGTACCAGCTGAAGAAGCAGCTGTCGCAGACGGCTATAGGAGTGGGGGCTGCAGGCACGCTCTACTGCTTCCTCGGGATCTCCATTCAGGTGAGAAGGTGTGAGGGTGTTTGGGAGAGTGTGTGCTTGCTGTGAGTGTTGGCAAGTGAGTTTGGGGGTGTTTTGGCGAGTGCTTGTTTGGGAGATTGTATGAGTACGAGTGCGTGTGTATGCGTGTGCTTAATATGAGGGTTAAGCGGAAAGCGAGTGTGTGTGTGTGTGAGTGTGGTGAGTGCGGAAAGCGGATGCCCGACCTCCGTGAGTGTAAGTGCGAGCTTCACGAAGTAGTTTTGCTTATCACGAGTTGGGCTCAACCAGGTTTCAAAACGTCTCTATTGAACAACCCCCCCACCCCCCTCGCCCTGCCCGTCTCCCTCCACCGCCCCCCCCCAAAAAAGAATCAATAAAGAAAAATGATTCATCACAAAAACATAACTTCAAGCCTTACCCCTCCCTTGTTCTGCTCACTCACCATGTCCCATCCACACCACAGACTGCCATCAGCTATGCCATCGGAAGTGCTGCCAGGTATTTCTGACTGGGCAGTGATGGTGTGGGGAGGGGAAAGAGGCGAGAGTGGTAAGGGATGTGGGGGAGGGAAGGAGGGGCGAGAGAGGAGAGGTGACAGTGTCAGCGTGTTGGTTGTCGCTTGAGGGTTTCGCTTGCCGATTGAGGGTTTAGGATATCGCTCCAGGGTTTTAAATGTAGCTTTGATATCTGGGTGTAGTTTCAGGGAGCTGGGTGTTGAGTTTTTTTTCAGGGTTTTCTGTGTCGCTTGAGGTTTTTGAGTGCCCATTTTCTCCTGTCTCCTTTCTCGCATTATCCCTAATTGTTTCCTCCGCCTTGGCCCCCACCGTCCGTCTCCCACTGCACCGACCAACCTTCCACCCTTCTCCCCTTGCCCCCCATCGCCCTTCTCCCCATTTCACCCTACCAATCTTCTGACCTTCTCCTCTTTCCCCCCTACCGTCCTTCTCCCCATTGCACTGACCAACCTTCCACTCTTCTCCCCTTGCCCCCCACCTCCCTTCTCCCCACTGCACCCTACCAAGCTTCCACGCTTCTCCCCTTTCTCCCCTACCTACTGCCCTTCTCCTCGTTCTCCAAATCGGCCTTCTTTTCAACTCACCTATGGCCCTTCTCCCCATTTCTCCATATCGCCCTTATCCCAATCCCCCCCTCGCCCCCTTCAGCTGTCTCTACCTGCTGCTTCTGTTCAACGACGCTGACACCGTCACCCCACAGGACCTGCCTGCCTTTCTCACCTCTATTACCCTTCTCCCCATCTCCTCCTATCCCCCTTTTCCCTTCTCCCCCACAACAACGCAGTTGTCTCTACCTGCTACTGCTTTTCAACGACGCTGACACCATCACCCCACAGGACCTCCCTCCTGCCTTTCTCATCGACCGGAGCAAGCCCAAGAGGTGAGACGCTGTGTGAAATGGTGAGAGGGGGTGAGAGGGGATGGGATGGGGTTTGACGGGGTGAGATGGGTTGAGGTGACAGCTTAGCAATGGTTGATTCGCCTCAGAAGCTGCTGCAGGGAGCACAGCTCGTCGTCTCCCCTCACCATCTCTGTTTCGCCCATGCCTGTCCCGTACCCACCATCATACACACCCTTCTTACCACTCTAACCACCCATCCCAAGAAGGGGCTGAATGACAGCCTGGCAACGGCTGATTCTTTTGAGACGTCTCAAATATCCCAAGAAGGGCTGAATGACAGCCTGGCAACGCCTGATTCGCCCCAAAATCTGCTGCAGGGGGCTCATCTCGCCCTCTCATCTCAACGTCATTGTTCCCCTACCCTCCACCGTACCCAACCCCTACCCATCCCTCCGCCTCTCAGGAAGGGGCTGGTTGACAGCCTGGCGACGGTCGATTCACCCCAGAAGCTGCTGCAGGGCGCACAGCTTGCCCTCTCCTCCGTGTCTGTGTCCGTCCCCCCACCCAATCCTCCTCTTCTCAGGAAGGGGCTGGTCGACAGTCTAGCAACAGTCGATTCACCCCAGAATCTGCTGCAGGGCGCACAGCTTGCCCTCTCATCTCACGGTCCCTCTCTCCCGCATGCTCACCTCCTACCCAACCTTCCCTCTCCCTGAAAAGGCCTGGTTGACAGCCTGAAAACAGTCGATTCCCCCGAGAAGCTGCTGCAGGGGGCTCAGCTCGCCCTCTCCTCGCGCTGCCTCTGTGTCCTCCTTATCCAACCCCAACCTAACCCCTACCCACCCCTTCCTTGTCTAACTCCCACCGCAGGAAAGGCCTGGTTGACAGCCTGAAGACGGTCGATTCGCCTGAGAAGCTGCTGCAGGGGGCTCAGCTGGCCCTCTCCTCGCGCCGCCTGCTCGTGCCTGCTGCCCTTGTGCTGCTCTGGGCCTTCTCTGTGCAATTCAGTGGCAGCGACCCCAACAGCTTGCACGTTGAGGTACGGTTCGAGGGGGAGTGGTGACGAGTGGTGGCGAGGGGTGGTGAGCGGTGGTGAGCGGTGATGAGTGATGTATGCAGGGGGCTCAGCCCTCGTGCTGCTCTGGGCCTTCTCCGTGCAATTCAGTGGCAGCGACCCCAACAGCTTGCACATCGAGGTGAGGAGGTTTGTGGAGTGGTGGTGAGTGGTGGCGAGTGGTGTATGCAGGGAGCACAGCTCGTCCTCTTCCTCTAGTGCCTGCTGCCCTCGTGCTGCTCTGGGCTTTCTCCATGCAATTCATTGGCAGCGACCCCAACAGCTTGCACATCGAGGTATGGTTGGAGGGGGAGTGGTAACGAGTGGTGGCAAGCGGTGGTGGACGGTGGTGAGCGGTGATGAGTGCTGTATGCAGGGGGCTCAGCTCGCCCCTTTCTCCTTGTGCCTGCTGCCCTTGTGCTGCTCTGGGCCTTCTCCGTGCAATTCAGTGGCAGCGACCCCAACAGCTTGCACATCGAGGTGAGGAGGCTTGGGAAGTGGTGGTGGGCGGTGTTGAGCAGTAGTGGGCGGTGGTGAGTGGTGGTGAGTACTGAATGCAGGGAGCACATCTTGCCCTTTGCTCGCCCTCTGCTCCCTTCTGCTCTCACCTTTCCTGTCTTGTACTGCTTTGACTTTTGAGTTGCCTCAAAGTCTTCGGATGCCATGCATGCAGTGCGCACTGCTTTTATACCTTTATCCCTTCCTACTCTTTGTCTTCCTTCCGCTCTCCATTTCCCCCTTTCCCTTGCCCATGTGTCTTATCATCCCTTCCCCTTGTTTCTTACGAAAACAGTTTGCGCCCCTCTTTATAGGCTTCCTCTCTTACAAGATCGCAGTGTTGCTTTTCACTGTCGAAGATGTTACCAAATAATGCTGGTCCAAGTTGCTACTACCAGTATTTGGCAATTTGTGATGCTTGCTGAGCTCACAGTAAAAGGGATACCTTTTTATTGTCTTTCCTAGTGCTTTACCAGGCTGCGCACCCGAGCATTGAATAAAGAGTGTTTAAGCGGCGCTCAAATTTGCCGTGGCCCGAATCTTGTAGCATCTCCCACATTGTTGCATGCCATGATGAGCTAGCAGCACCACAATGTGGTGCGAAATAAGAAATAATTATGGATCAAGGAACGCGAATGCCATTTAGTGAGGCTGCAATGTTCTGGGAATGCTAGTTGTACATGCGTGCATACGAGTTACGTAGACAGGTGTAAGGCAGGCTTTTAAGACCTTTTATTACACCCAGACATTGAGCAGCGGTGTACCTACAGTGACAGCTTTAGAGAGAGAGTGTCCATTCGTCTCAACTCCTTCAGCGCATCTCCACCCTCTCCCCTCTCCTCTTCTACTCCTACTCTTGCTCCTGCATCCTGTGATTCCCTCTTTACCCACACTTCCCTGGCTCCCCTCAATCTCACTTCTCTTGCTGCTGCTACAGCTGCCCCTGCTCCCCCTGCCCCCTGTTCACCCTCTGCCTCTTCTCCTCCCCTACTCCTCCTGCTCCCCCTGCTTCTCTTGCTCTCCCAAGCCTCCCTGCTCTTGCTGCTGCTACTGCTGCCCTCGCTCTCCCTGCTCTTGCTGCTGCTACAGCCGCCGCTGCTGATGCTCTTGCTGCTGTTGCCTTTGCCTCTGCTTCCCCTGCTCTTGCTGCTGCTACAGCTGCCTCTGCTGATGCTCTTTCTGCTGCTGCAGCAGCTGCCGCTGCTGATGCTCTTTCTGCTGCTGCAGCAGCTGCCTCTGCTGATGCTCTTGCTGCTGCTGCTGCTGCTGCTCCACCTCTGTTGACGCTCTTGCTTCTGCTGCTGCATCTGCTCTTGCTGATGCTCTTGCTGCTGTTGCTGCTGTCTCTACTCCTGCTGATGCCATTGCCATCCGGGCTGCCAGGCTCTTGGGGGGTACTGTCCTGGGAATTGCGGGAAATACACCCAGAGAAGCAGGGTTACTGCGAATACGCCCCATGGCACGTGCAGCACGGAACACAGCACTGGGCAGGTTGCATCTTGGAACCAAACGGAGTGGACTTGGCTCAGCAGCAGCGTCTGTAGCAGCAGCAGCTGTAACAGCAGAAGAAGCAGCTGTAGCAGCAGAAGCTGTAGCAGCAGCAGCTGTTGGAGCAGCAGCTGTAGTAGCAGCAGCTGTAGCAGCAGCAGCCGTAGCAAGGACAGGTGTAGAAGGTATAGCAGCTGCAGCAGCTGCAGCAGGTGTAGCAGGTCCAGCAGCTATAGCAGCAGCAGCAGGTGTAGCAGGTGTAGCAGGTATAGCAGCTATAGCAGCTATAGCAGTCGGGGACGTAGGAGTCGAGCGGGAGGCAAGGGCGCCTGGGGGAGGTGACAACTGGGGAAGGTCCATATCAGGCTCGAAGGGCGAGAGGGAGGAGGAAAGGGAGCGATGTGGGGTAACGAGCGAGGGTTCTTGGGAGCGAGAGGAGGGTTGGTCAAGGGTAGGAGATGAGGTGGGAGAGAGAGGGCAGGAGGTTGCACGGGGGGAATGCAGGGAGCGAGGGGAGGCTGTTGTTGGAGTGAGGATCGAAGAAAGGGTGGGGGGGGCAGGTGGCTTGGCTGCTTCCTGTTTCGGAGGCCGAACTTGGCTTTGACGCGTCTTGGATGTGCTTGCATGGGGTGTGACTGTAGCGAATGCTTTCGACGTGCTGTCCTGTTGGGTTGGTAACATGGTAACCAGGAAGTTTGTGCCGTCGTTGGCTCCGTCTTTACTGTATCCATTCGCACCTTGTTTCCTGCCCGCCTCTTGTACTGTACAATCTGGAGTGTCCTTGCTGAATGTCTTCGTAAGAACATCTTCATCTGTATTGCATGCCTCTTTAGTTACCTTATCAGAGCAGTGCATACCGGAACCAAACTCGGCAGCTGGCGGGATCAGCTCCCCGCGTGGGCGCGCGTCGGTGTGTTCCGCGCAGCCTGCGGACGCGTGATGATACTCCAGTATCTCTTCCTTCACACGTTTCTGCGGAGGCGCACTCATCTGATTGGGGGAAAATGGGGGGGAAGCGGAGCAGCGGAGAATTAGGGTTAGGATAAGCCCGACACCGGTAAGATTGAGTTTTGGCAGAACCCTAAAACTACTTATGTCGTCCTCTTAGTGCGATTCATTCGAAGCGCCTCAAAAGGCACTTACCGATTCGTTTTCGGGCGATTTTCGCTTCGACGAGCGCGGCAGCAGCGCGTCGTATTTCGATTTTAGCTCCGCGTGCTCCTCCGCCAAATTGCCCATTTCCCGCTTCGTCCGCTCATTTTCTTTCCGCAGTTCCGCCAGCTCCGCGTGCGCTTGCGCCAACTCCGCGCGCAGCCGCGCCAGCTCCCCCTCCCGCATCAACGTAGCGTGTTTCACGCGTCGGTTCTGAAACCAAACCGCGACCTGACGTGGCTTTAAGCGGAGCTGACTCGCCAGCTTTAGCCGCGTCTCGAGTTTGATTTCGCGCTCGATTTCCGTGAAATGCGACTCGAGAACTTGGACCTGCGAGGGCGTTAGGCGCAGCTTTGACTTCCGCATGATCTTGGTGGGCTTAGAAGAGGCGGGGGGGCTTTGTGCGGAAGCGGCGGGCGGAGAGGGGGAGGGGGAAGGGGAGCGGAAGGGGAAATTCGCGGCTCCGAGTTCGCAGCGGGGATCGCGGGGAGCGCCGTCACCTGGCCGACGCGATGACGACACGTGGAGCTTACGTGGACTATTGAAGGCCTCTTCCTCGGCGTCCTCGTCGTCTCTTCCCTCCTCCTCTCCCTCGTCGTCGTCCGACGAGTCGTTTTCGTCGCTAGCGCGCTGCAGATGCGCCGCTGGTTGCGCCGAGAAACGCGCCGCTGGTTGTGCCGAGAAACGCGCCTCCGGGGCCGCTGGTTTCAGAGATCCTAGCGGGATCCCGTTCTCCCTGTTGGTCGATTGTCTGGCAATGGCGGGAGAGTAGTATGAAGGAAGCATCGAATGCAATGTTAGCTTCATGCCGTATCCAGAATGCGGCAAATCGTCGCCGGGAGGTTTGCGAGATTCGTGAGGTTCGCCGCGATTGTTGCGAGAGTCGCGCGAGTCGCGAGAGCCCCGAGAAGTGCCTTCGGATGAAGGGTCCAAGTCCGGAGCGCGCGTCGCGGCGTGCGACAGCTCGCATGCGACGTCGTCAGGATGGCCGTCGCCGTCGCCGTCGCCGCCGCCGCCGCTGTCGTCGTCGTCTTCTTCTTCGTCAGCGTCGTCACCGCCGTTGTCGTCGCTTGACAACTCAAAGCAATCCGGAACCTCGCGGCCGCCGCCGCCGCCGCCGCCGTCTACAGGTCCCTCCTCGGTTCGCGAAAAAGTTCGAGGGGGAAAAAAAACATGGCGTGGCCGTGGTTGGTGTGACATGTGGGAGTAAGGGTGTAGTAACCGTCGCAACCGCGAGGAGGAATCCCCTGCGACGCCTGACGTTCGGCAGACCAAGGCTTCGCGGACCGAGGCTTCGCGGACCGACGGCTGAGCCGTAGTAGAGTCGATGACGGTAACTTTTTCCGTCACAGGGTAGCGGATCCACTGCTGCGCCCGGTCGCAACGGGCCATAGGAGAGTCGACGACAGTAATATTTTCAAAAGGTACGCGTCCCGTCGAGCTCCTTCGCTGCTCCGTTACAGGGTACTGCGCGCCGAGCGGCTGTTGCTGAACCGGCTTCTCCATCGTTGACGCGCGCATTTCTCTACGAGAAGCTGACCCGATCGGGTCATTGTCATGCGCGTCAGGGCGATTTGTTTTCCCGCCGTTGAGGTGCGTCTTGTGGTATGCTGAGTCGTCTTTTGGCGGCTCGACGAGCCCGGGTCGGGGCGCGGCAAGGCTCTTGTCGGCGAAGAGCGACGTGAAGAGCGGCAGCGTTTCGCCGTCGGACCGCGGCTCCATGGTCATGCGCGCGAGACGGCGGTTCGGAGGAATTTCGAAACGCCCTGAGTTTTGAGACGATTGTCACAAAAAGGGACGGTTTGGAAAAGTTCCAAAACGCCCTGTATTAGAAACCAAATCCCTCTGGATGTTTATGCTGTCTGTCACTGGGTCGACGTGGCTGTGTTTTTTCTTGCGGCGCGTACTGACTCGGGGAAAACCGTCACTAACAGGCTGCTGTAGGTAGTACAGCGACTTTGAAGCCGTGCGATCTGGAGGCGGGTCACAACTAATCAACACGATCCCATTCGTCGAGTGGAGCTAAATAGCTTTCAAACCTGCAATGCGATGTAAGTGTCGGAAATCCAACACCAAAGAGAGGACCGAACAATTGAAGAGGACGTCACAACTACAAAAGAGGAGGGGAAGTGATCGGGGGGAGATGTATGCTGGCGATGAGGGGAAGGGACAGGGAAGAGGGGGTTGGACTCGCGACGAAGCGCGGATGAGGTTTGATTTGGGAGGAGACGGGCGACGTCAGGTTGTACAATTTTTTTTACTCTCTGTGCGGTCAACTTCGTTTCGTCACGTTGCAGAACGGTAATCCTGGACAACCGCTTTTCACCGTTCGGAACCGTCCTGAGCCCTGATATAAGAACTGAAATGTGTAAGAATTGTACAACCAGACCTGACCTCGCCCGGGATGACGGGAATCGGGATCGAAGGAAACTAGGATACAGGCGTGTGCTTGAGAATCCGGACAGAAACTGCTGATTGAAACTTGGAGGTGTAGGATTGAGCTCGTTGTAAGTTGTAACACTTGAGATTTGGGTCGAGTGAACGCGTTCAGTCAGTTTCGACCAATGACATTCGAGTCCGGTGCAATTTGACCGTGATTGTGCCAATGGGTTTGAATGAAACACACGCGCGCCAATTTGCGCAGCAGTTCCGCTCCGCGTTTGGTTTTAGCCCCAATTGGAGCCTCCCTTCTCTCTGTCGTCGCGTCCCCCTTGCGCATACGGCCGGATCTCCTGCAATATGTGTTACACAATACATCCAACGGTCGATACGTATGCAGCGATGGGGAACGCGTTCATTCAAATGTGTCGCGTCCTGAGGGGAGAAGAATCGCCGAAGATAGGCGACGAGTAACTTGAGCTCCGGGACAAACGGAAGTATGGCACAAATAATGAGCGATGTGGAAATCCCCGACCTAAGTGTTTCTTTAACGGGTAACTGTACTATTTGTAAACAGATCAGAACTGCACTCTTAACATCCGCCCCTCCACCTCCAGTTACACAAGTACCCTACCTCCTCATCTTGTACCATGCAGCCCTGTGCCTCTGAAAATAGCAGCTGCCACTATTGAAGCATCTCGGCCAGCAGCAACATAATGCACCCGAATCACAACTGCCCCTCCAGCAACACAACCTACCTTGTGAGTCAGTTTTAACAACTAAACACTGGGCTTTCTGAAAATCGCAGCCGCCACTATAGAAGCATCTCGACCAGCAGCAACATACATCTGCCCCTCCAGCAACACAATCTGCCTTCTGAATTGGCTCATCAACTATACCCTGAAATTCCTAAAAATAGCAGCTGCCACTATAGAAGCATCTCGGCCAGCAGCGACATTATGCGCTCTGATGACATCCGCCCTTCCAGCAACACAACCACCAACCACCCTACAGTACCTCCTCTCCTCACTTTCTACCATGCAACCCCATGCTTCTGAAAACAGCAGCCGCCACTAAAGAAGCATCTCGGCCAGCAGCAACAAGCACCGGAATAACATCTGCCCCTACAGCAACACAATCTGCCTTTTGAATTGACTCATCAACTAAACCCTGTATTTCCAAAAAAAAGAAGCTGCCACTATAGAAGCATCTCGGCCAGCAGCAGCATTATGCACTCTTATAATATCCGCCCCTCCAGCAACACAAGCTGCCACGGCCCCACATGTCGCCCAATCACGATCCTTTCCAGCTGCCCGACCAGTCAGACTGCCCAGAAACCCTTTTCTTGACGGGCCAAGAAGCATTGGGACATGCTCCAAACCTTTTCTGCACCTGCCCAGTTCTTTTCTCAGCTGCCCAAGGTTTCTAATAAGCTCCAAGTTTTGCTGCCCTGTTTTGGCGAACCCAATGCCTGGGTCCAGAATGATATTCCACAAGGGAATCCCAGCCCTCTCAGCAGCTGCCACCTGGCATGCCAGCTCAGATGCCACGTCAGCAATGAGATCTCTGTACGTCGTGTTTTCAGAAGACTGCATGGTGGTGGGATCTCCCCGCATGTGCATCAGGACAAACGGGAGATTCAGAACGGCAACCGTTGGCAGCATCTGCAGGTCCATCCTCCCGCCCGACACATCATTGATGACGTCAGCGCCAGCTAAGGCCGCTGACCTGGCAACCTCCGCATCGAAAGTGTCCACCGAGATGATGACATCCGGCGATCGCGATCGGACGGCCTGGATGACAGGGATGACACGTGTCAGCTCCTCATTGGTCGACAGGCGGGTGGCTCCAGGCCTGGTGGACTGCCCCCCTATGTCGATAACATCTGCTCCTTCCTCCACCATTCTCTCTGCTTCCTTCGCTGCTGCCTCCACATCCACACATACACTGCTGCTGTTGCCACCGCCGCCGCCGCCGCTGCTGCTGCTGCCGCCGTTGCCACTGCCATTCGAATCTCGGGTAAATCCCCCCCCATCACTGAAGCTATCAGGAGTGACATTCAGAATTCCCATTACTAGAGGCCGCTGTTGCCCCTCCCACGCCCACAGGGGTCCCTCCCCCTCTTCCTTTCTCCCTTCGCTCTGCCCTCTAGATAGCCGCTGGGCAAGGGGAACTACCCTCCTCAGGTCCGTTCCCCCAACTGCTGCTTCTCCGCCCAGATTTTTCCAAAGGCTGGAAGATGGGGGATTTGGAGGGACGGACGAACGGAAGGAATGGGAAAAAGGAAAATTCTCAGAAAGACAATAAAGGAAGAGAGAAATACAGGAAAAAGAAAGGAAGGAAGAAGAAAGAAAAAAAGATGAAGAAATCACAGTGTACAAACACATGAAAATGCACATGAAGAGACAATTTTGAGTCAACTGTGGAAGTGACACACCCAAAGGCCTTGTGAAACATCCAGGAAGGCAGCTGCTCGCCTCCAGGGGCGTCAACTTGAGCAGAGCCGAGCAGGTCCGCCAGTGGGGCCAGCACAAAGATCCTGTCAGCTAGTTTTGAGGTGCTAGTTTTGAGGTGCTAGTTTTGAGGTGCTAGTTTTGAGGTGCTAGTTTTGAGGTGCTAGTTTTGAGGTGCTAGTTTTGAGGTGCTAGTTTTGAGGTGCTAGTTTTGAGGTGCTAGTTTTGAGGTGCTAGTTTTGAGGTGCTAGTTTTGAGGTGCTAGTTTTGAGGAGCGAGCACAAAAAGCCTCTCAGTTGAGCTCACAACGAGCATCAGACACACTTACCCTAGCACTCCGTCCGCTTTTGAGTCGACTCAAAAGCAGACTCATTACACGCGGTTTCTACATTGAAAAGTTCTTTGTAGCATCAGACACACTTACCCTAGCACTCCGTCCCTGCCGAACGCCTGGTGGAATGCCCAAGAGGCCAGCTGCTCGTCTCCAGCGGCGTCAACTTGAGCAGAGCCGAGCAGGTCCGCCACAGGGGCCAGCGCAAAGAGCCTCTCAACTGAGCTCACAACGAGCCTCAGACACACACTTACCCCTGGACCCCGTGCTTCCCAAAGGCCGCGTGGAACACCCACGAGGGCAGCTCTTCGTCTCTAGGGGCGTCAGCCTGAGCAGACCCCAGCAGGTCCGCCACTGGGGCCAGCACAAAGAGCCTCTCAGTCTCAGCTAGTCTTGAGGCGCCTAGAAAATGCACTTACCCCGGCACCCCATCCTTCCCAAACGCCGCGTGATACACCCAGGAAGGAGCCTCTTCGTCTCCAGGGGCGTCAGCCTGAGCAGAACCCAGAAGATCGATCATTGGAGCCAGCACAAAGAGCCTCTCAGCTAAGCGCGGGTGTGGAACCTCGAGGTCAAACGGGGCGGTGGTAGCTGTAGCAGCAGGAGCAGCAGCAGCAGCGGCAGCAGCAGCAGGGGCAGCAGCAGGGGCAGCAGCAGCAGGGGCAGCAGCAGCAGGGGCAGCAGCAGGGGCAGCAGCAGGGGGAGCAGGAGCAGCGGCAGAAGGAGCAGCAGCAGGGGGAGCAGCAGGGGGAGCAGGAGCAGCGGCAGAAGGAGCAGCAGCAGGGGCAGCAGAACCGGCAGCACCAGCAGCAGCATGAGTGGAATCGTCCGGCCGGATGGTTCTAGATCCGTAGAAGATCAAATCGAGATCTAAGGGCCGAGGGCCGAAGCGCTGGGCGGTAAGAGGGTTGAGGTCTCTTCCAAGGGTTGACTCGATTGACTTGAGGAGAGAGAGCAGCGCGTGGGGAGGAAGACTTGTGCGGGCCTGTGCTTGGGTGAGAAGAATGGATGGAGAGGGAAAAAGTGGAAAGAACGACGAGGGTTGATGCGCTGGGCAGTGAGAGGGTTGAGGTCCCTCCCGAGGGTTGACTCGATTGACTTGAGGAGAGAGAGCAGCGCGTGGGGGGGGAGGGTTGTGCGCGCCTGCAGAGGGGAGAAGGGAGGAAGGAGGAAGGGATGGAGGGGGAAAGGATGAAGGGAAGTAAGTCACATGGGTGTAGCCCTGGGCAGTGAGAGGGTTGGGGTTCCTCCTGAGGGTTGACTCGATTGACTTGAGAGAAAGGAGGGCGTGGGGGGCGAAGGTTGTGCGTGCCTGCAGGTGCGGAGTAAGAAAAGGAGGAGGGGATACGAGAGGAGCTAAGTTGGAAAGAACGCGTATTGCGTTTTGTACGATTTTGTATATACGCTAGAGTATATACGCAAAACACAAAATGAAAGTAGCGTATATTCCAACTTAGGTGCGGAGTAAGAAAAGGAGGAGGGGATATGGAGGGCGGGGGAGGTAAGGAGATTTTTTAGGCGCCTCACTGAAGAGGGAAACGGTGGACGAGGGAGGTAAGGAAGGAGGGAAGGAAGGAAGTCACGCGGGTGGAGGTTGGGAAGTGAGAGGGTTGACTCGATTGACTTGAGGAGAGAGAGCAGCGCGTGGGGGGGAAGAGTCGTGCGGGCCTGCATAGGAGGAAGGGAGGGAAGTAAGTTATGAGTGTGAAGGTGGGATGGTGAGAGGGTTGAGGTAGGGTAGTGCGTGCCTGCGTTTGGGCGTCGGAAGAAAGGCAAGCAAAGGGGAGGGATGGGAAGGGGAAGAGAAGATGAAGATAGGGTAACAACAGAAAGCAGGAGAAGAGGCACAAGGCTGGTGGAAACGTTCAGCCATGAGACTAGGCGAGCTGCAGCTTAGGAGAATTCTTTAGCAGAAGAAAAACAGTAGAGTTAAAACTCTTGTGTTGCCAGTTCAAAAAAAAAAAAAAAGAAAGGGGGGGGGAGAGGCACAAGGCTGGTAGAAACGGAGGGCGGGGAGTGGGTTGAGTGCTGCTGGGAAGAAGTGCTGGGGGAAGACGAGTGGGTTGGGCTGGGGAGGGTGCATGGGTAGTGCGTAGTGAGGGAGGGGACGTGTTGCGCTTGGCAGGCGTAGTGAGGGGACGTGTGCGTAGTGAGGGGACGTGTGCGTAGTGAGGGGACGTGTGCGTAGTGAGGGGACGTGTGCGTAGTGAGGGGACGTGTGCGTAGTGAGGGGACGTGTGCGTAGTGAGGGGACGTGTGCGTAGTGAGGGGACGTGTGCGTAGTGAGGGGACGTGTGCGTAGTGAGGGGACGTGTGCGTAGTGACTATGTGCCAAAGTTGGGGAGAAAAGGGCTAATCAGGGACGTAGGCAGGCAGGGGGGGTATTATGTCCCTCGAGAAGGGAACATAATATTATGGGTTAGGCTCCATATTATTATGGAGGGAACATGTGTTGACTTACCTGGATGGCTGAGTTGAGGAAAAAAGGCTGATCCGTGACATAGGCAGGCGCGGACTCGTACAGACAGCCGTGCTTGTATACCTGCACCCCTGCCTGCATGGTATGAGGGTGGGGAGGGGACAGGAGGAAGGAACGAGCAGCATTTTGACTTATAGCTGAGTTGAGAAGGTAGGGCTGGTCCATGACATAGGCAGGAGCGGACTTGTACAGACAGCCGTGCTTGTAGACCTGCACACCCGCCTGCATGGTGTGAGCGGGGTGGGGGAGGGAGGAGAAAGGCTGGTCTGTGACATAGGCAGGAGCAGACTCGTACAGACAGCCGTGCTTGTATACCTGCACGCCTGCCTGCATGGTGTGAGCGGAGGGAGGGGATAAGGAGAGGAAAAGGGGAAGAACTGTGCTACGGGTGTCAGAAATGCCTGACTCGTACAGGCAGCCATGCTTGTACACCTGCACCCCTCTTTGCAGCGAATGAGGGGGAGTCAGGAGGGATGGGATGGGGTGGAAAAGAACGGGTGTGTCTCGTGCTACGGGTGGCAGAAAGGCCTGACTTGTACGATTTTTGAGGCGCCTCAAAAATCAGAAAGGCCTGACTTGTACAGACAGCCGTGCTTGTACACCTGCACGCCTGCCTGCAGCAAACGACATAGAGGTGAGAGAAGAGCGAGAGGCAGCGGGGTGATGGAATCTCCTGCTCTCTCTCCCTGCCTGTGCCATGGTCCGTGATATATGCAGGTGCGGACTCGTACAGACAGCCGTGCTTGTACACCTGCACCAATGCCTGTATGAACAGCATGAGGGCAAGCCGAGGCACGGGGGAGAATGAGGCGGGTGGGTTTCGGGAAGGAGAGGAAGGCGGAAGAATCGTGTAATGGGCATTGGAAGAGCATAGCTCATAGAGACAGCCAAGCCACGTGTAGTAAAAAGTGTATTTTTGAGACGTCTCAAAAATACACTTTTTACACGAAGGAGGGGAAGGCGGAAGAATCGTGTAATGGGCATTGGAAGAGCATAGCTCATAGAGACAGCCGTGCTTGTAACCCTGCGTGCACCATGCCATGCCATGCCTGAACGGCGTGAGGAAAACCAGATAGTCGTGGGGGAGGAGAGGAGGGAAATGCGACTCATACAGGCATGTACCACACGGGACACACGGGACACACAGGACACTACATGGCACTGAAGCGGGCTCATTCTGTGCCAGATGACCCCCTCCTGTCAGGACACGCCCTGTTCATCCCTAACGCTCGTTTCACTGCAATGTCAGCGCTCCTAGGAAACGTTTTTCTCTCGACATAATCCACTCTCACATTCAGACAGCATACCCCCTCTCATCACACATCAGTGCATCCCTTCCATCACACATCAGTGCACCCCTTCCATCACACATCAGTGCACCCCTTCCATCACACATCAGTGCACCCCTCTCATCATATGCACAACACACTCTCTTTCACACAAACTTCAGCGGAGTGACACGGCACCATCCACTCCCTGTGAGCGTATTCTTGGAATTCTCAGAAACTCCTCCCATCCACAACACACACCCTTTCTCACCACCACAAACTTCAGCGGAGTGACATGGCACCATACATCCACTCCCTGTGAGCGATTTTTAAGCTTTCTCAGAAACTCCTTTCATCCACAACACACCATCTCTCACTTACGCGGAGTGACATGGCACCATCCATCCACCCTCCCACCCACAACGCACCTCTCGCAGCATCTGCAGTGCGCGGTGGAAATTCGCCACGCGATTCCCGATGTTCCCCCCGATAGCAATCACCACATCTTCTCCCTCTTCTCCTGCTCCTTCTGCTCTTTTCTGCGAATTAGAGCCCGAAAAAGGCCGAACGCGAATCCGATCCGCTACGGTGCTGTCGATTGCGCTTCGAGCCGGCTCAAAATTCGCGACTGTGCCGTTCATTGAACGTCGCGAAAGCTGACGACCGGGCGAAATCGCCATCTGTTGTTTCGTCTGAGATATTGCGCTTGCGAAACCGAATCCGGCCTGTATCAGTGGTGGTTCTTGTTGTTGCTGCTTGATAAAATGCAAGCAAGCAGCCGAGGCCCTTGGAACGTCGCTACGGAAGGCTGACACCGACGCCGAAGCGGACGCTGCGGGCCGAAAAACGGCTCTCGCCGCCATCCGAAAACAAGCGCGGCGCATGCTGAATGAAAGGCATTGAACGCGGAGGGCGGGATAGGCGACTACCCACATGCACCCTCCACGTGTGACCGATCGGCTAAGGCTACCCCTTCCGAGTCCACTTTCGTCACGAGAGGTGCCACCATTGTGGGAAAACGCAAACTGAAAACGCAAACCGAAATTATTGAACCAGCGTGGCGGATTAGGGCGTGTCCCACGAGTTCTCTTTTCGTTCAAGTTCAGCGGTGAAGAAAGGGTTCTGTAATTTTTAGAGCGGTTTTTTCTGCTCCACCGTTTCGAACCGTGATCCACCAGTCTGAACAGTGATTCATCGGCTGTAAACGAACCAAACATTGTCCTTATAACGATCCGAGCGAACCTGTAACACATATAGCAGCATAAGCGAAAAAAATATCCTCAGCGTACAATTGGAGCAGCAGGCTGACAATATTATTATTGGACCATTTGAAGCAATATAGTCCTCTAGCATATTAACCCTGAGCTAGAGTACAGCATTCCAGTCCAGCAACCCATGAACATACTTCATTGATTTCGCACTTGCAAACCTACCACTGACTACAGTGGCTGCTAAATCAATCTAAGGGCGTATTCCTACGGCCTCCTATCAAGAAACCTCCTATCAAGAATGCACATTTTGCCTGGTGAAAGTAGCGAGAGATTTTGGGTTTAGGCAATTTTTCAGTGTGAGCTTGATAAGAGGTTTTCTTGATAGGAGGATAGGAATACGCCCTAATCTAGCTAAGGACTTGAGACGGGCAAAGCGGTGTACCAAACTTCGGTTGACTGCAATGGATAAGACCAACTAGAAACTAGAGCTAAGTAAATGACGCATAACATAAATATTTGCAGGCTTGTATATATTGCGCTTGGTAGAAGAGGCGTCTATATGAAGAGGGTTTAGGGTTCATGTATGAAGAGGAGGTGCCTATATGAAAAAATTCTGCATGACTCGCTTGGCACTGCTGACAGACCAGCGGTACTCTGGGAAGCCCACTAAGTCCTCCCTGTGTGATTAAAATGCAGGTAAAGGATCGTGAAGAATCACGGAAAGAAGGGAGAAGGAAGATATTGGATAGGTAAGGCAACCAAGGACTTGCTTGTCACTGCTGACCGACCAGCGGTACTCTGGGAAGCCCACTAGATCCTCCCGGAAATGAGGGGATTTGCAGCGGGGGATGCAGAGGAAAAGAGAAGACGTTTGGTAGGTAGTATGCCACACGCATGGCTCGCTTGGACTGCTTACAGACCGGCGGTACTAGCTCTGGCATGACCTCACTTTCTCCTTCTTGTGTGGTCGCAGCAGAGGTGAATGGATGTGCAGGGGCAGGAGATGCAGGGGTAAGGGAAGATGTCAACTAGGTAAGCCAAACACGCATCTTTGAGAGCATGTTACCTAAAGGGCATGTCACTGCAAGGGCGTATTACCTGAAGGGTACGAGGAAATCCCTGTAGGTGGAGAGGATTTGCTCGTGACACAGCAGAGGGAGGGGAGAAGGATGTTAGGGAAACAACACAGACAGGTTACCTGGGAGGGGAAGCTCCTGAAAGGCGGCTTACCTGAAGGGCATGAGGAACTCCTTGTAGGTGGAGAGGATTCGCTCGTGACACAGCAGAGGAGGAGGTGAGGCGGAGGAGGAAGAGCAGCGGGGTTTAGGGTAGAGGCGCACCTGAAGGGCATGAGGAACTCCTTGTAGGTGGAGAGGATTCGCTCGTGACACAGCAGAGGAGGTGAGGCGGAGGAGGAAGAGCGGGGTTTAGGGTTTAGGCGCACCTGAAGGGCATGATGAACTCCTTGTAGGTGGAGAGGATTCGCTCGTGACACAGCAGAGGAGGAGGTGAGGCGGAGGAGGAAGAGCGGGGTTTAGGGTTTAGGCGCACCTGAAGGGCATGAGGAACTCCTTGTAGGTGGAGAGGATTCGCTCGTGACACACGCCTCGGATCTGCGTACGTGCCACTGAGTCGTGCACGTGGAATCGGCGCATGTTGAAACAGAGCTCTTCAAACGCTACATTGAATGCATCAAGCCTGTGGTGGGAAGGAGGAGGGTGAAGGGGGTTAAGGGGAGCAAAGGAAGATATGCGTGCGTGCCACTGAGTCGTGCACGTGGAAGCGGCGCATGTTGAAACAGAGCTCCTCGAACGCCACGTTGAACGCATGGAGTCTGGAGGACGGGTGATGTGGCAGTGGATGGGAAGGGAGTAAGGCAGGGTAGGTGGTGAGCACGGTAACGTGTGAGCCACCGAGTCGTGCACGTGGAAGCGGCACATGTTGAAACAGAGCTCCTCAAAGGCTACATTGAATGCATCGAGTCTGAGAAGGGGGTGGGGGAAACAGGGCGGCGGGGAACAGAGAGAAAGTGACCGAGTCATGCAGGTGGGTGGAATCGGCGCATGTTGAAACAGAGCTCCTCAAACGCCACGTTGAACGCATTAAGCCTGGAGGGAGGAGGAGAGTGGGCAAGGGGGTTAAAGGAGGGTAAGGGAGGGGGAGAATAGGGGATCTGCGTGCGTGCATGCGTGCGTGCACGTGGAATCGGCGCATGTTGAAACAGAGCTCCTCAAAAGCCACGTTGAATGCATCAAGTCTGGAGGGGTGGATGGACGAATAGGAAAAGTTGGGGAAAAGAGGAAAAGTGGTAAAGGGCGGGGCAGGGACAGAGAGGCACCAAGTCGAGCACGTGGAATCAGCGCATGTTGAAGCATTTCATCTCATCTCATCTCATACCATCCCTTCCCACCTAATCGTACCTTTTCTGGAACTCGGCTGCAGAAATGTTGGTGGTGGTGCTCCTATGGACGACATCATCTGAGCATGCGGGGGGGGGGGGTGTCATGTGGGAAAGAGAGGCCAGAGCGAACGGGATGAAAGGCGAGGGAGAGGAGGCAAGAGAAATGTTCGTGGTGGGTGCTCCTATGGATGACATCATCTGTGCATGCGGGGGGAGGGGGTTTTGGGGAGAAAGAGATATGAGGGTTCAAGGATGTAAGGAAGAGAGGGAGAGGAGGCAGGAGAAATGCCCTTGGTGGGTGCCCCTATGGACGACATCATCAGATCTGAGCATGCGGGGGAGGGGGGAAGGAGCGAAAGGATATGAGGAGAGAGGAAGAGGTGGGGAGGAAGGGAGGAGGGCGAGAAATGCCCGTGGTGGGTGCCCCTATGGATGACGTCATCTGCGCATGGGGGGAGGAGGGGAGGGGAGGGGAGGGGAGGGGAGGGGAGGGGAGGGGAGGGGAGGGGAGGGGAGGGGAGGGGAGGGGAGGGGAGGGGAGGGGAGGGGAGGGGAGGGGAGGGGAGGGGAGGGGAGGGGAGGGGAGGGGAGGGGAGGGGAGGGGAGGGGAGGGGAGGGGAGGGGAGGGGAGGGGAGGGGAGGGGAGGGGAGGGGAGGGGAGGGGAGGGGAGGGGAGGGGAGGGGAGGGGAGGGGAGGGGAGGGGAGGGGAGGGGAGGGGAGGGGAGGGGAGGGGAGGGGAGGGGAGGGGAGGGGAGGGGAGGGGAGGGGAGGGGAGGGGAGGGGAGGGGAGGGGAGGGGGGGGGGGGGGAAGGAGGGGAGGGGAGGGGAGGGGAGGGGAGGGGAGGGGAGGGGAGGGGAGGGGAGGGGAGGGGAGGGGAGGGGAGGGGAGGGGAGGGGAGGGGAGGGGAGGGGAGGGGAGGGGAGGGGAGGGGAGGGGAGGGGAGGGGAGGGGAGGGGAGGGAGGGGGGGAAGGGAGGGGAGGGAGGGGAGGGGAGGGGAGGGGAGGGGAGGGGAGGGGAGGGAGAAAGGGCCGGGAGGAAAGGGAGAGGGGAAAGGGCGAGGGAGGGGTGAGGAGAAATGCCCGTGGTGGGGGTCTCCTATGGACGACATCAGTCAGAATGGGGGAGGAGTGAGGGAGACTTTTGAGACGACCTCAAAGTAGGGAGGGGGAGACGCAATCAGCCCGCCCGCCCACACAACGACCCTGCCAGGTTGCAAAGAAAACTCACTCCCGCCCTCTCCCTCCCAACCCTTCAACTCCCATCCTCCCCCATCCCTCCAACTCCCACCCCTCTCCCTCCCAACCCTCTAACTCCCATCCTCCCCCATCCCTCCAACTCCCACCCCTCTCCCTCCCATCCTTCCAAATCCCACCCTTCTCCCTCCCATCCTTCCCACTCCCATTCCTCTTCCTCTCAACCTTCTCCCTCTCACAATCACATTCTCACCCATTCTTCACACCCATCCCATTCTTCTCACATTCGCGCTCACATCTTTCAGCAGCACGCCAAGGAAGCGGTTCATCAGAGTGTCTGCCAGCTGCCATCCCACCCCACCTCTTCACATCCCATTACACCCGACCCCACCACTCATAAACCCACCCCAACCGCTTACATCTTTGCGCAGCAAATCAAGGAAACGGTTCATCTGCGTGTCTGCCAGCTGCCGTGCCGACCCTCCCCACACCCCACCCCACCACGCATTAAACCCACCCCACCCCTCTCAAACCCACCCAACCGCTCACATCTTTGAGCAGCACGTCCAGGAAGCGGTTCATCTGCGTGTCTGCAAGCTGCCGGAATTCCTTTGACATACGCAGGTCAGGGAACAGGCTGCAGGGAATGGAAGGAGAACAGTGGAGGGAAATGGAGAGAGCAGAGAAGGTGTGGGGGAGAAACAGGCATGAGTAGAGGGATGAAGGAAGCGGTTCATCTGCGTGTCTGCAAGCTGCCGGAATTCCTTTGACATACGCAGGTCCGGGAACAGGCTGCAGGGAATGGAAGGAGAACAGTGGAGGGAAATGGAGAGAGCAGAGAAGGTGTGGGGGAGTAAACAGGCATGAGCAGAGGGATGAAGGAAGCGGTTCATCTGCGTGTCTGCAAGCTGCCGGAATTCCTTTGACATATGCAGGTCAGGGAACAGGCTGCAGGGAATGGAAGGAGAACAGTGGAGGGAAATGGAGAGAGCAGAGAAGGTGTGGGGGAGTAACAGACATGAGCAGAGGGATGAAGGAAGCGGTTCATCTGCGTGTCTGCAAGCTGCCGGAATTCCTTTGACATACGCAGGTCAGGGAACAGGCTGCAGGGAATGGAAGGAGAACAGTGGAGGGAAATGGAGAGAGCAGAGAAGGTGTGGGGGAGTAACAGGCATGAGTAGAGGGATGAAGGAAGCGGTTCATCTGCGGTCTGCAAGCTGCCGGAATTCCTTTGACATACGCAGGTCAGGGAACAGGCTGCAGGGAAAGGAAGGAGAACAGTGGAGGAAATGGAGAGAGCAGAGAAGGTGTGGGGGAGAGTAACAGGCATGAGTAGAGGGATGAAGGAAGCGGTTCATCTGCGTGTCTGCCAACTGCCGGAATTCCTTTGACATACGCAGGTCAGGGAACAGGCTGCAAGAGGGAGGGGGGGAAGGGGGGAAAGCGGTGGGAGAGATAAATCCCACAAATCCCCATCCACTCACGATTGAATGTAGGCCGCGTTGTTGAAAAGGTACGGCCGTCTCAGAATCCCTACAGACCCCCCCCCCCCCTACACCGCACTGCACTGTACCGCTCTGAACTCCCTTGAGCCACTCACGATTGAACGTAGGCCGCGTTGTTGAAAAGGTACGGCCGTCTCAGAATCCCCTGAACCGGCACCTTACCCCTTTACACAGTCCGAAATTGTAAAAAGCACCAAATCCACTCACGATTGAATGTAGGCAGCGTTGTTGAATAAATACAACCTCTCAGAATCTCCTGAACCGGAACCTTCCCCCCTTTACCCCCACCTCCATCCCCTTCTCTTTCGACCCGAACCCAAAGAACCCGCTCCTCTTCTTCGGCTTCTCCTCCTCCTTCTTCTTCCCCACATCCGCCCCATCCCCTGAATCACCAGACAAGAGACTCACCTATGAAAGGCTGAAACCTTTTTCGCCTTTACCTCCAACACCACTCACGATTGGATGTAGGCCGCGTTGTTGAAGAGATAAAGCCCTCGCAGAATCTCCTGAACCGGAACCTTCGCCCCTTTACCCCCACCTCCATCCCCCTTCTCCTTCGACCCGAACCCAAAGAACCCGCTCCTCTTCTTCGGCTTCTCCTCCTCCTTCTTCTTCCCCACATCCGCCCCATCCCCCGAATCCGCCACAGCAGCCGCCACAAGAGCAGCCTTAGCCTGTAAAGCGGCCCATAGATTCTCCACCATCTCGGTTGCTAGATCGTGCCAGTCGGGTAGATCGTCTGACTGGCGTTCGAATATCATGTCTAGGAGCTGTGCGTACGACCATAGGGCCATGGCGCTGCTGCTGCTGCTGCTGCTGCTGATGCTGCTGGTGACTGGCTCTGCTGCTGCTTCTCCTCCTGCCCCTGCCGCTCCATCCGCAGCAGCAGCAGCAGCGGCAGCAGAGGGAGAAACAGGGGTTTGGCAGAAGCAGCAGCAGACGGAGAAGGAGGTTTGGCAGCAGCGGCAGACGGAGAAGGGGCTTGGGAGCAGCAGCAGCACCCCCACCCCCAGTGGCAGCAGCGGGAGGGGACGGGGAAGGGGATGCAAGACTTGGAGCGGAACGGGCGGAGGACAAGTCAGCGGAATGAGAGCTAGATGGGGTCATGGAGACGGGAGGGGAGGGGGAAGGGTAGGAGGCGGATACGGAGGAGGCGGGGAGCACGAGGGAGCGGCGGTTGGTGTTGACTGGCGTGCTGGTGAGGCGCTTGAGAGAGGTGCGCTTGGAAGAAGAAGCAGAGGAGGGGAAGGAGGTGATGCTGTGTGCTCCTAGCAGCGCGTGCTTGGTGTCCCTGGGGGTTGGGGGAATGGGGAAATGGGAGTATAGGGGCGAGGCAGGAGGGTGTGAAGAGGACAAGAGAATACGCCCGCTCATCCGCAGTGGAAGGGGAAACAGAGGGAGGCGGGGAGCATGAGGGAGCGGCGGTTGGTGTTGACAGGCGTGCTGGTGAGGCGCTTGAGAGAGGAAGAAGAGGAGGCGGAAGAGGGGAAGGAGCTGATGCTGTGTGCTCCTAGCAGCGCGTGCTTGGTGTCCCTGGGGGTAGAGAGGGGAAGGGGATGAAGAAACAGAGGGAGCGGCGGTTGGTGTTGACTGGCGTGCTGGTGAGGCGCTTGAGAGAGGTGCGCTTGGAGGCGGAAGCAGAGGGCACGGAGGTGATGGACTGTGCTCCTAGCAGGGCGTGCTTGGTGTCCCTGGGGGGTGGAGGGGTGGAGGGGGAGGGGCGGGGGGAGGGGCGGGGGAAGGGGAAGAGGAGAGGGGAGAAGGAAGGGGAAGAGGAGGAGGGGGCGGCGCTGATGCTGTGTGCTCCTAGCAGTGCATGCTTGGTGTCCCTGGGGGCAGGGAGGGGGAGAGAAGGGGATGGGGGAATAATAGGGACGAGAAACTGAGAACAGCAGAAAGTTAGATGAGGCGGCGGCGGAGGAGGCGGAGCGGAGTACCGAATGCCGTCCACCACAAAGACAGTCAGGGGGTCCGCCCGCCCCCGCGCTCACCTGTTCTTCCCCATCACCCCATCACCCTATCATCCCCACCCACCCTATGGCCCCAATGGCCCTTTGAATCGACTCACCAGCTGGAGAACTGCCGAATGCGGTCCACCACAAAGTCGGCCAGGGGGTCCGCCCCCGCGCTCACCAGTTCATCCCAATCATCCCATCACCCCATGGCACCATCACCCCATCACCCATGTCATCGCCCTTTCAGACGACTCACCAGCTGGAGAACTGCCGAATGCGGTCCACCACAAAGACAGTCAGCGGGTCCGCCCCCGCGCTCACTGCCCCGCCTGCCTTCCCGCTCTTCGCTCCTGCAGGCTTACCGCCCCCCTTGCTGTACTGCCGGCGCAGGGTGGCTGCTTGCTTGAAGCTGGGGGAATGAGGATGGATGGGAAGGGATGGGAAGGGATGGGAAGGGATGGGGAGGAGAGTGGGCAGACGGAGAGGTTGAGAGGCTTGGCGCTGCCCTTGCTGTACTGCCGGCGCAGGGTGGCTGCTTGCTTGAAGCTGGCGGGATGGGAACGGACGGGAAGGGGTGGGATGTGATGAGATGAGATGGGACGGGAAGGAAGGAGAGTGGGCAGACGGAGTGGTGGAGATGCTTGGTGCTCCCCGTGCCTGCCATACTGCTGTACTGCCAGCGCAGGGTTGCTGCTTGCTTGAAGCTGGGAGGGATGAGGAGGGATGGGAAGGGGTGGAATGGGACGGGGAGGAGCGTGGGCAGACGGAGAGGTGGATAGGCTTGCTGCCCCCCTTGCTGTATTGCCGGAACAGGGTGGCTGCTTGCTTGAAGCTGGGCGCGGTGGGAAACGATGGGGAAGAGGTGGGATGTGACGAGATGGGACGGGGAGAGCGGGCAGACGGAGTGGTGGAGATGCTTGGTGCTCCCCGTGCCTGCCATACTGCTGTACTGCCAGCGCAGGGTTGCTGCTTGCTTGAAGCTGGGAGGGATGAGGAGGGATGGGAAGGGGTGGAATTGTGAGAAGAAAAGGTAGAAGAGAAGTTGATGGATTGATTGAAAGGATGGGGGGTTTACATAGGAGATGAGTTGGAAACTAGCCTAGGTGAACATTATTGGACCCCAACCAAGGAGTTGGGTTGGGAGATTATTGGTGGGGTCCAATAATGTTGGCCAAGTTGGAGTTGGGCCAACATTATTGGAGGGGACCAATAATTCTACCCATCCCAACCCTTGGGGTCCAATAATTGGACCAAGGTTGGGTTTCCAACCTACAAATTGGGTAACCCCTGCTTGTACACCCAAACTAAGTTTGGGTGCTTATCTCTAGCCTATCCTATAGCATATATGCAGGTTACAAGAGAGGAGATATTCTAACACAACCCCTTAACCTGCAGAGATGCGGAAAGGCTGGAGAGCAGCAACCCCTGAATCAAGGCGCTCCTGGAGGAGCGAGGCCAATGAGGCGGAGGAGAGCAGAGTGCGCGGGGCGAAGAAGTGCTTTGGTGAAGATATCCGCCAAATTGGCTTCAGTGGCGATCTTGCGGACGGCGATAAGATTCTGTCGGACGAGGTCGCGGATGAAGAAATAACGGAGCTCGATATGCTTGGAGCGACCATGAAAGACTGGATCCTGGGTGAGGTGGATGGTGCTGGCGTTGTCACACCAGAGCGTGGGACAGCGCTGGGGGGCACCAAGCTCTGCCAGAAGAAAGCAGAGCCAGCGGGACTCTTGAGCGGCCATGGTGCCCGCATAGAGCTCAGCTTCGCAGGAAGAGAGAGCGATGGCGGAGGAGCGGGTGGAACGCCAGCTGATAAGTCCGCTGCCGAGGGTAAAGCCATAGCCTTGGGAGGAGCGGCGGTCTGGCTGATTGTCTGCCCAGGAGGAGTCACTGAAGCCCGAGAGAAGGGGAGGGGAGGATCCACCCAGTGTGAGAGCGTGATCCTTGGTGCCGCAGAGATAGCGAAGGACCCGCTTGGCGGCAGTCCAGTGTTCCTCAGTGTGACGGCCAGAGCCGACGAACCGAGCAAGGACGCTGACAGGGTAGGCGAGGTCGGGGCGGGTGCACATCATCGCGTACATCAGCGACCCAACGAGCTCGGCGTAGGGCCGGGAGGAGGAGGAGGGGGAGGTGGGTGGCGCAAGTTGGTGACCGAAGGGGAGGGGGGTGGAGACTGGTTTGGCCTGCGCCATCTCAAACCTCTCCAGGACCTGGCCGATGTAGTGAGGAAGGGATGGAGGAGTGGGGAGGAGACGGAGTGGGAGGAGAGGGAGGGAGATGGGGAGGGCTGGTGGAGGTACCCGCACGAGTGGTAACATGGCAGGAGGATGGCCACGGAGTGCGGAGAGTGTAGAGGCGAGTGCGAGGGCAGAGGGGTATGCGGAGGAGGAAGCGGCCGGAGGCAGTGTGGTAAAGGTCACAGTAGGTGGCATTACCAGGATAGACGGCAGTGATACCTGCACCTTGGATTTCACGGTTGGTAGAGGAGGTTGTTTCGGAGAGTGGGGATGTGGAGACCAGTTACCTTGCCAGAGGGGAAGAGTGAACAGGGGAGAGTGGAGAGGTGTGTGCATGGGATGGTGAAGCTGCTGTCAGCACCGTGAACTTGAGTGGGAGGGGAGAGGGGTGTGAGTGTACCAGCGTCTTTGAGGGCGGTCTCAGTGGCCCCACTGTCAAGGACAAAGTCCAGAGTGGGTGAGGAGGAGGAGGAAGACACTGAGTACTGGAAAGTGGTTTCATTAATGTTGGATGGGTACATGGAAGGAAGAGAGGGCGAAATAGCTATGTTGCCAAGGAAGCTCTCGTGAGTGAGAGGGGTGGCAGTGCTACTGGGGGGGGGTGGGGCACCCCAAAGGGGGGCAGGTGAGGCTTGAGCGGCCATGGCTGCTGTGCCAAAGTTCAACTGCTGCTGCGGCCAGGGAGGAGGGCTGGGTCCCCACTGTGGCTGGGGTCCTGACCCCCATGGGTGCTGCGGCGGCTGTGGCTGCTGCTGCTGCTGCGGCTGAGGGTGAAACAGCTGCTGTAACTGCTGCTGCTGCTGCTGCTGGAGGTGCTGCTGCTGGAGGTTGAGGAAGGGTGTGGGGGGAGCAAGGAGGCGGAGGTGGGCTGGGAGGTAGGCTGGATTGGTTTGGATATCGGTGGGGGAGGGGCGTGGGGAGATGTTGCCCCACTTTGGAGGAGTGCCAACGTTACCCCGCGCGTACCAGGCATCGTCGAGAGCCTTGAAGCACGTGCCAGGGGGATGGTTGGTCTGTCCGCAGGGAGTTCCAGCCCGAGGACCATAGCGGCGGACATAGGTGCAGGGAGGAAGCGTGCCAGGGCGACTCCCGCGACTTGCAGTGGGTCCACCCGAAGTGGTGGTGCCGTGCTCATCCCCAGTGGTGCCACCACGGTTGTTGCTGCTTCCCGAACCACCACCTCCCTTGCCCCCACCTCCTCCTTTGCCGTTGTTCTTTCCCTGCTTGCGAGGCTGGGTAGCGTTGAGGGAGGAGGAGGTGGGTTGGGAGGAGGCGAGGTTGACGATGGGTGTACGGAGTTTAACTTCGGTGTCGATAATCCACTGTTCAACGGAGGCGAGACCGGCCATGGGATTGGCTTCGGTAAAGGCGTGGAGGCGGGATTCGTAGTCTGGGGTGAGGTTAAAGAGGAGGCGGTGGATTTGAAGAGGTTCGGAGAGGCCGGCCTGGCGGGCTTCGAGGCGATCAGCTACCTCGCGCATGCGTCCGACGTAGTCGACTGCTCCGTCACAGGTGGCGAGGGTGATGGAAAAATACTCTTGGAAGAGGATGCCGACGGAGCTGATGTCGCGGCGCTCAAACATGGCATGGAGTTCTGCCCAGATGACCGAGGCACGGAGTTCCCGAGCCTGGAAGCGACGCATGAGGGAGTCAGGGAGAGCTCCAAGGAGAACGGTGCAGGCACGGGTGTCAGCAGCTGTCCAGGCGATGAGTCTGGGGGTGAAGTCAGCCATGTCGACCTTGTATTTGGCGACGACCTCGAGGTGAGCGTCGCGACCAGCAACCGCCTGATCATAGGCCTCAACTGCAGCATCGTACTCGGCTTTGCGGATGAGGTATTCACGGCGGCGTAGGATAAAATCAGTGTCCGCAGTGGCTTGGTCGGGGGTGATCTGAAGATCGGGTTCACGAGGAGGGTCGCCAGGAGTAGGAGGAAGAGGAGGAGTCTCGCCGGGGTGGGGAGGTTCGGTGGGGGGAGGGCATGGGGGCGGCGGAGGATGACGTCAAGGACACGGTAGGGGGGAACCCATGCGTCGGAGAGAACGCGTCGGATGCTGCCGACGAAGGAGTGCCAGTTGACTGCGGACTTGTCCGCGGCGAGCTGGAGCTTATCAATGGAGGACGTATCAATAGGGGGAGGAAGTGGGGAGGGGGAGGGTGTAGGAGTAGCCATGATGGACGGCTGCAGGTGGACCCGCAGTGGTCACGGAGGAGCAACGGCGACGAGGCCGCGGGGGGGGGAGGGGAGTGGCGCGGGCAGCAGCGGCTGGCGAGGCCGCGGCGGTTGGCGCGGAGGCGACGTTGAAGCCGCGGAGGGGCGCGGACGGCGGCGGCTGGCGAGGCCGCGGCGGTGCTGGCGGGGAGGCGGCGTCGAGGCCGCTGGAGGGGAAGGCGCGGGCGGCGGCTGGCGAGGCCGCGGCGGCTGGCGCGGCGGAGGCGGCGACGAGGCTGCGGAGAGGCGCGGGCGGCGGCTGGCGAGGCCGCGGCGGCTGGCGCGGAGGGGGCGACGAGGCCGCGGAGAGGCGCGGGCGGCGGCTGGCGAGGCCGCGGCGGCTGGCACGGAGGCGGCGACGAGGCCGCGGAGAGGCGCGGGCGGCGGTTGGCGAGGCCGCGGCGGCTGGCGCGGAGGCGGTGACGAGGCCGCGGAGAGGCGCGGGCGGCGGCGGTTGGCGAAGCCGCGGCAGTGCCGGCGCGGAAGCGGCGACGGGGTCGCGGGAGGGAGCGGCGCGAGCGGCGGCGGCTGGCGAAGCCGCGGCAGTGCAGGCGCGGAGGCGGCGACGAGGCCGCGAGAGGGAGCGGCGCGAGCTGCGGCGCTGGCGAGGCCGCGGCAGTGCAGGCGCGGAAGCGGCGACAAGGCCGCGGGAGGGAGCGGCGCGAGCGGCGGCGGCTGGCGAAGCCGCGGGAGTGCTGGCGCGGAAGTGACGACGGGGTCGCGGGAGGGAGCGGCGCGAGCGGCGGCGGCTGGCGAAGCCGCGGCAGTGCAGGCGCGGAGGCGGCGTCGAGGCCGCGGAAGGGAGCGGCGGCGGCGACGGCGGCCACAGTGGCGTTGGCGCGGAGGCGGCGTCGAGGCCGCGGGATGGGGCGGGGCGGTGGCGGTCGGCGGGACCGCGACAAGGCGAGCGCGGAAGCGGCGGTGGGGCCGCGAGCCGTGATGGCGTGGGAGGCCGTGGGGCTGCGAGGAAGGGAGTGCTTGAGGAGAGGGGGAGGGTGGCGAGATAGCCGCGGAGAAATGAGAGAGGAGGCCGGGGGTTGCGGCGGCCTTTGAAAAAAAACTAGGAGCGTAGGCCTAGGATTTTTAAGAGCTCTATACCATGTGAGAAGAAAAGGTAGAAGAGAAGTTGATGGATTGATTGAAAGGATGGGGGGTTTACATAGGAGATGAGTTGGAAACTAGCCTAGGTGAACATTATTGGACCCCAACCAAGGAGTTGGGTTGGGAGATTATTGGTGGGGTCCAATAATGTTGGCCAAGTTGGAGTTGGGCCAACATTATTGGAGGGGACCAATAATTCTACCCATCCCAACCCTTGGGGTCCAATAATTGGACCAAGGTTGGGTTTCCAACCTACAAATTGGGTAACCCCTGCTTGTACACCCAAACTAAGTTTGGGTGCTTATCTCTAGCCTATCCTATAGCATATATGCAGGTTACAAGAGAGGAGATATTCTAACAGGAATGGGACGGGAGGAGCGTGGGCAGACGGAGAGGTGGATAGGCTTGCTGCCCCCCTTGCTGTATTGCCGGAACAGGGTGGCTGCTTGCTTGAAGCTGGGCGCGGTGGGAAACGATGGGAAGAGGTGGGATGTGACGAGATGGGACGGGGAGAGCGGGCAGACGGAGTGGTGGAGATGCTTGGTGCTCCCCGTGCCTGCCATACTGCTGTACTGCCACTCACCCGCCCGCCACAGCTTGCAGCTGCGTGCATTCCGCCGCCACGGCTCTGATCTCCGCCATGATCTCATCCCTGCCCGCCTGCAGGGCAGCCATCACACCCATCGCTCTGAGCGCCCTAACACAGCCTAGACACACCCGTTTCAAAGTCAAACCACACGCACCCCCCCTGCTATCACCTCCCGCCTCCCTCCTCCCTCCCCCTTCAACCGACTCACCCGCCCGCCACAGCTTGCAGCTGCGTGCATTCCGCCGCCACGGCTCTGATCTCCGCCATTATGTCATCCCTGCCCGCTTGCAGCGCAGCCATGGCTGCCACTGCTACCTCCTCCTCCAACTGCTCCCACGCCCGCTCCCCCTCCCCCACCGCCTCCCCCTCCCCCGCCCCCGCCCCCGCACCCTCGCTCGCCTCCCCACTCGCTTCCCCACTCGTTTCCCCACTCGCCTCCCCGCTTCCCTTCCCGGTTTCCGCCACCCGCTCGCATCCCCCCACCCACTCCGCCACCTTCCCCTTCAGCCTATGCACCGTTCCAAACATATCCAGCAGCGGAAGCGCCATCTCCCCCCGCCATTCCCCTTCCCCCAGCAGCTTCCCCCCCCGCTCCCCTTCCCCTGCTCCTTCCCCCTCCCCCGGACTTTCCCCCTCCGCCCGCTCCCCAAATTTCCCCCGCGCCTGCTGCACCAACCCCTGACCCTCAGACACAAGCGCCTGAAATGCCTTGGGATACCCGTTACTAGAGAGTTCTGCCAGCACTGCTGCTTTGACAGCGGCAGGAATCGAACCCTGGTGGCCCGCTTCGCCTCCTGCTTTGCTTGCCACCCCTGCTTCCTCCGTGTTCCCAGCCTCTGCATTCCCAGCCTCGGCATTTCCCTCTATCGCCGCACCATCTGTTGCGGCTGCTGCTGCTCCTGCTGCTGCTGCTGCCGCTGCACCTGGCGTGGTATGCTGCTGACATAGCTCGTCAGGGTACGAGCAGAGCTGGGGAAAGGGAGAAGAGACGAGAGAGAGGGGAAGGGGGGGGGAAGAGAACGCGAGGAATGAGAGCTTAGTGCGGGCCTGGCGAGTGGTATGCTGCTGCGCTTGGCGCGGTGAGCTGCTGGCAGAGCTCGTCAGGGTACGTGCAGAGCTGGGGAGAGGAGGAGGAGGGTGGCGGAGCGACGGCGGAGCTTCAGTGAGCAAGCTGATGAGTAGCGGTTGAAACAAGCTTCTATCCGGCTGATGTAGAAAGAATGGCAATATTGAAAGAGGGAAAAAAATATCATGAAGCTCAGCTCGTCCGTCATGTTCTTACCGCGTACGTGATGTCTTCATGCCACGTCAGCATGGCCAGCAGCAGCGGATCTGTGCTGTCATTGCCGTCCCTGGATGACTCCAGACTCGCCCCCTGCAGCTGCGCGCCGAGCTGCTGCGCGCCATCCGCGTCCCCCGCCAACAGCCGCGCGAACCTCTCGCGAGATCTGGGCAGAAAAACAAATGATAGTGTGGAAAATGATTTGCAGAGAGAATGCAGCGAAGAAGGAAGATATGTGGTTCGCGCAACCAGCAGCCGCGAACAAAGAGCGTCAATTGTCATGACGCGTTCACTACTTTCACTAACGGTTTTTGTTATTTATTTATTTATTTATTCATTTATTTCTTCCTTCCTTCCTTTGTTTCTTCACGAGCTAACCGTGGCATAACAGCATTGCATTGGGAACATCGGCAATCGTCGCTGCATTGCATTGGCCCTTATAAATACTCTTTTTATATTTCTGTCTCCAACACGGTTGAGGGCCACGTAGTCAAACCAATGATTCGATCAGAAGAAAATAAGACAAAGACAATGCAATCTTGTTCCATTTCCCCCTCTTCGTCGTTATTCATTACAAGCACAATAAAATTTCTAAGAAAAGAGAATGTCGGGACAACATGCGAGATAAGGTAGTTTCTACAATCGTAGAAAAGGGTTCCATACCTTTGTGCGTCCATATGAAACAGCCTGAGCTTATTAGGCGACTTAACGAGTCATAACCGAACAGATCAGGAAAAATGCCTTAAGTTACGGCTGACGAGTCTGATAACGTCAGGGAGCAAGTTAAAATCGACGTCCGAAAGCCTAAATAACGTCGCGCACGTTCAAAACGGAATGTAGCTGGTATCTTAGGTGGTGGTAATGATGGGATGGGAGCGAGGGAGTGTTGTGTTGCTGCTCCAGAACTTGTGGCTAGGCCTGGGACGATTACTTGAATACAGTACACCTATCAAGGGATTCTGTTTGAAAGGTGAAGAGGAGCAAGGCAAGGGGGGGGCAAGACACAACACAAGACTAGACGGTGTTCTAGAAGTGTAAACCGCACTCAGGTTTGATTTGTTGCCTTGCGTTCCAAACAGGTAGACCCAAGAACCGTGATGGACCATCCGAACCGCGTAAAAACGTGGAGAAAATCAGCTAAACCGCAAAAAACATACGGGTCTGATATGCACACCTCAACACCATCATGTGTCGGTGGGTAGGGCAGATGCTACACCAACATAGCACCACCAGACAGCAAAGCAAGCAGGGGGAGCGAAACGTGGAGAGTTGGTGATTACGCCCTTGAGATTCCATCGCCCTTGGTCCGGGGAGAGAATGGCTAGGCGATTTGTGCGATTTCTACGTTACCAAGCTGACGAGTGTCGCCTGTCGCCTCACGACTCCCTATGGTTCGAGTCGTGCAAGCACGTCCCGTCCACCAGAACCGTCCGATCGACGATCGAAGACTCGGGCACGAAGACACGTACAATCCTCGACACCACTCCAAGCTCCCCGGAAATACAAATATCAAAGCGAGGGGACAGATTTCAACCCAATCGACGGCGGACGAGTATTTTGAAGGGTTCGACGAAAAGGAAAATGCACGCGCGAAGACTGGTCAATTTCGCACAGTGGTCGTCATTCATTCAATAGAGCTTCGTCCAACCAAAGTAGTAGAGCTTCTGCTGCACCCTCCAACAGCGAGACTGTCACGACGAGACCACAAAAGCCGCTACTCTTCTGTGGCATAGTGCACGCCTGCTTCGACTGCCCGTTGTTTGCGGACTTGCTAAAGCCCTCATCACCCCTATTCTCGCCGCTTGCCTGTCGCTCGCTGCTTCACCTGCCTTTTCAGCTCTAAAAGCTTCATATAGTTGTAGCCGGTAGTCTGCCATCTATGTCCTCTTTTTAACGACAGTTTCCTCGAAAAGGAACAGATTTCTTTTTGTTTTTTGTTTTTTTTTTGTTTTTTTGTTGGCTGTCCAAGGACACTTCTAGTTCAGCCATGGCTTCGTCTGCAGCAGCAGGCGATAGCTCAGCTAGCGATTCGACGGCAACACCAGGCGATAGCAAACATGCTTCCGTAAAGAATCACGATTCGGGTGTGTCAGGATCCGGGAAAAAACGGAAAATCGGCGGGAATTTTTTGTGGGGAGCGACGACGGGGCTCATCACAGGCGTTCTGCTGCAGCCGTTCGATGTGATCCGCACGCATCTGCAGGGATCATCTTCACCGTCCGTTGGAAAAATGGCATCGACATCAGCAGCATCAGCTGCGAAAAACGTGGGTGCTCGATCCTTAAAATCAGCAGCGGTAGACGCGGTTATAGGCCTCACTGCAAGCGCTGCCACAACCGCAGCTACAGCCGCCGCTACAAACCCAGCCACAAACCCAGCTAGCACCGCCGCCGCCACTACAGCTGCCACTGCCGCCACCACCGCCGCAACTGCCGCCACGAGAAAAGCCCTAGCCGCGGCGGCAACCGCGCCGCCGTTACAGCCGAGCATGGGCCGCGTAGTGCGGCTGATTCTCCGGAAGGAGGGCGTGAGGGGGCTGTGGCGCGGCACAGGGCCCACGTGCGTGCGGCTCGGGCTTGGCCTCGGGCTTTTCTTTGCCACGTTGGATCCCGCCATGCACGCTCTCGCCGCCCTAGAGAATACCGTGGAGGAGAACAGGAGGAGGAGGAGCCGGAAAGGAAGGGAGGAAGGTGGGGGAGAGGAGGAGAATGAGGGTTTGGCGAGTGGGGGTGGTGAGAAGGGTGCGGGTGCTCCGCAGTTCTCGTCGCGGGTTACGTTTATGGCGGCGGTGGTTTCGCGATCGCTGGCGGCTGCTGCGCTGTGCCCCGTTTCCGTAGTGAAAACACGCATGGAGGTGAGGGAGAAAGGGGGAGGGGAGGACATGAGTGCTCTTGTTAGGCACATGGAGGTGAGGGTGCAAGTAACAGCCTCTTGTCACACCAATTATTTTTTAGGTGCCAAATTCTTGTCTTGCCAAAATCATCGCACGTTTTTAGGCGCCTCAAATCTATTTTTGAGGCACCTCAGACATTGTTACGCACGTGGAGGTGATGGCGCATGTTACAGCCTCTTCTCACACCACAACTAGCTGCATCATGGTTTTTCGATCGCCGGCGGTTGCTGCGCTGTGCCCCGTGTCCGTGATGAAAAACACGCATGGAGGTGAGGGAGAAGGGAGGAGGGATAGAAGAGAGGAATTAGTGCTTTTGTTGTTGGCGAGTAAACAGACGTTGAAACACGCGATCGCTGGCTGGCTGCTGCTGCGCTGTGCCCCGTGTCCGTGGTGAAGACGCGCATGGAGGTGAGGGGGGGAATGGATAAGTGCTCTTGTTCGAGAGCACGCAGCTACTTGAATGCGCGCTGGCTGCTGCTGCGCAGGCTGCTGCTGCTGCGCTGAAATTCTCTGGTGCGAGTGAAGAGTGTAGAAGGAGGGTACGTGGGTTGGTCACATCCGTAGTCTTTGTTTCTTCTCTATCCCCCTTTCTACAGTGCAGTTCTCTGCAGTGAGCGGAGAGTCTAATAAAGGGACGCTTGGAGGATTAATGTCGATTGCCAGGTCAGAAGGAATAGCAGGTAAAGGCAGGCAGCATGGCGAGCACTCGCTTGCAGTTCTAATTCATGCCTCGTTTCGCACTCACTTCCAGTTCGTTTCTCAAAACACTTATGCCTCGTTTCTCTGCAAAAATCACTCAAATGCTGTGCTTTTGCAGTTAAATCACTTGTCGTGCCTATGGTCCGTATTGGCTGTTTGCAGGCTATATCGAGGATTGGGCAGCACCCTGTTAAGAGACGCACCATACTCTGGGATCTACCTTGTGCTCTACTCGCGCATGCGCTCCCTCATTCATGGTAATGTATGTGCCCTTGGGTAGGTTAGTTATGCATGCATGGAGATGCATGCATGAAATGCGCCGTACTCTACTCTGGCATCTACCTTGTGCTCTATTCGCGCATGCGCTCGCTCCCTCATTCTTGGTAATGTATGTGACCGTGTGTAGGGTAGGGTGTGTATGTGCTTGTAAGTGCATACGCTCACCCCCTCGACTGTACTCTGGGATCTACCTTGTGCTCTACTCGCGCATACGCTCCCTCATTCATGGTAATGTATGTACCCTTGGGTAGGTTGATTTTTTTGTTTGCATGTTGTTGTTTGTATGTCCATGTTAATGAACGTGTGTGTGTAAATGCATGTCTGTGTATTTTAATGTATGTTGGTGCACGTATGTGAATGGTGTTGCATGTACCCTTGGGTATGGTTGTGTATGCACGTGTGTTGGTAGTGTATGTATGTGTATGGCAAAGTATGTGCCTGCCTCTATACTCGCCTGCATCCTCCCAATCCCCCGTGCATCATCTCCCACCCCCGATCTCCCTTCCTCCATCCGCCATCCCCCATGCCCCATCTCCCATCCCCCATCTCCCATCCTCCATTCCGTTTCTCTGTCTGCCCATCAGATCGCATCTCAACGGATGATGGCCATGCAGCGCCCACAGCCCTCTCATTCCAACCCCTGTGCCCCCACCCCTGTGCCCCCACCCCTGTGCCCCCTCTCACCCTTTCCTTCTTTTTTCCCCGCCTATCTGTGTGACCAACAGATCGCATCTCCATGGACGATGGACGCGCAGCGCGCACAGCCCTCTCGTTCCCACCCTCATGCCCCCTCTCACCCCTCCCTGCCTGCCTCCCTGCCTCTCTCCCCTCCTCTCTGTCTGACCAATCGCATTTCAAGTTTCAACCAACGATGGCCGTGCAGCACGTGCACGGTGCTCTCTTCATTAACACCCCTATGCCCCCTCGCACTCCTATGGCCCCTCTCACCCCTCCTTCCCTCTCTCCCCTCTTCTCTGCCTGCCCAACAGATCGCATCTCAACAGACGATGGCCATGCAGCACGCACCATATCCACCATGGCAGCAGGTGTGTGGTGCCGGGTGGGGTGGGGTGGGTTGGGGTCGGGTGGGGTGGGGTGGGGTGGGGTGGGGTGGGGTGGGGTGGGGTGGGTTGGGTTGGGTGGGGTGGGGTGGGATGGGTTGGGTGGGGCTGGTTTGTGCCAGCGTCTGTTCTGTCTTAAACAAATGGAGTAAGCATGCTAGGCCCCTTATGGTCCGTATTTGCCTTTGTTGACCTTTCGAGACACCTATCTTTGTTACCTGCCTTCCGCAGATCCTTAGTTCCTCTTGCCTGGTTTTCCCGTCGAGTTAACACCCTTGTGTCACATTGCTAGCAGGTCTGCTCTGAAAACCTGTGTGCCTCCCTCCCTCCTCTCATTCCCTCCCTTTCCATGCACCTCAAAACAGGTCTGGTTCTGAAAATATGTCTGCCTCCCTCCCTGCCTCCATATCCCCTCCCTGCTTGTCTTTGAATTTAATCACAGGAGCAGCAGCAGGGGCCCTCGCAACCATTCTGACCCACCCACCTGATGTGGTGAGCAGTGATCTTTGAGCATTGCACTTCCTTAGTCCTTGAGCACTGAGCATTAAGTTTTTCTTCCTTGAGAGCTTAGGCCCTGCATGCCGTTCTCTTCTCGTGTGTGTCATCTGTGTTTGCTTCCCCTCTTCAGCTGCGATGTTTGAGTCGACTAGAAAATATCAGCTCCATAGGTTGCTCATTTTGAGGCACCTCAAACTAGTAAATCGATTTATAGGTTGTTTTTTTTTTCCAAGTCGATTTAAAATTCCCCACATGCCGTTCTCTTCCCGTGTGTGTTTGCGTCCCTCCTCTTCAGGTGCGAACCCACCTGCAGCTGGCCACTCTGCATGCGACACCTGGCAAGCCCCTCACCATGCTCGGTGCCACGTCAGCCATTTACAAGGTAGGTTGGATAAGTGAGTATGGTGAAATGAATCACGAGATTTCTTCTGAGGAGCCTCAATTGTCGTTTCATGTCTCGCGCTTTTGTCCCCTTCCATCCTTGAGAATTCTCAAAAATGACTCCTCCATCGCCTCTGTTCCATCCGTCCCCTCCCCCACCCTCTTTCCCCACCTCCTGTGTCCCCCATCTCCTCTGTTTCCTCCTCGCTCCCCCCCTCCCCCCTCCACACAGTCGCAGGGCCTACCTGGTTTCTTTCGAGGGGTGGTGCCGCGTGTGCTGAAGCGGTCAATGCAGCAAGCACTCACATGGTGAGTATACATGTGGTCAGGTGACTTTCCAGGTGCCTAAAACATCAGGTGAGCAGGTTGATTATTTGTGTGGACTCAAAAGTGCAGCAAACGCTCACATGGTGAGTGTGATGAAGCGATTAGCAGAGCAAGCAGTCACACGGTGAGAATACAGGTGGTCAGGTTGATTTCTGGGGCAAATCAATTGTGCATAATACACTCGCATGTGAGTACATGGGTGATTGACATTGCCTGTCCTCGCCCTTCCCTCTTCATTGAAATATCCTCCTGGCTTCATGATTTGCTCCCGACTCCAGAATACACTCGCATGTGAGTACATGGGTGATTGGCATTGCCTGTCCTCCTCCTGGCTTCATGATTTCCTCCCTCCGCCTCCCCCTCCCCTTCCCTCCCCCTCCACCCTCCCTTCCTTTCCACCATCTTTCTTCAAGTTGTTGCAATAAGCATTGATTCTCTGCTTCTCATGATGTTGGTCGCAGGACTCTCTTTGAACGCCTTTCATCCGTTCTATCTGGTAGGACGCTTTGGGACTGGAAAGATGCTGCTGGGCCCGCGAGGAGAAAGGGAGAATGAGGAGCAAAGAAGAGTGAAAAATTGCAATGAGCAATGAGTCAAAGCCTCTGCGGTGTAACTGTGTTGCTCTCAGCAACCTATGAGCCCCCCTCGTCTGTTCTCTCTGATAGAACGCTCTGGGGTTGGAAATATATGGGCCCACAAGGACAACAGATACATGAAGTGGCTATACTCTGCGTGCATGAAAAAACACGGGGAAGGATCTGTACACTACCTAACATGGCGTAGTGTATTCTTTTGTTCTTTATAAGTTGTTTAATCCTCTACAGTATCGAAATCGTCAGACCCAACGAGGAAGCGGAACCAGAGCTTGCAAGATTCCGTTGTGTCGCGCCGCGATTCCTAGCCCAAGCCGCCCCATCCCACCAGTGCCCCACCCCGTCACTGCCCCATCCCTCCCATCCCATCCCGTTCAATCCCTCGCTTCGCGCTCGAAATTTCTGCCGCACCCCAAGCCTGGGCTGGGGCACATTCGGTTTGCATTTGCTTTGCACCGTCTACCATATCTGCACACCTTTCCACTTTCGGGAATAGTTTCCAGTTTGTTCGCTACTTTTGAGAAGCAGTGTCTTGTTTAGTTTATTAGTAGGCGGCATGGCGGAAGGCGATTACCCCGAGTTGGGAAAATGGACCACTGGGTGGTGCGGCTGTTTCGAAGATATGCGATCATGTAACTTTCACGTTCTCCTTAAACACATAGAGCAATACTTTCGTTCATTCCTGGCATCCTCGTTAGTATCACATGGAGTCCATGGTGTTACGGGCTGTCTCGTCTTTCGGTGTCCCTGCGTAGCCTTTGGCCGAGTCGCTTACGTTCTCAATAAACTCACAGAACAGCACAATGTTTCGTTCTTCGTTAGCCCAATGATCCTTCTCCCCGCGTCCATGATGTTACAGGCTTTCTCGTCTTTTGCTGCCCTTGTATAGCCATTGGCCGAGTTGCTAACATCGTGCAAGCAGGGGAAAAAGGTAAGCTATTGATCCTCTCTTTTTTTCCTTCGATAGAGTGCAGCTAGAGGTGCTTCTGAGGATTCTCCAATTTTTTTTTTTTTTTTTTTTTTTTTTTTTACTTTAAACGATGGAGCACTCACCTGAACGTTACGACTCATTCGAATTGAACGGCCCTTTCGCAGGTGGCCTCCTCGCCTTTTTCCCCGATTGCGGCTAGATAATACTTTACTCAACTCAAAACTCGATTGAGGCTAGAGAATCTCGCCGCTGCGAAGCCACGACGAGTCGTAGTCGTAGCGGCTGTATTTGATCCGCTATTTTCCGGGATCCCTCGTGTAACGACCGCGTTTTTCGCACCTCGCTAAGACTTCCCGCGGTCCGCCGAGAGGTCAAGGCGAACTCAGATCGTGAAAACGAATGGCGTGATCACGGGCATGATGAAGAATGGCATGATTACGGATTGCATGATCACGAATGGCATGATCACGGATGGCATGATCACGGATGGCATGATCACGGATGGCATGATCACGGATGGCATGATCACGGATGGCATGATCACGGATGTCATGATCACGGATGGCATGATCACGGATGGCATGATAAATAATGGCATGATAAAGAATGGCATGATAACGATATCTGCCAACCGTCCGAAAGGCATCACGCTCTTGACGAAGCACCATTCTTGTCAGGCAATCAAGAAAAACCGAAATGCAGCAAGCTGCGAGGCTGTTTTTTTACAATTCTCGAAAATCGCTCTCAATATTTCACCTCCACCAAATTTTCCCAGTGTGCTTGCTTCTAGTAACAAAGTGGCATGCTCATTTCCGTTCTCGTCTCTGATCTGGTCTGATCTGATTTGTTCTGATCTAATATGGTCGGATGTGCCACGACTGACTCATGATGCAATGCTTGGTGTTCTGTGGGTCGCAGAAGCGGGTGAATTCTGCATCTTCTGGTGCATCGCCCAGTGCCTCTGCTTCAGCGGTTGCTGCGTGGCCACAGGTACTACTCTCTCCCACTCTCGTTTTGTTCATGTTTTTTTTTTTAAGGTGACTTAGGAAGTTATTAGGTGAATAATTGGTCAACTTGAAAGGTCTTCTGGTGCATCGCCCAGTGCCTCTGTTTCAGCGGTTGCTGTGTGGCCACAGGTACTACTCTCTCCCACACTCTCCCACTCTCTCCCACCCGCTCCCCCTCTCTCCCCCCCCCCCCCCCCTCCTCCTCTCTCTCTCTCTCTCTCTCTCTCTCTCTCTCTCCTCTCTCTCTCTCTCTCTCTCTCCCTTTCCTTCTGAGGTGACTTATGAGTTCACTGGATGTTTTGTAAGCTGACTCAAAAGGTCTTCCGGTGCATCGCCCAGTGCCCCTGCTGCAGCAGTTGCTGCGTGGCCACAGGTACTACTCTTTCTCACTCTCTCCCTCTCTCTCTTTTTCTTTCCCCACCTCTCTTGCGTCCCTTTGATAAAATTTGAGCTTTGAGACGTCTCAAAACTCAGCTTTTATCACATGGCTTTCTCTTGTACTAAGATTCCATAACTTGCATCCCGTAGCAAACAGGCTCCTCTTCGTTTCTATGGGCGTACAGTATACGCAAATATACGTACATTACGAAAACTTTGGCTCCCTTCTTCCCTCCCCTCTCTCCCTGAATCCTCCCTCCCTCCCTCCCTCCCTCCCTCCCTCCCTCCCTCCCTCCCTCCCTCCCTCCCTCCCTCCCTCCCTCCCTCCCTCCCTCCCTCCCTCCCTCCCTCCCTCCCTCCCTCCCTCCCTCCTTCCCCCACTCCCTTCTCCCCTTAGGTCGGATTCCTGTCCTCGTGTCTTCCTTCTCCCTTCTCCCTTTTCCCCTTAGGAAAACCCTTTGCACGGGAGAAAAAAGACTCGGATGACACGAAGTGCGGAAGACACGAAGTGAGGAATCCGGCCTTATACTCAGAGTACCGAGAGTCGCTAAGGCCGAGGTACGACCTTCCAGAAAAGCCCTGTGGCGATCACTGGATGCACTAATGCTGTGCGCGGTGACTGTTGACACAACTCAGGCCCTCCCTCCGTCCCTTCCCCCCAACTCACTCCCACCCTCCCCCACTCCCTTCTCCCCTTATACTCAGAGTACCGAGAGTCGCTAAGGGCGAGGTACGACCTTCCAGAGAAGCTCTGTGGCGATTTCTGGATGCACTGGTGCTGTGCTCGTTGACTGTTGAGACGTCTCAGAAGCCCTCCCTCCCTCCGTCCCCCCCCCCCCCCACTCCCTCCCTCCCTCCGCCCTCCCCCACACTTCCTTCCTCTCTCCATCCTCCCCCCACACTTCCTTCCTCTCTCCGTTCTCCCGTCCCCCCACTCCCTCCTCCCGTCCGCACTCAGAGTACCGAGAATCGCTAAGGGCGAGGTACGACCTTCCAGAGAAGCCCTGCGGCGATTTCTGGATGCACTGGTGCTGTGCGCTCTGTGCCATTTCCCAGGAATATCGAGAGCTCACCAACCGAGGCTGGGACCTCTCTGTTGGTGAGTGTTGTGTGTGGGCTGCATTGGTGTTGCTATCTCTGGATGCACTGGTGCTGCTGTGCGCTCTGTACCATCTCCCAGGAATATCGAGAGCTCACCAACCGAGGCTGTGACCTGTCTATCGGTGAGTGCTATGTGCCAATGCAGGTGCATGCTTGGTGACCCGATGCTTCTAGGCTGCACTGCTGCTGTGCGATTTCTGGATGCACTGCTGCTGTGCGATTTCTGGATGCACTGGTGCTGTGTGCTCTGTGCCATTTCCCAGGAGTATCGAGAGCTCACCAGGCGTGGCTGGGAACTGTCTATCGGTGAGTGCTGTTTGTGGGGTGACACACGCGCATGCTTCGTGATTTGAGTCTCTTGGCTGCACTGGTGTGGCGATCCCTGGATGCTCTGCTGCTGTGCGCTCCAGAGAGCTGAGAGTTGACCTCTACCATCTCCCAGGTTTATCGCGAGCTCAAGAGCTGGGGCTGGGACCTGTCCTTGGGTGAGTGTCCATGTCCCCTTGTGAGTGAGTGCTCTGTGAGGGCGATACACGCACATGCTGGGTGGCCCACTTCTTTCTTGGCTGCACGGGTGCCCTGCGCTCTGTGCAATCCCTTTGGAGTGCCGAGAGCTCACCAGGCGTGGCTGGGACCTGTCTTTGGGTGAGTGTCCGTCCATGTCCCCCGGTGAGTGCCCTGTGAGGGCGATACCTGTGAGTGCCCTGTGAGGGCGATACGCGCACATGCTGGATGGCCCACTTCTTCTTGGCTGCACTGCTGCTGCTGTGCACTCTGCGCCAGCGCTCTGTGCCATGTCCCAGGAGTACCAAGAGCTCAAGAGCCGAGTGCTCTATAAATCAGGACCCGTCTATTGGTGAGTGCTGTGAGTTTCACGCAGCTGCATGCGTGGTCACCCTATGCGTGAGTGCTTTGCGCTCTGCACCATCTCCCAGGAGTACCGAGAGCTCACGAGCCATGGCTGGAAGAGCGAATAACCGTGTCAACTGAATGACTTGATGTCTTGCGTGTGCATGTACTTGGTGGGGTGCAGATTACAGGGCAAACAAGAATAGGACTCCTCCTCCTCAACAGTTTATGGAGAAAACCCAACCAAACGCGTCTGATGCCAGTGCAGAAGTGGTTACTACAGGTGATACATAAAGGTGTATGACAATTCATAGTGACATATGGAGTTAACTGTATGGAGGGCCTAAAGGAACATTCTTACCACGCATCACAAAAGGCGATAGATGATGTGGTGCAAATATCTAATCGTCTGGTGTAATATGGTGGGGTGGAGCGCAGTACCCTCCTTTTGCGATGCATGATTTTATGATGCCTATGCTAAAAGATGAATGCTTGTATAGTGCAATCGCATATGTACATAAAAATTAACTCAGCTTTCTATACGGTAACGTGAGTACAGCTTGTAATTTGATCCTGATCGCACCTTTTTTTTGTAATTCGCAAACCAAAAAAACCAGTTTCGCTCATGCGTTTTCAATCGGACGAATTTCGAGCTCGTTACCCGATGCGCTACAGCTACAGTGTTTCCCGCCTGATTTGTTTCCCTCCGAATCGCGCTGACACCATACGTCAGACAGCTTTGTGCGAGATCCTGTCAGCTGCATATCACCAGGCTTCTAAGCTCGTCGAATCCGTACATAGACAGACCGCATGTCACTAAGCAATAAAGATTATTTTTCCCAGCACAGGAATTTGATATCGTGAATCTCGACTGCCTTTCAACGGTAACATTTTGTTGGTGCGACGCGGCTGGTGGCTGAGGATACGTTTAGCGGGAGAAAGTCACGGAGCGCGATGAAGGTTAGAGGTGGCGCTAGTCCATGCGAGCAGTTGGAGGAGGAACTAGAGGAGGAGGGACTGGAGGGTGAGCAAGGGGACGAGGAGGAGGAGGAACAGGTGGAGGAGGGGGAGCCGTCAATTCTCACCCCTCCGCGTGCAAAGCGATCGAAACGCGGAGCGCCCGTGGTCACGGCGCGGCGAGCCCTCGACAGCCAGCCCGAGGCGGAGATTCGTTACGGAGACCTAAACGCCTTACCCGCCGACGTGTTGCGGCGCGTCGCGAAGGCGGTGGTGGAGCGAGACGGGTGCTGCTGCTGCTCGTGGTCGCTCGTGTCGTGTGCCATCGCCATGCCGTGCTTTCGGCGCGCTCTGTCGGGCGACGTGCCTCTCGTGTTCTACGAAGCATGCCCATGCTCAATCCGTCCCAAATCCCTCGCACAACAAATTCGCAGCTTCACTTGGCTGACCAAACAGGTCTCCCGTCCTTCCCACCTCCTCTTCTCTCTCGATACCCCTCCTCCCCGGCTCTTCTCCTCCCTATTACGCTCCTCCCTTTTCCCGTACCTCTCCTCCCTCACTTCACTCGATCTCGACTTCTCCCGTCGCCTCTCCTGCCCTCCGCGCCTTCTCTACTCCCTCGCGCAAGCTCCGCGCCTCGAGACGCTCTCGCTTTTTCATGGCGTCATGCGGGCAGACGGCGAGCATGGGCTGGCGCGGCGCAGCAGCAATGACGCAGTGCTAGTAGCGGAGATGTGGGAGATGATTTCGATCATGGAGGAATATCAGCTGGATAATGGCACGGAAAGGCCATTTCCGGGGCTGTCTCGCCTGGAGCTCTCTCTTCCCGCCTGTTCGCCGCTCGTCCTTCGCTTCGTCTCCTGCGTCGCTCCCCAGCTTCGCAGACTCGACCTAATCTCCACAGCAAGTCACTTTGAGGTTAAGGAGGGGGAAGAGGGCGCTGAAAACGGTGCAGGGAACGTGGTCGGGCGGAGGGGGCAGGAGAACGACAATGGCGGAAGGAACACCTACGCTTTACACCTCTCGCTGGCCACCAAGATCACGTTTAACAAAATCAACTGCTCCCTTTCGCTGTCCGCCCCTCGTCTCTCTGCCCTCAGCGTCACCTGCCAGAACCACCGCTCCCGTCTGCTCCTGCTCCCCACCTGCCCCGCGCACCTGACATCCCTTGTTCTTTGCACATGGCCCCTGCGCGACTGGCCCCACCCCTGGGCAGAGGAGGGTCAAGAAGGGGCATTTCACGCGCCGCACCTCACCTCTGTTGACTCCCTTTGCTACAAAATGCAGCCAGAGCAGGTTTCGTGCTTCCCGTCTGGCGTGATAGGGACTGTGAAGTCGATGGAGTGGGATTTTAGTTTCGTTTCGCAGCCGTTGGACCTGCGTGGTTGGGAGAGCTTGCGGTGTTTCTATGCTGGAGGCTGGGCACCTCTGACAGTGCTTCGCTCCGATGTGCTCTGGCCTTGCGGCATTGAGGGGCTGTTTTTCACCGAGATTGGAAGCGATTTGGTGGAAATATTTGAGAGCTGGTTAGAGGGGGGCGATGGGGGAAAGGTTCTGGAATGGATTAGGCATAGGGAGGGCACATCTGGAAGCCGAGATGAGACAAACTTGGAAACAGGAGGTTGTTTGACTTCAGGGGAAGAAGGCAGGTGCGTGGAGGCTGGAACTGGGGATAAAGACCAGAAAAATGGGAGGGATTTGTTGGCTCAATTGTTGCCTGAATGTAAGAATTTGCAGCGGTTTGTGGGGTGGGACAGTAATGGGTTTGTGTTGTATAGGCTAGACGCTGCTGAAGGGCTGAGTAAGGAAGTGGGTGGGGACCTAGGTGGGTGGAAGAAGTTTGTTGATGACAAAAGAGTGTTACTATTAGAAAGAGGATTGGTGGATTGCATTCACTGAACTTCTGTAAGTAATCTATTACACATGTTTTCCGTTATCGAAGCCTGTGAATCGATCGCGTACAAGAATGCCACAAAAGGCTTCGCTTTCACCAACTCCTGGGCTCAGTTGTCGACTTTACATTACCGCAGTCAACCCAACAGAAACGAGGTCATTTCTGACGCACCGTAATGTTCCTCCCATCTGCCTGGTCCCTAAGGGCGCGTGTCTTTTGGTGTATAAGTTCAAAAACAGTCGAGCTTTTGCTGGTAACTAGTTGCATTAATTTCGTCAATAGCTCTTTGCGACAAACTTGTGTCCACGTTTTATAGATGATGAAATCGAAGGACAATGAACTGGGGTCGAGTTCCACGTGCCCTTTTATCCAAACGTGTGTACTTCCAATCATGCACAGTGAATCTGCGAGGTTGACGAATCTCACGAATTACATTGTGCCACGTTACTGAATCCGGATTAGGTCACGAGCCATGTCGTCAAACCAGGTAACCTACGAAATTTGCGCGCGACTCGGGTTTTACAGTATAAGGGCGCGTAACCATTCTGCATTTTGCGATTTTGACGGACAGTTCGTTTAAATCGAAGCGGACGGTCCATCTATCGAGAATGGGACCGTCCGATTGATTTTTTTGCAACTTCGGACTGTCCGAAGGCAGTTGTGAAACTTTTTTCCCTAATGTACAGTTTCACGATTACGGTACAAGCGTTACTCGATTCGCTCTTGCTCGCAGAACTCGTGATCGAATCGTTTTTGTTTAAATGTCAATTAGCGAAGTAACATCGAATGTTTTTGTTGGTGGACGAGGTGACTCGATAAATTCTACATCGCACGCCAATCGTGTGCAAGGGCTGTCGGACAGTCCGCTTGGGATTCGGACAGTCCACGGTTCAGATTTCGGACCGTTGCAAATGGGAAAAAGTGTCACGACAGTCCGTTTCGTTGGCGATGTCGCCAACACCTTCGCGAACAAACTTACGACACTGAACGAAATACGTAACCTCTTCGTCACCCGGACGGTCCACGGTTCGAACCGTCGGGTGCAAAATGGTTACGCGCCCTAAATTCGAGCTTCCAAAGTCGAACTTTGTTGTGCCCCTTGCTTGATGCGAAAGGTGCGCTGAAATTTCCCTCCAAAAGTCGAGATGGTCGACTACAGGTCGACCAAAGTTTGAACTTAGACACGCGCCCTAAAGCATTAGACACGCGCCCTAAAGCATTTCTGCACCTAGATTTCAGATTCATAACACAGACAAATGGCTGCTATGTGAAGGTGGCAGCGCCTAGCCGACTCCAGGGTCCGGAAACTGAAGTCGGAGTGACGTCCGGAAACTGTCGTGTCGCGCGATTGTTGTTAGGTCCCTGTGGAAACGTCGTCTAACTCGTGTCATTTCCCCCCCGGTGACATCGTAGCCGTTGGTTGGAAATTCTCGGCGTCGTAGCGATGGCGGCGTTGTTGGGTCTGGACGGCTTGTTTCTCGGCTTCGATAGCTCCACGCAGTGAGTTTAAAATGATCCGCGTCTGTCTGGGAATGTCTTTTGAGTCGACTAGAAAGCCGTTGTTGGGTCTGGACGGCCTGTTCCTCGGCTTCGATAGCTCCACGCAGTGAGTTTAAGATCAATTGCATCGACTCAGTGTGTCTTTGGAGTCTACTCGAAAGTCTTTTTGGCTTTGATAGCTCCACGCATTGAGTTCGAGATCATTTACGCCTGCTTGAGACGCAGTAAGCTGAAGCACATTTGCTTCCGTTGGAAATATCATAGACTAGGCCGTTTACCAGGCAGATATTATCCCAGATAGGTTCAGCTCGCACCGAACTGAACCGCATTCTCTGATTGTCGGCGTAGGGACACGCGCTACTGATTGATTTACTCTATTATGACGCTGACATTACCGTCCCGCACCCTCTTACCTGAAACTTCCCCCCTTCCCCCCACCCATGCACATTTTCCCGCTAAGCACCCTCCTCCCCTCCCACCCCGCCGCTATTCCCCCATCGCCCCCCCGCCCTCCCGTCCCCCCCTTCCCTTCACCTTCGCTGCCTTCTTACACACTGTCTCCAGGTCTCTCAAGGCCACAGCAATTGATTCCTCCCTTCGCGTCGTCGCTACCGAATCACTCCAGTATGACACAACCCTCCCCCACTACCGAACCTCCGGCGGCGTGCACCGAGCCTCCGTCGAACCCGATTCCCGAGCCTCCTCATCAGGCTCGGCGCTTAGAGTCACTGCACCACCAGCCATGTGGGTACAAGCATTTGATGTGATTCTAGCGAGGTTGAAAGAAGCAAATTTTCCGTTTGATAAAGTCCGGGCAGTTTCCGGCAGCGGGCAGCAGCACGGGAGTGTTTATTGGCGGAGAGGAGCCCGGGCACGGCTCAGAAACCTTCAATCTGACCGGACTCTGTTTGCTCAGCTATGTGGGGATGAGAGAAACAGGAAAAGGGAGGGGCTCAGCTCAAATGGTTCAGCACAGGGTGATTCGTTTCAAGACAATGCATCATTGCAAAGTGTATTTTCTATTTTAGATTCCCCAATCTGGATGGACAGCAGCACAGCAGTACAGTGCAGGGAAATCGAAGCAGCCCTTGGCGGACCTGCAGCTTTGGCTCGGCTGACGGGCTCCCGAGCCTACGAGCGGTTCACCGGGCCTCAGGTTCGGCGGGTGTGGCAGCATCAGGCTCGGGAGTATGAGAACACAGAGAGGATTGCTCTAGTGAGCTCGTTTGGCGCGTCGCTATTGGTCGGAGATTATGCCCCCATAGATGCTGCTGATGGTGCTGGGATGAATCTGATGGATCTGCGGACGAGACAGTGGGCTGACGTGGCACTAGAGGTGAGCTGATGTGGCACAAGAGGTCAGTCAAAGTGCTGCAATGATGCTACTATTATGTCAATGAATCATGTATTCAACCATTTCGAGTGACACTGCTAGAGGCACACAAAATATATATGTATGGATACACACACACACACACACACATATATAAAATATATATATATATATATATATATATTTATGAATATAATGCAATAGAATTCTTTCTGGCAAGCATTCCTCTGCACACCTTGTTATCTACAGCATGCTTCCATCGTGTCTGATGAATGGTTTTATCCGGACCTTGATCGCATGTCCACTTGCCCACCCTTCCCTCCTCCCCACTCCCCGTGCTCTCTCCCCCCCCGCCCGAGCCTGGCAGGCCACAGCGCCGAACCTGCGAGAGAGGCTCGGCGAGGTGGTTCCATCCCACCAAGTGGTTGGGAGTGTGCATCAATACTATGTGGACAGGTGCGTGTCTGTGTTGCATTTTGAGGCATCAGTAGTACTCTGACATGTGCGTGCTTAGTGATCCCTCAAAATCCCTGACAGGAGCGTGTCTGTGTTGCTTTGTGTTTGATTGAGCTGTCTCCAACCTGAGGTGGATATGCAGCGCGGCAGCGCTTTGTGAATCGCCAAGTCGAGGTGATTTCTGAGTCGACTCAAAAGTAACCTGAAGTGAATATCCGGTGTCTAGTGAATGGCCAACTCCCGACATGGTCACGCAACAACTACTGGGCTCAGTAACGGGTAAATGCTTCCTGTTCCCCCTCCCCCTCCCCCTCCCTGTTCCCCCTGCCCCTCCCTGTTCCAACCACCCCCCCCCTCCTACTTTCCTCCTCTTTCTCTAGGTTTGGCTTATCCCCGAGCTGCCAAGTCGTGGCATGGTCACGCGACAACCCTTGAGTCACCTCAAATCTCCTGTATCCCTCATCCCTTTTTCCGCACCCTGCTTTCCTGTCCTGCTCTCTGCCTCCAGGTTTGGCTTCTCCCCGAGCTGCCAAGTCGTGGCGTGGTCAGGCGACAACCCTTGCAGCCTTGCCGGTAAGAAGCACTTGCACCCATTTGCACCTATTTGCGCTCTCTTGCACCGTTCTTGCACCCACTTCCACGCGCGCTGCAACCCTGTTCGTCATTCTGAACCTGTTGACGCCACTTATTTTCAGGTTTGATTTGAAAAGACGGCTGTTTCCAAACCTAATGCCGGACCGGACCACCTGCTGCCTGCTATCCCTGCCTCGCAGGTTTGGCACTGGGAGGTTCGGGCGATGTGGGCATCAGCCTCGGAACAAGTGACACTGTGAGTAATTGGGGGTGTATGTATGAGTGGTGGGACGGGGAATCATGGTACAATAGCAGCCAATGCTACTCTTGATTCAATTATTCCCTATCCCATCCCATCGCATCCCATCCCATCGCATCCCATCCCATCACATTGCATCCCACCCCTCTCCACCCCTTCCTGTCCCATCCCAACCAGGTGCTTGCAGTGGTGAAGGACTCCCAACCTCGCGTGGAGGGTCGTTTCTTTGCCATCCCATCTCATCCCTTCCCACTTATTCCCACCTCTCCCCATCCCCTCTCACCCCATCCCAACCAGGTGTTTGCAGTCGCGATGGACCCTCGACCCGGTTTGGAAGGTCATGTCTTTGCCATCCCATCCCATTCCACCCATTTCCACCCCTTCCCACCCCATCCCATCCCATCCCATCCCATCCCATCCCAACCAGGTGTTTGCAGTGGTGATGGACCCTCAACCTGGTCTGGAGGGTCATGTCTTTGCCATCCCATCTCATCCCTTCCCAACCCTTCCCACCTCTCGCCATCCCCTGTCACCCCAGCCCAACCGGGATGGGCCCTCGACCCAGTTTGGAAGGTCATGTCTTTGCCATCCCATCCCATACCACCCATTTCCACCCCTTCCCATCCCTTCACCCCATCCCAACCAGGTGTTTGCAGTGGTGATGGACCCTCAACCAGGCTTGGAGGGCCACCTCTTTAACCCTCTACTGCCGCTCCCATCCCACCCATTTCCACCCCATCCCATCCCTTCCCATCCCCTCCCATCCCAACCAGGTGTTTGCAGTGGTGGTGGACCCTCAACCAGGCTTGGAGGGCCACGTGTTTCCCAACCCTGTGGATCCATCCTCGTTTATGGCCATGATCTGTTATAAGAACGGGTCGCTCACTCGACAAGGTACGAGCGTTCTTACGGTGTAGCACTAGAAACTTGCATATGTGATTAGATGTGTGTTTTTTATTTCTTGGAATGCCGTTTGCCTTTTGAGTTGGCTCAAAAGTATGCGATTGGTTGTTCATACTTCGTGGCCGATTGGTGCTCCTGCTGATGCTGTTGGAAAGTGTCAAACGTACATATGTTACACTGTGCAATAATGCGTGACGTTATTTAAGTGTTAAAATCCCATCAGCATCCTCCCTCCCGCCACCAGCCATCAGGGACTGCTGTGCAGGAGGGTCATGGAACGGGACGCATTCTGCAAGCTGCTGAATGAAGCTAGTGTGGGTGTGTGGGATAATCTGTGTCTATTCGTGAAGGCACCTGGTGGTCTGACTCACGTGCATTGCAATAATCCCCTCCCACCATCCCGCTACCAGCCATCAGGGACCGCTGTGCAGGAGGGTCGTGGGAGACATTCTGCAAGCTGCTGAATGAAGCTCCTCCTTTGAACGGTGAGCTACTGGTGCTGCATGGTGTGGAGCGGTGCTGAATGGTCTGCATGGTGTGACGACACTGACTACACGGGAGAGCGTGGTGTGAGAATGGAGGGTTTCCTGTGCAGGAGGGTCGTGGGACGCATCCTGCAAGCTGCTGAATGAAGCTCCGCCCTCGAATGGTGAGCTGCTGGTACTGCATGGTACTGCTCGGTACTGCATGGTGTGACCACACGGGAGAGCCGCAAGCGTGGTGTGAGAATGGAGGGACCGCTGTGCAGGAGGGTCGTGGGAGACGTTCTGCCAGCTGCTGAATGAGGCTCCGCCATTGAATGGTGAGCTGCCGGTGCTGCATGGTGTGAACACACACACGGCAGAGCGTGGTGTGAGAATGGAAGGCTCGTGCAGGAGAATCAAGAGTGGGGGCACTCTGCAAGCTGCTGAATGAGGCTCCGCCCCTCAATGGTGAGTGCATGCAATGCAACAATTCGTGATCTGGACATTATTTTGGTTGACAATCGTGCATGACTTATGCGCTGATTTGATCATCTCATCATGCTGTTGTGAGGGTCGCAGATCGATGCTGAGTCCCTGACCGTCTGACATCCCCCACCTCACCACCTCCCCACCTCCTCTCCACCTCCCCACCTCCTCGCCTCTGTTGTAACGCCTGGGCAGGTGGGCGAATGGGCTTCTACTATCTTGACCCAGAGATCATCCCCCCACTCCCTGGTAAGCTGGTAACCAGGTTACTACTTCCTTGGGTACTCGCATTCCCTCTGAGAGGTGGGTGCGTGGGCAGGTGGGCATATGGGCAGCACAGGTGGGCGCATCGCATGGGCTTCTACCATCTCGACCCGGAGATCATCCCCCCACTCCTTGGTAAGTAGGTCTGAACACAGGTTTTGAACGGGTTGTTGCTTGAGAATTCAAAAAAAAAAAAAAAAAAAAAAAAAAAAAAAAAAAAAAAAAGTCAGTATCTAAACACTTGGGTATGAACTCATTATTACTTCATAAGGTACCCACGTTCCGTCAGTGCCCGCATTCTTACGTCACGGGACTTGTATGCACGTGGTTGCATTGCCTACTACGTCCCGTGTGTCCCATTCCTACAGTGTGAACCCATCGGTTTTTGCCAAAGAGGGTGCGAGCAGAACAGTCACCGCTGGAGGGGCTTCCGGTTGCGATCATCTCACAACTTATCGGCTATTTCCCTATCCCGTCGCCCCTGTGTCTGATTCTTTCAGTGGGGACCCATCGGTTTTCGCCAAGGGAGGGTGGGGACGACTCACTCACTCGCCTCTCCCCTGATCAAACCTACGAACCACCACAAGAGGTAACCTTGCTTGCTGCAATGTCATCATATTGAATCACCCTGCACAGGGGTAATAGAGGGGTAGATAGTGAGGCGTGGATGGTGAAGAGGCGTATTGTGAAGGGCAGCTGGTGTCAATGAGATTGCTTGCGGAGAGAATAGGTCTGCAGAGCCCGCACTTGTTCCCCCAGTAATTGCTCATCTTCCATTCTCTCATACTTCGTTAGCCTCTCTATGCCGCACAGGTCAGGGCACTGGTGGAAGGGCAGCTGGTGTCCATGCGAGGCCATGCGGAGAGAATCAGGCTGGAAAACCACTTATTCGGCGTCCTCCTTTCATCCCTCTTCCTCCCACTTCCATGATTCTTTCTGCGACTCACAGATCAGGGCATTGGTGGAAGGGCAGCTGGGGTCGATGAGAGGGCATGCGGAGAGAATCAAGCTGCAAAGCCCACCTGTCTTCCCCACCAATCGCTCGTTGTTCATCCCTCATTCTTTGTTCTCCCCTCTGTGCATCCCTCATTCTTTGTTCTCCCCTCTGCCTCACAGATCAGGGCACTGGTGGAAGGGCAGTTGGTGGCAATCCAGGGGCATGCGGAGAGAAGTTTTAGAACCTTCTTCTCCCCTTTCTCTGTTCATTAACCTCTCATTCTCCCCTCTGCCTCACAGATCAGAGCACTGGTGGAAGGGCAGCTGGTGTCAATGAGAGGGCATGCGGAGAGGATTGGGCTGCAAAGCCCACCTGCCCGGATCATTGCTACGGGGGGCGGCTCGGCCAATGAGGCGATCCTGCGCACCATGGCAAATGTTTTCGGCTGCCCGGTGTACACTTCAACATCCACAGGTAATTCAAACAGGTTACACTAACTGGAAAACTATACGAGATGAGTATCACACAAGCGCAAGCGACTCGAGGAGAAAAAACAGAAATAAAGCAAAAACTGCAAGTGTCATGGCTTGTTCAAACTTTTGTGGAGGTGCCTCATCTCAACACCGAAGGCCCGTTTGCTTGCCGTAAAAGGTGAGTGATGATATGCAGGGAGCATGAAGGGTGCATGCATATCATCACGCACCTTTTTAGATTGATCTTTCGCGCCTGTACACCTGATGCTAGTGATTGTTGTCGTTGTACGTCTGTTGAGACGTCTCAAAAGTTGACTGTTGCCGTTGTACGTCTGTTGGCATGATTTCTATTAGCATGATTGCTGTTAGCATCATCTGTCCCCTCTACTCCTTTGCTTTGCTCTCATTTCCTCCAATCTTCACTAAGAGCAGCACACGGCTACCTCTGCCACACCCAAGGCTCCTTCTCAACTCTCCTGTATCTTTGCTCATTTCACTCTCTTCTTGCTCCTTCCCTTCCACCTCCCCTTTCCAAGACTCCGCTTCACTGGTAGCAGCACTGAGAGCAGCACACGGCTACCTCACCCTTCCTAATCCAACCCCCTCCCCTCGCTTCCTTCCTTTCCCCATCCAGTCTCCGCTTCACTGGGAGCAGCACTGAGAGCAGCACACGGCTACCTCACCCTTCCTAATCCAACCCCCTCCCCTCGCTTCCTTCCTTTCCCCATCCAGTCTCCGCTTCACTGGGAGCAGCACTGAGAGCAGCACACGGCTACCTCTGCCTCACCGAGGCTCCTTTTCGACTCTCCCCTATCTTTGCTCATTTCTCCTCTTCTTGCTCGCTCCTTCCCTTCCATCTCCCCCCTTCCAGACTCTGCCTCGTTGGGAGCGGCACTAAGAGCAGCACACGGCTACCTCTGCCACTCCCATGGCTCCTTTCTCCCCTTCACCTCCCTCCTGGCTCAAGCCGGTGCCAGCTCAGCAAGTGCCACCTCAGCAGGTGCCACGTCAGCAGGTGCCAACTCAGCAAATGCCTCTGCAGAAGGTACCACATCAGCAGAAGCCCCTAGCGCTGTTTCTTTGTCCGAAGCAATCCCTGCCGGATCCCCGGACCTGCACGCGAGGTACGGGGATATGGTGGCTCGGAGAATGGCTGTTGAGAAACAGCTTCTGGAAGAAGCTACGGGGTAATCACCCTACTCTAGGCACCTTTTGGCAGATGCCAGAAGGAAAATTCTCCAAGCATTTTCAGAATCGAAACAGCTATTGGAAGAAGCTACGGGGTGAACTCAAATGGGCACCTTGTGAATAGGAACTGTTCTGTAAGAAGCTACAGGTTAAACGTCTATACTATTTACACTTTAAGCATTAAAACAGTTTTGGAGAAGCAAGTATTGGGTATAGAGGTGGTTTCTCACAGAGATGGTGTTATGAGAGTTCAGGCGCCGTCACGGTAATATCTCTCAACACAAGAGATGACACGCTTGAGATGGTATGGCAATAGAAATCATTTGTACTTGCAAATATTTTCTGGGTAGTGTGCTTTTTAGTGTAACCATCCTGACATTATAGTTTCTTCGGAAGGAGTTTACTGAAGCACTCAAATCCAGCATTCTACACAATCACTGTGTACACATAAGCGAGGCAAATAGTTTACCAATTCCAAAACCTACTACTGTAACAATACGAAAACAAACCCACGGTAATCTAATGCCATAAGCGACTGCAAAAGTTTCCATTCTACTCTTGCGGCAACACGGCATTGCTCAAACCTTCCTAGAGTGTGCATACCCCCAGTTACCCTATTGGCTGACCCCAAGGGCCCTCTGTGCCACTGTAAGGGGTGTGCAGCAGCAGCACAGCGATGGTCATGGGACGGACCCACTCCCCCTGGAACGGGTGTGATCCGCCCAGCCACCTCTGGTCAGACTCAGGCCCTACTGTCTTGTACTCTAGCTGACACCCAGAACCCTCTAACCCCAGTGCATTAGCCCCCAGTGCCCCAGGTGTGACCCACCCAGCCACCTCTGGTCTGACTCAGGCCCTACCGTCTTTGAGACGTCCCAAAACCCACCTCTGGTCTGGCTCGGGCCCTACTGTCTTCTACTCTAGCTGACCCTCAGAACCCTCAGAGTACTGTCTGTATCGCCCTATGAATTAGCCCCCAGGGCCCTCTGACCTGCTGTAAGCGTGTGCTGCAGCAGCACAGCAATGGTCATGGGCCCCACTCCCCCTGGCACGGGGGTGATCCACCCAGCCACCTCCCTGGCCTTGCAGTGCACATCCCCCACCAGCCGGTACCCCGCCTTCCAAGCAAACATGTGTTTGTTGCAAGCAGCACAAGTGAACAACGTGAACCAAGTAACGCCCTATCAACTATCCCCCAGTGCCCTCTGCGCTGCTGTAAGCGTGTGCTGCAGCAGCACAGCAATGGTCATGGGCCCCACTCCCCCCGGCACGGGGGTGATCCACCCGGCTACCTCCCTGCCCCCCTCATAGTCCACATCCCCCACCAGCCGGTACCCCGCCTTCTTGCTCGCATCGTCCACTGCGTTGATCCCCACATCGATCACTGCACACCCTGGCTTCAGCCAGTCGGCCTTCACCTGTTGGTAGGACAGGGAGGTGAGGGGAAGTGGAGGGGAAGGAGATGGGAGAAAGGGAGGAAGTCGATTGATAGGGAACTTCCCTTCCCCCCTCGTAGTCCACATCCCCCACCAGGCGGTACCCCGCCTTCTTGCTCGCATCGTCCACTGCATTGATCCCCACGTCGATCACTGCACAACTCGGCTTCAGCCAGCCCGCTTTCACCTGTTAAGGAAAGGGAAGGGAACAGAACAATGCATTATTTCTTGAGCTCGCATCGTCCACTGCATTGATTTCCACGTCGACCACTGCACACCCTGGCTTCAGCCAGTCTGCCTTCACCTGTGGGGAAGGAGAGGGAACAGAGCAATACATTCTTTCTTAAGCTCGCATCGTCCACTGCGTTGATCCCCACGTCGACCACTGCACACCCTGGCTTCAGCCAGTCTGCCTTCACCTGTGGGGAAGGAGAGGGAACAGAGCAATACATTCTTTCTTAAGCTCGCATCGTCCACTGCGTTGATCCCCACGTCGACCACTGCACACCCTGGCTTCAGCCAGTCTGCCTTCACCTGTGGGGAAGGAGAGGGAACAGAACAATGCATTCTTTCTTAAGCTCGCATCGTCCACTGCGTTGATCCCCACGTCGACCACTGCACACCCTGGCTTCAGCCAGTCTGCCTTCACCTGTGGGGAAGGAGAGGGAACAGAGCAATACATTCTTTCTTAAGCTCGCATCGTCCACTGCGTTGATCCCCACGTCGACCACTGCACACCCTGGCTTCAGCCAGTCTGCCTTCACCTGTGGGGAAGGAGAGGGAACAGAGCAATACATTCTTTCTTAAGCTCGCATCGTCCACTGCGTTGATCCCCACGTCGACCACTGCACACCCTGGCTTCAGCCAGTCTGCCTTCACCTGTGGGGAAGGAGAGGGAACAGAGCAATACATTCTTTCTTAAGCTCGCATCGTCCACTGCGTTGATCCCCACGTCGACCACTGCACACCCTGGCTTCAGCCAGTCTGCCTTCACCTGTGGGGAAGGAGAGGGAACAGAGCAATACATTCTTTCTTAAGCTCGCATCGTCCACTGCGTTGATCCCCACGTCGACCACTGCACACCCTGGCTTCAGCCAGTCTGCCTTCACCTGTGGGGAAGGAGAGGGAACAGAGCAATACATTCTTTCTTAAGCTCGCATCGTCCACTGCGTTGATCCCCACGTCGACCACTGCACACCCTGGCTTCAGCCAGTCTGCCTTCACCTGTGGGGAAGGAGAGGGAACAGAGCAATACATTCTTTCTTAAGCTCGCATCGTCCACTGCGTTGATCCCCACGTCGACCACTGCACACCCTGGCTTCAGCCAGTCCGCTTTCACCTGTTAAGGGGTAAAAGTGAGAAAAGGGAAAGGAGAACAGGTACAGAAACGAGAGTGGGAGGGGGAATGGGGAGGAAGAAGGGAGAAGGGAGCAGGGAGCAGGGAGCAGGGAGCAGGGAGCAGGGAGAAGGGAGAAAGGTGGCTGAGTGGGAGAAAGGGGAATGGGGGGATGAGGCTCCTTGGCCCCCTCGTAGTCCACATCCCCCACCAGCCGGTACCCCGCCTTCTTGCTCGCATCATCGACTGCGTTGATCCCCACGTCGATCACTGCACACCCTGGCTTCAGCCAGTCCGCCTTCACCTGAGGGTGGGAGAGGGGACGGAGAGGGAGGAGAGGGGAAGGAGAGGGATGTGAGGGGAAGTGGAAGCGAAGGAGATGGGAGAAAGAGAGGAGGGCGGTTAGTTGGGAACCTCCCTGGCCCCCTCATAGTCCACATCCCTTCCGGTTACCAGCCGGTAACCCGAAGGGAGCAGGGACATAAACGAAGGGAGAACGGCGTGAGGGGAGGAAGAGGTGGAGGAGGAGGAGGGGGGAAAGGTAGGAGGGAGGTTGAGGGGGAGGAAGAAGAATGGTGGGGTCAGCCATCCTTCCCTGCTCACCATCATTCTCATGGTCTCCATCTTACTTACTTCACTTGCGACTCATCTCCCACTCACCATCTGGGCCTTCCCAATGGCAGCGATCACAATATCCGCCTGCTTCACAATCTCTTTAGGTTGATCCATGGTCGCCGTGCCAGTTCACTGTGCATTCCATAAGCACTCATTCCGCACTCCCACTCATCTTAGCCCTCCAAAGCATCAAGGCTAACCGATTGTTATGCGTGTGTTACATGTTTCATTACGTGTGCCAGTACCTGCTACCTTTTCCATTTCACCAACTCTGCACTCACCATCTGTACCTTCCCAATGGCAGCAATAACGATAACCGCCTGCTTCACAATCTCGGTTGGCTCCTTGGTCCTCGAATGAACGACGGTAACTTTTCTGCTCATTACACGTTGCCACACTCCATCGCACTCTAACGCACTCCAACACACTCCACCGCACCTCACTGCACTGCACTCATCATCTGTGCCCTCCCAATAGCAGCAATCACAATATCAGCCTGCTTCACGATCTCCTTTGGCTCCTTGGTCCTCGAGTGCACTACAGTGACTTTTCTCCTCATTACGCGTTACCACACTCCAACGCACTCCAGCACAGTCCACTGCATCTCACCGCATTACACTCACCATCTGTGCCTTCTCAATGGCAGCAATCACAATACCAGCGTGCTTCACGATCTCCTCTGGCTCCTTGGTCCTCGAGTGCACCATGGTAACTGCTCCTTGTGGCACCGCAGTCCACCACTCTCCACCGCTCTCGACCGCTTGCCACCGCACTCCACCAACCCTGCACTCACCATCTGGGCCTTCCCAATGGCAGCGATCACAATATCCGCCTGCTTCACGATCTCCTTGGGCTCCTTGGTCCTGGAGTGCACGTTTTGAACTGCTCCTTACGACCTACCACACTAGACCACTCTCAACCACTTGCCACAGCACTTCACCAACCCTGCACTCACCATCTGTGCCTTCCCAATGGCAGCGATCACAATATCCGCCTGCTTCACGAACTCCTTGGGCTCTTTGGTCCTCGAGTGCACTATGGTAACTGCTGCTTATGACCTACCGAACACCACCGCTCTCCACCGCGTGTCACCGCACTCCACCAACCACCACTCACCATCTGTGCCTTCCCAATGGCAGCGATCACAATATCCGCCTGCTTCACGATCTCTTTGGGCTCCTTGGTCCTCGAGTGCACGATGGTAACTTTTCTGCTCATTACAAGTTACCGCATTCTAACGCACCCCAACACACTAAAACACACTCTACCGCACCTCACTGCACTGCACTCACCATCTGTGCCCTCCAAATAGCAGCGATCACAATATCTGCCTGCTTCACGATCTCCTTTGGCTCCTTGGTCCTCGAGTGCACGATGGTAACCGTGGCATCCCCCTCCACCAACACTCTCTCTGCAGGGCATTCAACACTTGTTACATGTCATGTCACCACACTATACAGACAGTACACTCACCATCTGGGCCTTCCCAATGGCAGCGATCACAATATCAGCCTGCTTGACGATCTCCTTTGGCTCCTTGGTCCTCGAGTGCACTATGGTAACCGTGGCGTCCCTCTCCACCAATAGCATCGCAGCAGGCATGCCCACGATGTTGCTGCGCCCAATCACCACCGCCCGCTGCCCGCTAATTGGTATGCCACTGCGCTCCAGCAGTACCATGCAGCCCTGGGGGAGAAAAAAATGATCAAGAAAATGGGAAGTAGAGGGGGGGAGCAGGGAAGAGAAGGAGAGAGGGAAGGAGGGGGGGAAGGAGAGGGGAAAGGAGGGGGGAAGAAGAGGGGAAACGGCATTGTGGTGAAGGTATGATGCAACAGCGGCAGCATGTGGTAACCATGGCAGCAGCATCGCAGCAGGCATGCCCATGATGTTGCTGCGGCCAATCACCACCGCTCGCTGGCCACTAATTGGTACGCCACTGCGCTCCAGTAGAACCATGCAGCCCTGGACGGGAGCGGGTGGAAGATGATCAAGAGAAAGGGAAGGAGAAGGGGAGAAGGAGAGGGCGAAAGGCAGTGTGTTGAAACTGGTATGATGCAGCAGCAGTGGTGACAGCTGCGCGATGGTAACCGTGGCGTACCTCTCCACCAGTAACCGCCCTCCGGAAAAATCTTCCCTTTCCCGTCCCCCAAACCCCCTCCACTCCTCGGGAATGAATGGGGCAAATTGCGGGTGGCGCCCCTTCATCAAGCCATTCAGTAAACCTCGCTCCATTCCCCTCCACCGCCCTCGCCAAACATCTTCAGTTTCCCAATCCCCCTCCCGTCCACCGAAACCCCTTCATCAAGCCATTTCGTAAACCTCTCTCCATTTCCCTCCACCGCCCTCCCCAAAACATCCTCCCTTCCCCACTCCGCCTCCCATCCCCCTAAACCCTTTCCCCACCTCAGGAGTGCATGGGGCGAACTGCGGGCGCCGCCCCTTCATCACCCTCCTCCCATCGCCCTCTCTACCCCTCTCCAACTCCTCATCCCCTCAAAGCCCACCTCAGGAGTGCATGGGGCGAACTGCGGGCGCCGCCCCTTCATCACCCTCCTCCCATCGCCCTCTCTACCCCTCTCCAACTCCTCATCCCCTCAAAGCCCACCTCGGGAGTGCATGGGGCGAACTGCGGGCGGCGCCCCTTCATCGCCAGCTGGCCGATGTTGATTGGATGGAAGCCGTCCACGTCCTTGGGCAGCGCCACCTCGGCCAGCACCGCCTCCTCACTGATGTGTGCCGGCAGCGGCAGCTGTACCAGAATGCCTGGTGCGAGCAAGTCATGGGAGGGGAACAGAGAGAAGGCAAATGATATGAAGTGCAGGGCAAGGCATTGGTAGCAGAGCCACCTCAGCGAGCACCGCCTCCTCGCTGATGTGTGCGGGCAGGGGGAGTTGTACCAGAATGCCTGGTGATGGGGGTAGACATGGGAGGGGCAAGGCGTCATAGGGTCACAGGCAAAAGATGAATGGGTAAACATTAGGGCAAGCTCGTAGCAGTAGCACCATCTGAGCGCGCACCGCCTCCTTGCTGATGTGCGCCAGCAGGGGGAGTTGTACCAGGATGCCTGGTGATGGGGAAGGGGGACAGTCTGTTAAGGGGCATGGGAGGGCACAGGCAATCAACGAATGGCAGCAGTGCCACCTCAGCCAGCACCGCTTCCTCGCTGATGTGTGCAGGCAGGGGGAGTTGAACCAGAATGCCTGGCGATGGGGGAAAGACATGGGAAGGGCAAGGCATCATAGGGTCACAGATGGACGTCGAATGAGTCAGCAATAGGGCAAGCAGCGCCACCTCAGCCAGCACCGCCTCCTGCTGACGTGCGAACCAGCTGAACCAGAATGCCTGACGATGGGGAATATGGCATGGACGAGGCATGGGAAGGGGACAGACAAAAGTCACGTGGATTAAGGGGTGGGCCAAGACAATGGCAGCAGCGTCACCTCAGCCAGCACCGCCTCCTCGCTGATGTGTGCTGGCAGGGGGAGTTGAACCAGAATGCCTGGTGTGATGGGGAATATGGCATGGGCGAGGCACAGAATGGGAGGGGCACAGAAAGAACGCAAATGGATTATGCTTTAGCTTGACCATGCACGTCCGAACCTCAACATGAACATGTCAGCAGCACCCCAACGCGCACACGTCAACAAGTCACCGTACACACGTCAGCACCTCAGCTTTCACACGCCAGCACCATCATGAACACGTCAGCGCCTCACCATGCACGTCAGGGTTGGCGTTGAACTCTCTGACTGCTGCAATGACGTCATCCTGACTGGCATCGCCAGGAAGCTTCCCTTCAAACGACGCGATCCCCACCTCCTGGCACGCCTTCACCTTCATCCGCACGTACGTCTGCGAGTCCTTGCGCTCCCCCACTATAATCACAGCCAGCCCTGGGATCTGCACGGGAGGGGGAATCGGGCAGAAACGCGAACTTGTGGTACTCAGTTATAGTACGATCCCCACGTCCCTGGCACGCCTTCACCTTCATCCGCACGTACGTCTGCGAGTCCTAGCGCTCCCCCACTATAATCATAGCCAGCCCTGGGACCTGCATTGGCGACAGGGAATGTGTACGAAGACGAACTCGTACTCAGATATAAGGGGATACCCATGGCCTGGCACGCCTTCACCTTCATTCTCGCGAACATCTGCGAGTCCTTGCGCCCCCTCACTATAATCACAGCCAGCCCTGGGACCTGCGGCAGGGATTCGGTAGCAGCAGAAAGTGATTTGTTGAGATGCGACTTCCATTTCCTGGCGCGCCTTTTATTTCACCTCAACTCGCGACTCGAGTTACAGTAGGTAGAAATCACGACAAATAACAGGGGCGAGGTAGAACGGAGGGTAGGTAGAACGTAGTCCTGCAAACTTCTACACGCGAATGCGCTACAGAACAGCCACAACGTGAGCTGTTTTGTAAAGAATCGCCAAGCGTTTGCTTAGTGAAAGGAAGCCTCGCTTTTCCAGTGGTCTCTTTTTGTTTGGCCATCCCCGCAGCCACCTCGCGATAAATCAGCTTCGCAATGGTCTTATCATCGACCAGTGTACTCTAGTCTATGTAGGAACGCGAGCACACACCTTCCCAGTGGCTTCTTTTAGTTTGGCCACCCCCTCAGCCACCTCGCCATGGATCTGCTTCGCGATGGCCTTGCCGTCGATGATCTTCGCTACGGACTTGCCTTCGTCCGCCATTTATACCCTTTTTTTTTACGTCTAGGATTTGCTAGTCAGAGGCAATAATAAGATATCGGAAAATGACGACGAGTCAACCTTACAAAGTTGCAACGAAAGTAATCAGGAAGAGGAGCAACGTCTAACGATCAAGATTTCGGAATTTGACAATGCGGCGTAGATCCCAAGGAGTCTAGAGTGCAAGCAGACACCTAAGGAAACACACCAGAATGGTCTCTGGAAGGTTGATTTTCCCGTATGTTTGCCAATCTTGATTTTTTCCCTCTGTGTTGGTGTTTTCCTGAGCCTTGGTTGGTTGGTGGTATTGGACTGTCTGGATTTCGAATCCCGATGTTGCTTTTGGATTCGGGTGTCAGAAAATTGGCGGGAAACGAGCTGGAGTTGCGTGAAGTGGGCCTCGACCTCGAGCTATGGAGGCCTTTTGTCAGGGTTGGTCTGCACTACACTTGATCTGTACAGATTACGTAACGTGACACGATCAGTTCAACACAAGCGGACCATCATGAACGGAATACAGAGACTCCGTCTCGGATCGGTCCTGGCGTCATGGAGAGCCAGAGCCTCACGAAACTCGAAGTGCTCCCAGCCCAATCTTCTGGGACGTTACTTCGAATGAGTCCATAGACGAAAATATGCGAGCTTTAGGCGACATTCCTCGCATCATTGCAACACTCTCGTCGGAGGAAGTTGACGACCAGTGCAACAGCTCAAAGTCAGTTCAAGTTACCAAATGGTAACCCAGCAAATTCTAGAAGTTCCGAATGTCATTCGGTTTGGTATTCGGCTGAAACCAAAAGAGGCGATTGATATTCTGGGTGAAATTACGGTTTCAGTTCATCGGGAATATCATTCGGCCCGAAATCTGGCTGAAATCAGTTCACATGAACTGCAAGTTGGTAACGGGGGGGCGGGAAGCCCCATATATAGGAGTCCATATCTAGTGTGGTCGTTAGAAGCAAGCTTGTCGCTTCCCGTTCTTCCAGCACTCAATATTCCCGCTTCTTACTCTTCTTGAGGTTCTTGGGTTGAAGAACCTGAAGATTTTTGCGGTAGCAATAAGCTTGCTGATCAACAGTCGCGATCTCGAGGAACCCGAGTAACTTTGCATTCGTACGCCAGCATCAGGCGCCAAAACATACGTTTCGTTTCGGATCGTGTCGTAACGAGGAATCCGGCGATCCGGACAGCAAATTGGTGAATCATCGTGACATCAACCTGTGAAATGGCGTCTGTCGGGCCGATCAAGTGCACGAATCCAGGTTACGCAACGCGTTCGTTCTTCACGTCGCCGAGTAGCGACGTACATGGGTCCGCTTTCAGGTCTGTCCGCACGCACAGGCCTGTTCCACCACGCGCAATCACTTTTAAATAGATTTTTGTGCCTTAATTTTTCTGACATGTTGTGTAACCCCTTGCCATCTGATGCATGCAGATCTGCTGTGCTCTCAAGTCGCCTCCATTCCAACCACTTCCCAACCACCACCATCACCAGTGGCAGCAGCAGCAGCAGCATCAGCAGCATCAGCAGCATCAGCAGCTGCAATCCTCTCTCCATTCTTCCCCAAGCGGTTCTTCCCCTCGTCGCTCGCCACACCCCTCTCGCCTCCCACTCATCTCCCTCAACCCTCCTCTCAAACTTCCTCCCCATTGCACACTGCCGAGCCGAATCAGCCTCGGATCAGACCTCCCAGCCATGGACTTACCAAGCCTCGCGCACTGGCTCGGGAACAGGTTTCCAAAAGGAGCAGAGCAACGGGAAGGGGAACGAAGCTTCCAGAACAGCATCAGCAGCTTCTGATGATGACGAGGTTCGCGCTGACGTCAGCAGATCTCCCAACGTCATCACGGGACGAGTGGACGGAAAGCTCTACACCGTGAAGCTGAGATCTCTCTACTCCGCCTTCTGTCCACGTGGCATGCTGATAATGGCTGTGAGAAACAGCCTTATCCAGATCCTACCCCTGTTTGCAGACTATATAGAGGCTCAGGCTCCCAGTCTGGAAGAGGAGGAAGAGGAGGAGGAGGAAGAGGAGGAGAAGGGGAGGCGAGGAGGGAGAGGGAGAGGAGGAGAGCGGAGGAAGCAGCGGAGAGGGAGAGGAAGATTGCAGCGTTTAAAAATATGCGTGCTGGGCGGATTGCTGCAGGGGCGGCATGGCTGTCTCTCAGAGAGGTGAGTGGGGTTGGTGCTGTGGGGTTTGAGGCATCTTATTGGAAGATTGCAGTGTTTCGGAATATGGGTGCTGAGCGGATTGCTGCAGGGGCGGCGTGGCTGTCTCTTAGGGAGGTGAGTGGGCTTGGTGATGTGGGTTTGAGACGTCTTATAAGAAGATTCTAGCGTTTAGGAATGTGGGTGCAGTGCGGACTGCTGCATTGGCGGCATGGCTGTCGCTCAGAGAGGTGAGTGGGGTTGGTGCATTTGGAGGCAAGGTGAGAGAGGGTGAGGGATAAGAAGATCGCAGCGTTTCGGAATATGGGTGCAGGCAGGATTGCTGCAGGGGCGGCGTGGCTGTCACTCAGAGAGGTGAGTGGGGTTGGTGCATTGGGTTTGGGAAGTGAGTAGGGCTAGCTTTGAGACGATTTTTAGGCTCCTTAGTAGAGCATGGGTGCAGGGAGGGTTGTTGCAGGCACAGTGCGGTTGCTGCAGGCACGGTGCGGTTGCTGCAGGCACAGTGCGGTTGCTGCATCTGAGTGAGGTTGGAGCGTTTGCGGGGTGAATTGGACTGGCTATGGTAACATTGCACAGGCGCAGGAGAATCCCTTTCCTTCCTCGTTTATCACCGCCTCCACTTTCCTGCCCCATCAGATGGCCGTGTCTCAGTGCGCAGGGCGCTGGAGCACTTCTTTTTGGAAAAATCCCCATTCCCCATTTTCCCCTTCAACCCCTTTGCCACTCCCCCTCCCTTCTCCCCCTTCCCCTACCTTCCTCTCCCCCATCAGATGGCCGTGATCTCAGTGCGCAGGGCGCTGGAGCACTTCTATTTGGCTCGCTCCGTGTCTGTCCGGTGGCTGTGGAAGCTGACCAAGGGTGAGTGAGATGAGCGTGTGGGCGAGGTATGAACGTGCGAGTATGAACCCTTAAACTCGGGAATGCAGAAAGAGGGGAGCACTTCTATTTGGCTCGCTCCGTGTCTGTCCGGTGGCTGTGGAAGCTGACCAAGGGTGAGATGCTGCTAAGAGAAAGTGTTATAGGTGCCTTACGAACTGGCTTTGAAGGGAAGAAAGGTTGAGCTGATGCTGTGGGGTAGACGGTTTGATTTCCTCAAAATAACGATTCGCACTTTTCTTACCCTTTCTTTGTCTTACCCTCACTCATGCTACTGTTTCTCCTTGCACCCGCTTATTTAGCACACCCTTACCTTACCTCTCTTCTCTTGGCACTCCAACCCTCCCATTTCTGGCCATTCTCCCTCTCACCAACGCTCACCAGTCGCCACCCAGCCGCCCTTCGCAAGGTCAGCAGGGGACTGGCAGGCAGAGTTTGAGATGACTTTCCTTCTTCCTTTTGCACTTCCCGTCTTCCCGCCCCTCTCCAGACCCCACCCAGTCAGCCATTCGCAAGGTTAACAGGGGTCTCACGGGCAGTATTTGAGAACCACTTGCTCCCTTCTCTTCACTGCCCTCCCTCCCTCCCACCGCCCCTCTCCAGACCCCACCCAGTCAGCCATTCGCAAGGTTAACAGGGGTCTCACGGGCTCCACTTTAATCAGATCCGTTACAATCACCAATGTCAGAGGTACAAGCGTATGCCTCTATCTCCCTCTCCCTTTCCTCCCCCTTTCCTCCCCCTGTTGTTTTCTCTTACTTTTCCTTTCATGCCTGCTTTCTGTTCTTACCGTGCACCTAGTCATTGCAGCTTTTGCTAAGAGATGTGCTCAATACTTCTTGTGCATAATCAATATTGCCTTCCTTTCAGCATCATTATTCATGGCGCCTGGACACTACTACTGCCCTTCTTGCTTCGCCATTTCTTTGGACACCAAGAAACTGCTGCCTCCATTGCTTCCGTTCCTTGCCACACCTTCCAAATTTGCATGCTCATCCCTTGCTCAATCTAGGTCCCGAACCTACTGATACTATATCAGTGCAACTTTTAACGTTGTGCTCTTTCCCCCACCCGCTCCTCCCTCCCTCTTCCCCTCCTTTCTTCTCTCCCCCCCTGCCAGCACACTTCCTGAGCCCACTATCCAGTGTAGCGGTGCAGCTTATAACGGATACCTTCACCGCCTTCCACCGCCTGCTCTTCCCTCCACCGCCACCACCACAAGCGGGTCAGGGGCTCGCTATAAGCTCTGTGAGGGCCGCAGGAGTGCAGATCGTGTGGCTGGTAAAGCGGACGCTGAGCTATTCGCTGAGACTCGTGTTCTCTACTGTCTCCGGAGCACTAGTGTCAGCTGTGTGTGTGCGATACGTGGGAACCTGGACCACAAACTACGGTAAGCTTCTGTTTGGTTCCATCTGCTTCCACCTCGTTCCTTCTGCTTATGCAGTAAAGCAAACGCTGAGCTTTTCTCTCTAGCTCGTCTTCTCTACTGTCTCTGGAGCACTCTTGTCGGCCGTGTGTGTGCGATATGTGGGGACCTGGACCACAAGCTATGGTAAGATTTCTTGTTCCTTGGTGTTACAATGGTACATGGTCGTGTGGCCAAGCTCGTCATCTCTACTACGTCTGGAGCGCTGCTATCGGCCATTTGTGTGCGATACGCAGGAACCTGGACCACAAGCTATGGTGAGCTTTCGTTTGGGAGTTGTACCTGTTACTCTTTAGAATGGTGGGCATCGGATCGGACTGCGTGTCTTCTCTACTGTGTCTGGAGCGCGGCTATCGTCTGTCTGTGCGCGATACGTGCGGCCTTGGACCACAAGCTATGGTAAGATTCCTTGTTTTTTGGTGTTACAACGATACATGGTTGTGTGGTTGTTCTCTACTGTGTCTGGAGCTTTATGTACCTGTCACTTCGAGCATGGGAATCATCCGACTGGTAGTGTTTCCAAGTGCTTTGGGAGCCCTGCTTTTAGCTGTATGTGGGGGGGAAATACATGGGGCCCTGGACCACAAGCTATGGCAGACTGTTCCACACTCCACCCTACTCCACCACACTCCCCCCGACCTACATCCTGGGAGACATGTTTGTCTTCCAGACTGCCTCTACTCTCATAAGCTCCACTTCACACTAACCTACCCCACCCAACCCCACCCTAACCCACTCCTCCCCACCCCACCCCACCCCAACCCACTCCACCCCACCCTAATCCACTCCACCCCACTCCACCACTCCCCACCCCTTCCCCATCCACCAGCCTACATCCTGGGAGACATGCTAGTCTTCCAGACTGCCTCATCCCTCATCGACCCTCTGCTCTTTACCGCCACCACTCCGGGGGATGCTGCTGGGGCTCCTGGTGAGGGGGGGATTGGGGGAGCTACTGCTGGTGAAGGTTCTACTGGGGAAGGTTTTACTGCAAGCACTGCTGCTTCTGCCGCGTCTGCTGGTGGTGCAGGAGATTTTGCAAGGAACCTTTGAGATCTAAAAGAGGTGTTGGGTTGAGGAGGTGGGAGTCTGTGTTTAGAGAGAGGGAGTCTTTGCAGCTCCTTAGAGGTGTTAGGTGAAGATGAGGAGAAGCTAGGTCACCTGTAAGAGTATGTTTTTTTGATGCCTCAAAAGGAGAGGAGAAGAGACCTTGGAGCTCTCTAGAGGTGTTAAGTGGAGGGATGGGAGGAGAAGCTGTGTCGAGTCTTTTGTAGCATCTCGACTCGACTCTCCTTCAACCTCAGGTCTTTGCTGCTGCCGCTGCTAAAGGACCTCTGGTGGGTGCTGGTGATTGTGTCGTTTTATTAATTTGCCCCTGTTTTTTCTGGGTGCATGTTGCCAGAGTATTTTTTTTTGGGGACGTCGCTGCATGCGTATATGTTTGTGTGGTAATAGGGAATCAATGAAATGACATTACATTTGGATGTAAATGCAATGCAACGACCCACTTAAGTTTGTCTGCTTGTAAAAAGCAGTGTACACTAAAAACATTACATTTGTGAGGCGGATGCAATAAAAGCTAGCGATTGACTCCTCCAGACAGTGTCACTGTATGGAGTACACATGATGCCCAACCCTTGCACGCAAAATTGTCTTCACTTTCTAGAAACCTTGCACGCGTGGGTTTTTTTCCGGACAGTTGCACCCACGTTACAAGCACGTCAACCAATACGAACCACAGAAACTGAAGAGACCGAAGTCAAACAGACAACCGGTGAGTTACACAAATTTTTTTGCCCGACGCGAATTGACGAAACCTCCACGAAATGCAAGAATCACATAAGAGCCCTTTTCACAAGGCAACCTTGGGTTAGTCAAACGGGCATCGTGTGTACAGTAGGATGTGGGGGCGAGCAGGGGGATGGAATATGGGAGGCCGAAATGGATCCCAAAAAGGAAGGATGAACGAGCACATTCGGATTGCGCGCCTCGGGTAACACGTGAAGAGAAGCGACAATGAAATTCTTCACGTGCCTTGAGAGGTGGTTTTAGATTCTGCAGCCAGGGTGAAATGGAGGTGCCCCTGCTTGGACACCTGCGACAACACTTGGACGGCTTCGGCCTCAGCTCATGTGTGCAACATGAGGTGAAGGAAGGAGGCACCTGATTGGGAACCTGGTGCCCTTCACTGCAAGTCGTGCATTCGCTACACTCAAGTCCACGTCGCGCAGTTCATGATGTTTTGTGTTTCATTTTTACAGTTACCCTTATATATAAGCTGGTATAATATATCGACGAAATATCGTCCGTGGTTGAGCCAAAGTTGTTATTTGGAATCCCATATGCAACTCAGTTGCACCTACATACATTGTTGGTCAACACTGGAAACTTCTGTCATCGAAGGCTGACTGGTATGATTTGACTCGCATGTCTTCAGTGTTGCCTTGAAATGTTCTGCAGCACAGCTCGTGCTATCCTTCTAGATCATCTTCATACTGTACACTGACACATACGGAAAAGTACAAATGCATGGAGCCGCGATATTTTTGCGGTCAATCCAAATTGCAGCATCGCTGTCCAGCACCGCATGAATCCACGTCGATTCCGTGACAGCCGCTCCATAGCATTTCGCACAACCAACGAAATTCTTCGCGTTGTCCAGCGTCAGCCGCATTGTCCACAAGGATTCCGTGCTGTACGTGCAGGTTTGGATTGGACCAACCAGATTTTTAGTTTCTAGCCAACGCGGCTGTGGCTGTCATTCCTTCGCCATCCACTTCGTCGCAAACCGCACACAAAAAAGTTCAAACGAACGACGCACTGTTGCGTACCTCAAATCGCTCGCTTGTTTGAAACTCCAAAGGCAGGGCGCACGCCAAGGCAAGCCCCCAAAGGCCTTCCAAGGCAATCGGAGAATTCTGTGGCTCCTCCGGCAATCTACGTCTCGCGTTTCTCGATGGGCCCATGTGACTGAGATTATGAGGAAGCTTCATGCAGCGTTTCCTTCCTAGTGCATGTGCCATGGCTCTGACAAAAGCGGTCCGACTTGAGGTCCTGGTGTGGTGGTCATAACTCGGTCGGTTGCCGCGTCAACATGAAAAACCAGGAAATCAATGCAATTCGGTTTGGATCAGAACCAAAGCGACGATCCGAGCGAAGTGGCCAACCAGAATCCATTTCCAAAGACAGAAAATTCTTGTTTGCAATTGCTCACCTTCCACGTGGCACATTTGCAACGCCTCGATTTATTGAGCATCCAGCACACCAGGCCGATGGTTCCGTCGTGACGACGAAGTCGCCATTTCGCCACACCTCCACCCTTCGCCCCTGGTCCCCCCTCGCCTCGCCCTCCTCCCTCTCCCACGCTGCACGATCCATATTTGGGGCAATAAATTTCTGTCGTTTAGCACCGAGACCCTCAAATCTCGGATCGCTATCTGTTGGGGCAGGATCGGGAAATGTTTACAGCATATTTCGACGCCGCAGATCTATTTTCTACACGTATATGCTGCCAATGCTGTTATGTTCTGCCCTGCCCATCTTGCCAACAGCAATAAGCAAATCTCATCCATCAATCTCGATCGTCCATGCGTCCACCCCACCGTACCACCACCACCCTCCCCTGCTGCAGCGTGGTGTGCATGGGTAGCAGAAGGGGAAAAGCCGCGCAAAAACAGCGCATCGCTCCCACGAGCAAAGCCAGGCGTGCAACCAATGCGAAGCGACGAACGTTCTCGCGTTTGAATAAAGCAGAATGGCTTGGCAACGTGATGGATGGGATGAAAGAAACACAACGCGGACTGAAACACAACTCAGTTCAGCAGCTGTGACTCCTCGACTTCTCCAAGTTAGTCCGAGTAAAGCTGGACTGCAGCTCATTCCAGTTCACGCAACCAGCTGGAGTTAGCGTTGCAAGCCCAGCAACATTCACAGCTAAGACTAGAATTCCCGAAGTCTAATTCTTTCATTTACGAGATGGCTATCGTGTTTAGAAACTCCGTCACTCCCGCAGAATGGAGGCGAGGTCGTCTGCTAGGGTCGGGCTCGTTCGGCCGCGTGCACATGGCAGTCGACAACGCGTCGGGCGATTTTTTCGCAGTGAAGTCCGCATCGTCGCAAGCGTCGCCGGCGTCGCCTCAGCAACAAGAACGGTTGAGAAACAACAATGGCGCGGTCGAAGCTTTGGAGAACGAGATCTCCATTCTCTCCACTCTCGAGTGCGAGCAGATCGTGGGTTTCCGCGGCGCGGATTGGACGCAAGAAGGTGACGCAAAGGTTCGCAACCTGTACTTAGAATACGCTGCGGGCGGCTCCGTCGCGGGGCTTTTGAGATCCCCATCGGGGCGCTACCGCGGGCTCGATACGTTGACTCTGAAAAAGTTCACTAAGGACGTTGTTAAGGGGCTCTGCTACCTTCACGAACGGAGCGTCGTTCACGGAGACATTAAGAGCCTAAATCTGCTCCTCACCAGCGATGGCCATGTGAAGATCGCCGATTTCGGCGCCGCCTTCCGCGTCAGCAGCACCGCCCCCGCCGCCGCCGCCGCCGCAGCCGCCACCGCCACTGCAGCGGGCGCCAGCTCGGGCGGAGTCGCGGGTTGGTCCGCTGCCGCCGCCGCCGCCACCGGCGCAAGCCACGGGCTCCGCGGAACGGCGAACTGGATGGCGCCGGAGGTGGGGCGCGGGGAGCAGCAGACCCCCGCCGTCGATATCTGGTCCTTAGGATGCACTGTGCTCGAGATGGCGACCGGTCGTCCCGCGTGGTCCGACGTGACAGGTGGCATGTTCTCCGTGCTTTACGCTGTTTCCTGCACGGATGCGATGCCACGAATTGCGGCGGAGGTTCCGGCGGCGGTGCGCGGGTTTATTGATTGCTGCATGCGGAGGAACCCTGCGGAGCGGTGGACTGCGGCGGAGCTCCTGGCGCATCCGTTCCTCGCGGAGGTTGCGGAGGGGGGAGAGGGGGAGGAAGTCGCGGGCGCGGCGGGCGCGAGCGCGCGGAAAGCGGCGCTAGTTTGCGCCACTCCCCGCTCCCCGACCTCCCCGTTCGACTTTGGTCTCGATTCCGATTCCGATTCTGATTCGATCGCACCAGCGGCAGCAGCGGTGGGTGGGAAGAGCGAATCATCTAAGCGCAAGCGGTCTTACGACGAAGCAGAGATTTCCTCTAATGAGATCGATGACGTGGCAGACCGGAAGCGTCAGCGCGACGTTTCGGCGGAGCAGAAACAGTCGTTTCAGTGGCCCAAGCCCGTGTTGTGTCCCGCCGCTGCTGATTGGATCGTTGTCCTCGCGCTGCGACCCGTCGTTGACGCCTAAAGTCTGTCGCAAACGCGTACGAACCGTCGCAGGCGCCTGGAAACCCTAACATACTAACCCAGGTTTCGTTTCGCGTGGAGTGCCCTTCATCTGCGAAGGGTTTTAGATTGAAGGGTTTAAGCCGAGTTTAGCGCTAGGGTTATCTGCTAGCTTGAACCCTATAACGGAGCGGCTTGTACAGGAAGAAAGCTTCAGCGGCAGTGCCACGGGAGAGGAGAGCCTCGTTTGTGGACCTTCAATGTAGTCCCGTACCAGTAGCTGGCCAGCAACCCAGACCTTGGGAGGCCAGTAAAGTAGCATCCCAATTTTGACTCTTAATGTATTTAACTGTACAGTTATAGTGAATGTTCGGCTTCTTTCTAAAGTCTTAGGGCGCGTAACTTTTTTACTTTTCATCGTCCGGACGGAGGACCCGTACGGACTTTTGTAGGGTTATGAAATTTTTCGAAAGTGTGTAACACTTTCTAAAAATGCGTATTGTGAAAGCGCAGCTGCCTGTAACGAAGCAAAGCAACGGCGAATTACAATTCGCCGAGTATATAACTAGGGTTGGAGGCCATTCAGCCTCCACCCACGACTTCATTTCGGAACTTTGCAGTTCCACTTCCCACCCACCCACCCTCGCTGTAAATTTGTATAATCCATTGTTGGACGAGAATGTTGTATTACTGCAATTGTAATGAAGCCCGTTGCATTTGCAAGTACAGAAAGCAAGCTTTCTCAATACGTATTTCGCCTAGTTTCGTTTTTGAGTTCGTGAGTGTCAAGATAGTAGCTAGAGGTGAGGAGCCATGCTAGGGTGAAGAGGAGAAAGTGTCGAGAGAGTTTAGGCAAGGAAAGAGGGGTTTCACTATAGAGTCAAGGGTACAAATAGGAGACAAAGGAGGTGCACCACCAATACAAAGAGTTTATAACTACACTAAAGCTACAGCTACAGGCAGGTACATAAATATATATAAATTATATATTCTAACACTCCCCCATAACTGCCTGCAGCAGGAGCTTGTGCAGCAACAACTCCTGGATGGGTACACCACGAACAGAGAAAGCAGCAACAGGAGGCAAGTGCAATGACAACCAGTGCAGCAGTGGCAGAAACAACTGCAGAAACCCCTTAGCCAATACAGAAACGAAAGAAAGGTGCATGTGGCGCAGGTCGCCTGGAGAGCGGCGTGCGGCGGCAACGAGCGGCGGCACAGCAGGCTCAACGGCAGCACCTGCCGCTCAACAGCAGCAAACGAAAGAGACGAATTAAGTGGCAACAGGGGCTGCAGCTGGAGGTGCCACAGTAGCAGGGGGTGGCAGTTGCAAATGCAGGGCTGCTGCTTCTGCCACTCTCTCTCATACCCTCCCTCATCCCCCTTTACCCTCTCTCCCCCCCCCCCCCCACAGCAACAATTGCTGCAGGGAGAGAGGAAGAGGGAAGGGAGGGAGGAGCGGCAGGCTCCTCACACCCGCCCCCCCCCCCAACCCCCCCCCCCCTCCACGACGGAAGGGAGGGCGGGTGGGAAGGGCGGAATCACCCGCTGCCGGCGCTGGCGTGGGCTGCTGGCGCTGGGAGCCGGCCCCGGCGCTGGCGCTCGTCGCTGGTGCTTGTGCTGGTGCTGGCGCCCGCCGGCGCTGGCGTCCGCGGCGACGAAACGGGGGGCCCCGGCGCGTCGAAACGGGTGGCCGCGGGGCGACGAAACGGGGGGGGCCGCGGGGCGACGAAACGGGGGGCCGCGGGGCGACGAATCGGGGGCCGCGGGGCGACGAAACGGGGGGCCGCGGGGCGACGAATCAGGGGCCGCGGGGCGACGAATCAGACGGGCGCAGGGCGCGACGGGACGAAGAAAATAGCGCATTTCGCGCTGCATTAAGGGCGGGCCCATGTTTCTGAAAAAAAAAAAAATGAAGGTTCTAGGAAAGAACCAGCTCTGAAAGCAGTAGATTAAGTTCAGACGCCATGGCTAGGGTTTGACCAAAGCGAGAGTAGCGAGAGAGAGACCAACAAAAGAGGGTTTCACTATAGAGTCAAGGGTACAAATAGGAGACAAAGGAGGTGCACCACCAATACAAAGAGTTTATAACTACACTAAAGCTACAGCTACAGGCAGGTACATAAATATATATAAATTATATATTCTAACAGTGAGACCCCTTGCGACATCGCGATCGTCCGTACGAGTTCTGACACTTTTCTGCTTGTTCATCGTCCGTTCTACACTCCTGACGTCGTCCGGACAGCATTTCGGACCGTCCGGAACTCCTGCAACGTCATTGGTGCGCGAAGCACATTTTTATCAGTTCTGGCGACTCGGTTTCCTGCTCGCCAGAACCACGTTCTGACGGAAAGGCAACACAGAAGTTCCACTATCGTCCGAACGGGCACACAGACTCACAGCACTACAAAAAAGCGAACTCTCTACAGTCCGGCTTTTTTCTGACACAACTTCATGCATGCGAAGCGGCCGATTTGCTGACGAGGTGGGTTACATGTCAGAATCCCAGTCACTAACCACTGGGATAAAAGGGCTTGTTTATATAGCGGGTGAGTGCGCCCATAACCCCCCAGGCCGACGTGCCTGTAACCCTTCCCTAGGATCATCGGGGATCCCCAGTGGACCTCTGACACCCCCCCGCACTGGGATGCCCGAAGTGCACACACCGGGAATCGAACCCGAGACCTTCGCTCTGATACCATGTCAGAATCCCAGTCACTAACCACTGGGATAAAAGGGCTTGTTTATATAGCGGGTGAGTGCGCCCATAACCCCCCAGGCCGACGTGCCTGTAACCCTTCCCTAGGATCATCGGGGATCCCCAGTGGACCTCTGACATTACAAGCGTTACTGTTTCGCTCAAAATGCAGTTTTCGCAAGAGCAAAAAAGTGTCATAATAGGGGTACGGACTCATCGTCGTCCGTACCACATCCCCAACCGTCCGGACGGAGCTCCGTTCGGACAATTTGGGGCCCCCGTCCGGACATTTGCCCGAAACGGAAAAAGTTACGCGCCCTTATTCATATCTGAAAGAAGAACCTGGTGTTTGGGGTTTCGGGGCTCTTGGATTGGAAGAACTGAGGTACTTGCCACCCAAGACTGGCCTGCTTTGCTTGTGGATTGCTTGATTCAGTGGGTGGGTAAGGGTAACTGGCTGAGTGTCATCTTAGGGCGTGTTCCTACAGCCTCTTATCAGACAAGCTCTTGTCAGACTTGTGCGGTTTAATGCATTTCAACGCAATCAAATGTTATTACGCGTGTTTCAGTGCGGTGCGACGCGAATCTGACAAGAAGTTCGCCTGATAAGGGGCCGTAGGAACACGCCCTTAGGGAAACCCAACTGCTCTGGGCAGGTGAAGGGGCAAACACTAACTCTCAGGAAGTGACTTTTTGCAACTCCTGGGGAAACTGACCTCCTGGAGACTCACTAGAAGACTACAGCTACTGGGAAGGTGACATGAGGGCACGCTGCTGGCCTGGACTGGATGTAAAGATAGGTACCGTATAAAGAACATGGGAATCAAAAAGCAGCGGCACTTGTACTGTACCGTAATTGGTGATTTTGGAACGCAAAAGCAAGGGAGAAAAATGTTCTCGTTACAGATTATCTCTTCTCCAATGTGGATTCTTGCAGTCTCCCTACTCCAGGTGTGATGACAGAGAGCACAGCCACCTTCTCTCCTTCACCAACCCCAAAGAACCCTTTTCCCTCCTCCCAACCCCCTGAAGCCACCTCCCAACCCCCTGAAGCCACCAACCAACCCCCTGAAGCCACCTCCCAACCCCCTGAAGCCACCAACCAACCCCCTGAAGCCACCTCCCAACCCCCTGAAGCCACCAACCAACCCCCTGAAGCCACCTCCCAACCCCCTGAAACCACCAACCAGCCCCCTCTGGTACAACAGTAAGCTGCGATGCAACTGCCAAGCGGAACGAAAACACCAGGCATGGCCACTGGGCAATCAGAGAAGACTTTTGAGTCGACTCAAAGGTCACCCCCTGAAGCCACCAACCAACCCCCTCTGGTACAACACTAAGCTGCGATGCGACTGCCAAGCGGAACGAAAAGACCAGGCCTGGCCACTGGGCAATCAGAGCAGCCGTGTGGGCTTGATAGGAGGAGCAGCAGCAGGCCCACTCCCCAGCGGCTTGAATGCCTTCGCCACCAGCCCATCCCCATGCCCCGCATACCCCGTCCCTCCACACGCCAGCTCCACCAACCCCCTCCTCTCCCCTCCTCCCTTCTCCTCCTTCTCCCCTCCTTTCCCTTTCCCGCTCCCAGCACCACCCCCCTCCACGGCTGTTCCACAGACAGTGCAAGCCCCGTCAGCAGAAACGAATTTCTCAATGCACCGCCGGCACAGCACATGCCCGCATGCGACTATCGCCGAGAGTTTCGAAGCGTTGGTGAGGGTGGTGGAGCACGCAGGACACATGTACCGCGCTCCACCGTTGCTCACCGCAGCCGACGTCGTCACCTGCTTCGCCGAACCTCCTCCCGAACCTCCTCCCGAACCTCCGCCCGAGCCTCCGCCAAAGCCAAGCGGCTGGTCAGGCGGCGGCAGCGGCGTGAAAACAATCGGGAAAAGGTCCTTTAGACGAAGCTTCCCGCAGCCTTCCGGACACGTAGTGTCAGTGGGGGGTGGGTCTACTTTCTTGGGAGCGTCAGGAGTGGCCGAAGGTAACCAATAGGCTCGCATTGTTCTCACTGCCTCTTCCTCAAACGCCGTTGTCTTCACAGAATTCGCTCCTTGGAAATTCATCCGCCCGCTCCCGCTGCCCGAACCTGCTAATCCCCCTCCTCCTGCCGCTCCTCCTCCTCCTCCAGCAAGTGAGGGGGTTTCGCTGCCAGCAGCAGGAGTAGCAGCAGCACTGGCGGCAACAATGGCACCCGCAGAAGCAGTAGCTGGGTCAGCAGCACGGAGGCGTTTCATGGAGGACGGGGCAGCAGCACCACCAGCAGCAGCAGCAGCAGCAGCAGCACCAGTGGCAGCTGTGGCAGCAGCAGCGCCGTTACCAGTAGTGGGGGGTAGGGCCGCGTGGTTCTGCCGGTCGAAGGCGTCCAGCTCTCTTGCTCTCTCCACCGCTGCTCGCTCTCTCTCCTCCTCCTCCTCCTGCCGCTGCTGCGCCTCCCACGCTGCCCGCTTGCTGTGTGTGGAGCGGGGGGTGTGTGGGGAGGGGGAGGTACGTTGGTTTGAGGGGGGACTTTGAGGAATGCAACGGAAAGGTCAATCCTTCCTCCTCCTCCTGCCGCTGCTGCGCCTCCCACGTTGCTGGGCCGCCCGCCTGCTGTGTGAGTGGGGTGGGCGAAGGTGTGCATTGAGGGAGAGGGAGGCACAGGGGATGCTTGAGGGACGGAGTGATGGAGGATGGGTGGATGGCGGTTGAAAGGATTAGGAGGTGGTGCGGGATGGGGGTGGGGTGGGGGAAGGTGTGCATTGAGGGAGAGGGAGGCACAGGCGATGCACGAGGGATGGAGTGATGGAGGATGGGTGGATGGCGGTTGAAAGGATTAGGAGGTGGTGCGGGATGGGGGTGGGGGAAGGTGTGCATTGAGGGAGGGGGAGGCACAGGGGACGCACGAGGGACAGAGGGATGGAGGATGGGGGAATTAGGAGGAGGTGCGGGATGGGGGTGGGGGATGGGGGATGGGGAAAAAGGGGAAGAAGGGATTGGGAGGTGCGGGATGGGGGGTGCGGGTGTGGTTAGGGGTCAAATAGGAGAGCAACAAGAGCAGCGCGAGCACCTTTGCAACTCGCTCGATATGTAAAGGGGGAAACCGGGCTGGTGAAAATTGTGGAATGATTTTTTGTTCCCAGTCACCCGAGAATTGAAAGGGGATGGTGGAAAAGTGTCAGTATGAAGAAGGGCTTTTGAGTCGACTGAAACAGAAACAGAAAAATTGGGTGTGGAGAGGGAGGGGGGAGAGAGGGGGGGGGGGGGGGGGGGAAGGGGGGGAGGGCGGGAGGGGTGGGGAAGGCAAGATAACAGAAACGGAAGGAGATAGGATCATCTGCACAACGGGCCACAGACACGTGTCGCCGCTCTTGATCGTATTGTATCCTAGCCCATAGCCGCTTTTAATGGACCCGCCTCAAAGCCATGGTCACATGTGACTGCTGAAGCGTATTGTATCGTATACAATACCCTATACGCATGGCCCCAGGTGCTCCTTCTGCGCGCGAAACCCTAGCATCCGCCACTCCATGCCCATCCGCTCGCTCCAAACACTCATTCTTCAATAAAATCACATGCCAGCACGTCTGCTGTTCGATACCGCTCCTTCTGCAGGTGAGTTTTGAGAATTCTCAACCTGCAAACCCTAGCTTGCGCCGCTTTCTCTGTGCCCTATCTCTGGTACCCTCCCTACCAGATCCAAAAAAAAAAAAACGTACCGTTTGATGTCTTTCTTTTGCGTAAGCAAGGAAGTGTAGATGCATAAGAAAGATATGTCCGCTGCGGCAGGAGAGCGGATTGACGGCCTCTTGAAGGCACAGCGCGCACGCGTCGAACGGCTTAAAAGAGTCCTTGCCGAGCCGCTCCTTCTGCATGCCGAACCCAGCCCTCTGATACAGTCACAACCTTCATACAATCACATGTCGATACAATCTCACTGCTTGCTGGAGTCCTTACCCAGCCGCTCCTTCTGCGTGCCGAACCCTAGCTCTCTGATACAGTCACATGTCGATACAATATCACCGCTTTCTGGAGTCCTTCCAGAGCCGCTCCTTCTGCGTGCCGAACCCTAGCTTGCGCCGCTCGCCCCCCAGCCGCTCGCTCCAGACAAGTACCCTTCGATACAATCACATACTGCACGCACGTCCGCTGTTCGACCTTATATCAAATCACGTACCGTTTGATGTCTTTCTTCTGCGTCAGAAGACACGTGTAGATGCATTCTTTGCAGAAGATATGTCCGCTGCGGCAGCTCAATGGGTCGACGGCTTCTTGCAGGCACAGTGCGCACGCGTCGAACGGCTTAATCGAGTCCTTGCCGAGCCGCTCTTTTTGCGTGCCGAACCCTAGCTTGCGCCGCTCCTCGTACGTGAAGTGCGCGCGGTCGTTGCAGTTGCGCGAGTGCCGCTGCGGCATGGCAGGCGAAACGGGCGAAACGGGCGAAAAGGGCGAAACGGCCGAGGCAGGCGAGAAACGGGCGAGGCCGGCGAAACCACTGAAACGGGAAAGACAAGCTAGGCGGGCTGTCGTGAACTGTCAAAGATTCGCCTAGGGACTGCCGTGAGATAGTGTAGGGGTTGCTACGAAAGCCGAAATCCACGGCGTGGGCACGATCCTAACAAACGATGGCGTGAACACGATCGCCGGATTCTACGGCGAAATCCCAGTGCGAGGATTCCAGAAGTCTGAAATGGAGCACGCGGTATTCCCAAGGCAGAGTGGGAATCTCGAAGCTAATCAGCAAACCAGCCAGTCAGCGAGCCAGCGATGCCCCGAACCGAGTCAAGAAAACCTAACGCGACGCGAAACGAGGCAACAAGACGTAATTTGGCGGAAAATATACGTGATTTTAGACGAAGCGTACCGTACTGTACCACTCTGAAATACTAATACTTGTACCCCAACCGTCAGTGCGGTTTTACACGGTAAATGTCGGTATCACATTGATCCGATTGTTGTGGCGGGTAACCATGAGTCCGCCATGGATTCTACCTCGCAGCTTGGATCCTAGATCCCGTGAAGGTTCCGTATCAGTTGACCTTAACGACCTCAGATCTGGACTCCTCGTTACAAGGCGCAGCGATCGATACACTTTTTATGTCTACACGCCGGACATCGCATCTTTCGCTTTTCGAGACCCAGCTTCTGATCAGGCAACTAATCTCAAGGTTCCTTGGGATCTGCAGCTATCAATAAAGCTTTGGTTCGTCATTCTAAGATTGAAGTGTTTCAACAATGACAGCAATGCTACTATTAAGGCTATTGCCTATCATGATCCCGAGGCGTCAACCTCGGTTTCTCATCACCAACTTCAGGAACAATGGTCTAATGCTTCAAGTCTACATCTATTTAACCGGTTGGTGCTCAGAGTTGTGGCATCAGCTCAGACATCAGTGGTCTGTTTCTCAGTCTTGCAGCCACTTGTTACTCATCATCGCACGATGCCTCCTAAGGGGAAGTCTAAGGCCTTGCCGGAGGCCCTGCCGTTGGACACCTCCGCCTCGTCTGCAGACGCTTCCTCCTCATCGCCTGCTCCTGCTGCATCTGATCCTGCTGACAAGGGCAAAGGCAAAGTGACAGATTCAAGCAATGAGACTCTCCCGGAGGCTACCGCAAGCGGATCCGGCCTCTCCTTGGAAGAAAAGCTACGCTCTCTCCGTATGGCTGCTCCTGACAGCGGTTTTCTTGAGGATGACTCAGATGAAGAGCTTGAAGTGAGCGTCAGAACGGAGGTCTTCAGCCGAGTCCAATTTACGGCGATTCTGCTGCTTCCCGTGGCTCTCTCCCTGGAGGTCGCGTCGGTCATCACCACGGTGCGGACTTTAATGAAGCGGGTCTGGTCTTCCTCGCTCTCTGATGGTGCTGCTGACACTGCGAAGTTCCAAGAGCTCCTGCCGGCTTACGTGGCGAAGACCCGGTATTGTCGGTTGCATATCTCCCTTCTGCACGAAGACGACATCATGAGCATCAGAGCGAAGGAGGTTGATTACACGCGTCCCAACGGAACGGTCTTCCGTCTTTACTGGCAACACACCGACAATCCAGCATTCGTGAAGGAACGTGCGACTAACGCGCAGGCGATTGAGGTTGTGATTCGCGATGTACCTGCGACGAAGACGCCGGAGATGCTGCGTGAGCTGATGGTGGTTTATCAATTGCGGAACCGAAAGCAGTCAGCGTTCAAAGACGGAGTTTGTTTTCACCGCGTTCTGCATCCAGTCACCGGCGCTGACACTGATGTCATTAAGGGACTGGTGATCCCGCACCCCGGCGATCGCTACCGTTGGCGCCACGTTTTCGAGGATCCGCTGGAGATCGGTCACCGGTACCTGGTCCACTTTCCTGCGCTATCTTGCCTGCTCTGCGGTGGTCAGCACTATGATATTAATCATGATGCTTTCATCACGGAACGGCAAAATAACATAGGAAAGTGGAACCTTACCTTGGGGAGGGTTCATCGCATTAATGGTAACCGCTTTTATCTACCTGATCATACTTACCATTGTTCTTGTATCTGTGCTAACCGCCAAGTCGTAACTTGCAGCCGCGTCTCTCCCGGCCTCCCCGCTGATCACCCCGATCTTGCTGGATCCGGCCATGGTGCTCATCTCCACCGGCGGGAATCGGGAGGAATGGATCTGCACACAAGTGGGCTGCGGGAAGGCGAAGGGGAAAAGCTTCATGACTGCGGCCGATCATGTCACTTCCGCCAACCATCTCATTCATCTGGAGAAGCTCGGCTCTGCCACTCGTGCCTCTCTCGAGCGGGCAAGCCTCAACGTCACGAAGAAGGAGTATGGGATCTGAAGCAAGAGCAACTTGGCAGACAGGCAGCGGTAGCAGTAGTAGTCCTCTCCGTAGTTGTTGTCGGTCTTCTTCTTACCCTGAGGATGCGTAGGGGTTCTAACCTTGTTATCAAATGAGTAAGAAAAGCCTTGTGAGCTTTGCAGGCCTCAATGTCAACGGCCTAGGAGATAAGACCAAACAACAACGCGTTCTAGACTGGTCCATACAGGCAGCTGACATCATTGTCCTCTCAGACACCAGACTAGTTTTAGATCACCCACTCTGGTCACACCCCACTTACAGCCTAGCAGCAGCAGCCTCGCCTAGATCCAAAGCCGGCGGTGTGGCCTTGCTCTGTAGATCGCCGGTCCTCAGCTTTAGTAGCGTATTAGTTCATCCCTCAGGCCGCTTAGTTTCCGCAGACATCCATGGCCTCGGCTTCAGCTTACGGTCATAGCCTGTTATTTTCCCGCCAATCCGACCTCCCATGCCACTTTCCTCCGCGACACCTTAGGCCCGGTGATAGATCTCATCCCGCCAGCCAATCACCTGCTCATTATAGGGGATCTTAATATCATAGAAGACCCGATATTAGACAAGTCGTCACGCTTAGGTTCCACTGCTGAAAACGATAGACTCTTCACTCGCTGCCAGACCTTCCAGCTCTCAGACGCCTTTAGAACGCTTTATCCGAGGAAACGGGAGTTTACCTTCTTCTCGCAAGCCCAACAAGCCAGTACGCGAATAGACCGTGCCCTTATTTCTCATTCTCTTCTTCCTCACCTGATCCAAGCTTCTCACGTTATGCCGGCTGATTATATTTCAGATCACAGCTTCGCGATTAGGATTGCCCTCCGCATAGATGCCAAAATCTGCCTCGGTCCCGGTCTCTGGAGGCTCCACGCTTCCATGGTTCATAAGCGGGGGGTTCGGAGGATTGTGGAAGCGACGGTGGAGAAATGCGCTGTCACGGACGGCAGCAGTTTTGAGTTGTTGCTATCTCGTCTGGCAGTCGGTCTTCGTGCCTTCGCAAGGGAGGAGGGTAAGCGGACTAAGGCAACGGCGACTCATTTGGTCGACGTGGTTGCGGAGCTTCGCCAGGTGATGATGCGGGACCCGACCTGCAAAGCAACGAGCGAGAAGTTAGCGCTGAAAGAAACGCAGCTGAGGGAATACCAGGCATCGCGTAAGGACAAGCTTCACCTGATGTCGGGTATGCGGCTGGAGCTAAGAGGGGAAGTTGCATCAGAGCACTTGACGGCGATGGTGCAAGCGAGAAAGGCAAGTACCCAGATCGCTGAGCTGCAAACAACGAGCGGCGTTGTCTCTGACTCTCAGGGTATTCTTCGGGCGGCATCAGCCTTCTTCGCTGATATCTTCGGAACGGATCGTTGTCAGTTGGAAGAGCAATGGAAACCTGAGAAGGGGAAAACGCTGCCGCCCTGGGAAGCGGCGGAATTGTCAGCTGACTGGACAGAAGAGGAGGTGAAGCGGGCCTTCAGCGCAATGGCTGCGAACAAATCTCCGGGGAAAGACGGCTTACCGAAAGAACTGTTTGAGGCTCATTGGGACTTGTTGGGAAAAGGCTTCATGGCACTGGCGAGAGTCTTCGCATCATCAGCGACTCTCTCAACGGAGGTGAAGGAGGCAGTCACCATCTTACTCCATAAAAAGGGTGACAAGGACCAACTTAACAACTACAGGCCTATCACTCTACTCAACTTTACCTACAAGGTGCTGGCGCGGGTCCTGGCAAACAGAATGAAGAAGTTCTTGGGCAGAGTGATATCGCCGGAGCAGTATGGCTTCTTACAGGGGAGGCGCCTGACAGACGCGGTGGGACTTGTGGCAGATATCATTGACACGGCGCGGAGAGATAACGAAGACTGGTTCCTCCTCCTTGTCGACTTCAAGAAGGCTTTCGACTCAGTCTCGCGGGGTTACCTCTTCCGGACGATGAGAGCGATGGGCTTTCCCGATCGCTTCGTGAAGTGGGTGGAAGGCCTGCACGAGGGAACACAGACACGACTGTTAGTAAACGGCTGGATGGGGGATGGTGTGGAGGTGGTGTCCGGCGTCAGGCAAGGATGTCCGCTCGCGCCATACCTCTTTTTGTGTGCGGTTGAGCCCCTGGCGCAGGCGGTCATCAAGCGGAAGATGGGAATCAGCAAGGCTAATGAGCGGCTGGCGTATATCGGCTACGCGGACGATACCACTCTGATCCTGGAAGGGAAGCAGCAGATCGTGAGAGCAGAACAGGTGTTGGCGAAGTTCGAGCTGACATCCGGATTAGCGACGAATCGGGAAAAGTCGGTTATCTTACCTCTGGGGAATAATCTTGGGAGGACGACCGGGCGGACCCATAACTTCCGGTGGGCGAAAAAAGATGAGGCGGAGAAGCTGCTTGGTGTATGGATCACCCCCTCCGGAAGCTGCCTGCCAACATGGGAGAAGACTGCAGAGGACATGTCAGGGAAAGTCAAAAAGTGGGAGCTGAAATACCTTCCAACGACGGCACGGTCGGCGGTGGTCAACAGCTACTCAATGCCGAAGGCGGCCTTCCAGGCGCAAGTCTATCCGCCTCCTGCGAAGCTGTGGGGCACAATCTCCAAGACATTTCAGAATTTTGTCTCTGGCAATAGAGCAACGGCTGACAGGGGGTTTTGACTCTGGAGGAAAGAACTATTGTTTACACCACGGAAGCTGGGAGGAGTGGGGGTGCACGATCCGGAGATGATATTAGCGTGTTTGACGGCGAGAAGGGTAGGCCTGATGGCGGTGGAGACTAATCAGCTGAAACGGCATCTGATGACGTGCGCGGCTGATCTGCCCATGAGCATCGAAACGTTCTTCGCCCATGAGAGGCTGCTGAAACACTGGGAGGGGAACAGCGTTCGGTGGAAGGTGGCGTGCGAAAACTTCATGAAGACGCCGCTGGGGAATATTCCTGAAGCAGACACCCAGGAAGCAGTGGCAAGTGAGCGGATTGTCTTCAACAAGCGGATTCTGCTGAAAGGTACCACGCCGGTCGGTGGTCAGCAAGATGCGAAACCTCTCCGGGAAAAACGACTGGGGATTTGACCAAGCTTGGGAGCAACGGCGCTCTGGAGCTGAAAGACTTGGCTACTCTGGAAAAGGAGCTCGGCGGAAAGGGACCGGCTAAGCTAGCGAGGAGGGCGTTTGAAGCTGCGCCACAGAAATGGAAAGAATTGCTGCTCAGCGCACCTAGTCAGGGGATGTGTGCGCCCAACTCGGCTGGCTCTCGGCGGGTGCACCTTTCAGCGGGGCGCAAACTCACGGACTTCCCCATCTTTGAGAACGGGGGGATTGCGCCACTGAAGCAGTTGAAACTACTGTGGAAAGAGGGGCAAAAGCCATCTGCGAAGCAGCTACTGTGGAAGGGCAGATGGAGGGGAAAGATTGATTGGAAAAAGACCATCGCCATCCGTGATTCTCTGGTTGTCCCTAGCAGACCGAGGGACGTTTTGCTGCGCATCCATAACCTGAATTTGCAAGTGGGGGAGAGAGTTGCTTTTTTGAGCAGCAGACCGACCTGCCCGTACTGTGGGGATGTTGAAACCCTCGAACACTGCCTCTACAGCTGCCCCAAGATCCAGACAGTCACCTCCGCGCTCCAAAAAACGCTCCGCCTGATGAACAGCTCACGAGCGGTGGAGTCCTTGGGGGATCTGCTGTTCCGGAAGGCGGGGTCCGGCACGGCTTTTCCGGAGGCCACGATCACCTCGATTCCTCTACATCAGCTGTGGGTGGAGCGCTGTGATGCGGCTTTCAGGGGGAAAAAGTTCCGGACAAAGCGGGTTCTCCGCCGGATAGAAACGGCCTTCCGGCTACATGCAAGGATCTACACGCGCTCGAGGGATGCGCAATGGCGGAAATGTCAGGGCACGCAACAAGAGGAGAAATTTCGTCGCATCAAAGAGGGAGAGGACAAGCTACTGTTTCGAATCAGGGACAAAAATTGCAAGTCGTGGACGTGGACGAAGGCCTTCTCGAATGTCTGGCTTGCACCGAGGGTGACTCACCGACCTCCATAGATGCCACACCTGGGGCAGCCAAGTGGGCGCCCCTCATGCACAGTTACGACTGTTATTGGTTATGTATGCTTGCTCTATCGGTGTACATATCAATTACCTAAAAAAAAAGGTAAATGTCGGTATTTACAAAAACCTTGGTTCGAGAAAACGATCCGAAGCAGCTCGGTCTATGCTGATGATAACGAACAGCGAACCAATCAATACCGATCCATTCTACTCGTCTGCTGCTGCTCTCCCAATCCATTCGGCTGTGCCCTTCGCAATGCCTATCGATGCAAATTGCGATTTAGCCACTCGCATGGTCTTATTCCGCGATTGTAGCGCAGTCTTAGACACCATGGTTTCCGTTAGTAGCACTTTTCAGTGCAAACGGTTTCTCTCTCCGCACAATGCTCCCCTCGCTTGCAGCACAGTCAGCTACAGTCACCGTCTTTCGCGGCACGAGACTCCATATGTGACAACCAGTTGGCTGCATTCCCAAGCCACAACTGGTGCTCGTAGATTAAGTTGTAAGTCGACACAATACAAGCCATCTCCTTCGATTCGCAACACTACTGGTAACGCGACGTCCAATAAAGCGATTTTGAGTGGCAGCAGGATTGATACGAACAGTCACGTGCGTAGTAAGACATCATTTACTAACGGGGCGGCTTCTAGCGAGCGTGTCAGTCAGGGAGCTATTTCAACGACCAGTAGTAATAGCAATAGTCATAGAACCGGCGCCGACGGCGCTAGCGCGATGCGCGGGGATGGCACGCGCGTGAAAGCCGCAGCGAGCGACGCGACTGGCGGCGACGCGGCGGCTGACGGTCAGGTGTTCGCCGTGACTGGCGCTACAGGGTACGAGCGGAAGCGCAGTGTGGTTTGCGTGCTGACCTCATATCGCGTACAATGCCAAGTTTCAAAGAGTGGCTGTCATTCAGGTGCTCACAGCGAGTGGCGCTGCTGCTGGTTACACTTCAGTGTCAGTTCCCGAATGCAAAGCATCACCACCCTTCTACACCCATTTACACCTCTCTACACCCATCTACGTCCATCCACGCACCGCTGTACAGATTCCTGGGCTCGCATCTCCTGCAGCAGCTGCTAGCAGCGGGCCACACAGTCAGGTGCCTCTGCAGGCAACCCAACACCCTGCCACCCCACCCCAAAGTTGAGGTAGGTCTTGAATAATCTTAAACTGTCGCCACTTTTCCACAATCACTAGGTGCTTCTGCAGACAACCTTATGGCCTGCCACTTCACCCACTTATCCAGGCAGGCTTTATGCAAGGCGATTTTTGAGAATTCTCAAATATTAAAGCAGGCTTTATGCAAGGCGATTTTTGAGAATTTTCATATATTAAGGCTGGCTTTATGCAAGGCGTCTTTTGAGAATTCTCAGATATTAAGGCTGGCTTTATGCAAGGCGAATTTTTGAGAATTCTCAAATATTCAGGCAGGCTATATGTAAGGCGATTTTTGAGAATTCTCAAATATTCAGGCAGGCTTTATGTAGGAGACAACGGCCAAAGCCACCAGTTGCTTCTGCCGGTATCCCAACACCCTGCTGCCCCACCCATGCACACTTCCAGGTAAGTTTTGAGTCACACACTCCCTCACTCCTTCCCTCCCTTCCTACCTTGCTGGCTCCCTCACAATTCTTGCCCCAGGTGGTGATAAGGTCCCCCTCCCCTCCTCCCATGATGAAGACCTTTGCTGGCTGAAACGCGTTCGCACGCACATCCGGGCCAAAGTGTCTGGCTTTCTGATTAGTAGACCTTTTCTTACTACCCTCGCCTTTTAGATTAGTCGACTAGTGCTATAGATCGTTACTCTCAGCAGGCTTGCTGCGTTTCGAACCCAACGAATTTCAACGGTCGGTGGTGATAAGGTCCCTTTCACCCCCCTCCCCTTCTCCCATGATGCCTTGTCTAACGCTCCTCCCCCTCCGGCCTCTTCTGTTGCACACGCCACGCCTGGCTCTCTCTTCTTCCCCTCCTCCCATACCAACCCCTTCTCCCTCAGGTGGTGATAGGATCACTCTCTGACCCCTCTGCCCTCGAACCCCAGGAGCACCTCCAAGGAGCACCTCAGGGCTCTTCCACCCGCCCACAGTACCCTGCTCCTCAGGCGGTCGCTCGTTGGAACTCTCTCCGACCAACTTCTCTCGACCTGAGAGTCCCCTCTGCCCTCGAATTACCTCTCCAAGGCATCGCGGGTCTCTTCCACCCGCCCACAGTACGAGGTGACTTTTGAGTCGACTCAAAAGTCACCTCAGGGCTCTTCCACCCGCCCACAGTACCCTGCTCTCCCCTCCGTCCCTCCCTCCGTCCCTCCCTGACTTCCTCCCCAAGCTTGTCTCTCCCTCAGGTGGTGATAGGATCCCTCTCAGACCCCTCTGCCCTCAACACCCTCCTCCAAGGCACGTCAGGTCTCTTCCACCTAGCAGGAGTCGTCATCCGCTCACCACGCTTCCCTGACTTCTTTCTCTCTCCCCCTTGCTAACCCCTATCCCTCAGGTGGTGATAGGATCTCTCTCAGACCCCTCCTCCCTCGATAACCTCCTCCAAGGCACATCAGGTCTCTTCCACCTAGCAGGAATCGTCATCCACTCACGCGCTGCCACGTCAGCACCACCACCGCCACCACAACAAAACCCTGACCCCACTTCTCCCCCTCAACCGAACTCCACCGCACAGAACCCCTCCCTCGACCAAACCACCGTCGACGGCACATTAGCCGTGCTCGAAGCGGCTCTTAAAGCCGGGGTAAAGCGGGTCGTCTACGCATCCACGTCAGGGACTGTGGGTGCTTTCAAAGAGCCCCGATTTGTGGCGAGTGATAGTTCGCCGTACGCGAGGGAGGTGGTGGGGGGGTGGCCGTATTACCGGGCGAAGATCGAGGCAGAGGAGAGGGCGAGGGGGTATGCGGAGCAGCATGGGTTGGAGCTCGTTTGTATGCGACCCACTCTCATTCTGGGACCAGGTGGGTTTAAGCACACCGTTTGGGGCACCTTCTCAGCTTACACTTTTGATACGAAGAGGCTTGGAGTTGCAGAGAGGCATAGCATGGCATGGCATGGCATGGCATGGCATGGCATGGCATGGCATGGAGCTGGTGTGCATGCGACCCACTCTCATTCTAGGACCAGATGGGTTGGGAAAACCAGAAGACAAACCCTCCCGCTTGCACATGAATCGAGTGAAGTGAGAAGCCTGGGCGTTTTTCTAGCTTTATTCACTACTTCTCATGCAAAAGAGGTGGTGGGGGGGTGGCTGTATTACCGGGCGAAGATTGAGGCAGAGGAGAGGGCGAGGCTTGATACGGTGAGGCTATGAGTCACGGAGCGGCACGGCACAGGATGGCATGGGATGGGATGGGAGGCATGGCATGGCATGGAGCTGGTGGCATGCGACCAACATTCATTCTGGGGCCAGGTGGGGTGAACTTTGAGAATACACCTTCATATTCTGGGTGACTATCATCTCGTGCTGCATGTCACTCACCTGCCATGCACCACCCACTCACACACACCACACCCCACCTTCCAGGATACTACCACCTCAGCTCATGCCGCACAGCGCAGGATCGATGAGTGCAGGATGCTGCGCAGCGCAAGGCGCATGTGCAACATGTGACTGCATTCCCCGCCCACACACACCCCATGCCAACCAGGCGACACCCTACAAGGCACCACCCTTACAACCCTCCCCCCTCCCCTCGCCCCCCCCGTTTTCCTCCCCCCGCTGCCCGCATGTATACTCCACCCCACCCTCCAGGCGTCTACCGCCTCAGCTCGTGCCGCACAGTGCTGGACATCATGAAACGCTGCATCCCCACAAGTCACCGCCCCTTACAACGCTTTCCCCCCACCACCGTCTTTCTCCCCCCACATGTGTGCACCGCACCCACCAGGCGACTACCGCCTCAGCTCGTGCCGCACAGTGCTGGATATCATGGAGCGCCGCATCCCCTTTGTGCCACGTGGCGGCCTCTCATTCGTCGACGTGCGGGACGTGGTACGTATGAAATTATCCTCCCCAAACTCCACACACCTCCTTAAAGCCCGGGTTTGGTATGTGCAATGAAACCTGGCCTTTGCTTTCGTCGCAGCCATGCAATGCGCCTCTCCCAACTCGACCTACCTCCTGCGGTGGAGTTGCTCTATCCATATGATACGAGCTGGTTTTTGAGAATTCTCAAAATCCTGGGGTGAAGTTGCTCTATCCATATGATACGAGCTGGTTTTTGAGAATTCTCAAAAACTCCTGGGGTGGAGTTGCTCTATCCATATGATACGAGCTGGTTTTTGAGAATTCTCAAAATCCTGCGGTGGAGTTGCTCTATCCATATGATACGAGCTGGTTTTTGAGAATTCTCAAAATCCTGCGGTGGAGTTGCTCTATCCATATGATACGAGCTGGTTTTTGAGAATTCTCAAAATCCTGCGGTGGAGTTGCTCTATCCACATCGCCGTCAACATGCCACTGGGCTGCAGTTGCTCTAGTCCTTGTGGCCCTCTCCCAACCAGACCAATCGTTACATTGCATTCTCCTCCCATCCCATCCACCCCATGTGTTTCATTCCAGGCCTCTGCTTTCATCGCTGCCATGCAGTGCCCCTCTCCCAACCCCACCTACCTCCTCGGAGCTGTCAACATGACCTTATCTGATTACTTCCAGCTCATCGCACGCTGTGCTGACGTGGCGCCGCCGTGGCTGTCCGTGCCGCCACGTGTCGCATGGGTATTGGCTGCCACCGCGTCGAAACTCCTGCCTCTGATTGGCCGGAAGGACCCGTCGCTTGACCCTGTGGTCGTTGAAATGGCACAGGTCTACTGGTGAGCGAGTGAGGGTGTGGGAATGAGATTCAGCATGAGTGATAGTGAGTGTGAGCGTAAGATTCAGGGTGAGTGAAAGAGAGCGTGTGTGTGAGGTTGAGTGAAAGTGAGCATGCATGAGTGTGAGAGAGGGTGTGATTATTATATTGAGGTTGAAGGTGTGTTAATGTTACAGTGAGTGGTTGTCAGAGTGAGGTTTAGTGTGTGAGTGTGTGTGTGTGTGTGTGTGTGTGTGTGTGTGTGTGTGTGTGTGTGTGTGTGTGAATACGACTGTGAGAGTGAGTGCGCAAGTGTGATTACTAGAGTGTGAGATTGAGTGTGCAAGCGTGACGAGCATGAGCACCATCAGCATCTCCCTCCCCCTCCTCCTTCCCCTCCCCCCCCCCTCCCCCAATACATAATCAGGTACATTGACTGGAGCTGGGCAACAAAGGAGCTTGGGTTCACCCCTCGGCCATACGAAACAACAGTGGCTGATACAGTGGCATGGCTAAAAGAGCACCGGGAACAGTTGAGGGACTAATTTGCGTACGAAATGCATAGATTTATTGTTTGACTAGAAAGCGACGATGGCTCACATGATGTAGCATGAAGAGCCTTTTATTTTAAGCGGTAGATTATCATTAAGAATGTTAAGATAAGTCTACGGAGATCAAGCAGGCAGAGGCATCTAGCTAAAGCAACTTGCATGAACCACTTAAATCACAATGCATAATTTAGTATTGGTGTATATATAGATGGTTTGTTTGATGCCATTCAGAAAACAGAGTATAACTTCGTCATTATTGTATACTCCAATTATTGGCGAGACGCAAGTATGGTACGGAATACAAGTTCCGCTGTCGCCGCATGATGCGGCGAGAGGTCTTATCGAAATTGTGACGCGACGCTGCCAGCATTGCGCGGCTCAACCGCACCACACCTACACACACCTGTTCAACCCACCTCACCCACCTTCCGGAACGATGGGTCGGATAAATGTTTTCGCCTACCCTGCCTCAGTCGACCCCCGATTGTTCTTAGCGCACCCAGCCTGTATGTCCTCTCCGCGCTTGGCGCAGGCGACATACAACATGAATTATTGTCGGGGTGTGGGGAGTGGTGGAGAGCATACTGATACTGTCAAGAGCGGCCAGACGAGCCGTTGTAAACAGACGAGCCCGCTTCCAGCGATAAGCAGCTTTCTGCATATTTATGTCGTATGTCCAGTAACCAATACTCACGTTCAGTCATCACTCCTCACTCTGAGTACCACTAGTGACCAGTAATAGCCAGCCGACAACTTTCGATTGACATTAGCTTTTCACCCAGGGATCTCACCGCCTGTCCCCTCCTGTCCAGAACATTTCGACGCGGCCGCAGCAATGGCGGGACGTGCACCAACGAAGAGCCTTCGCTTCGTTTTCGTCCTCGCGCTAACCTTCGCGTGCCTGGCCTCCCTCCACGCGGCGGCAGCATCGGCCCGCCCCGGCCCCGGTGCCCCTGAGATCGACGCGAATGAGGCTATGCGGCAGGCCTCCCGCGGACTGGCGGAGGAGGAGGAAGAATTGCCCGCCCACTTGGGGGGGAGCGCTTCGTCTGCAAATTCAGTGAAGCTGGACAAAACACCCGGCAGCACGGCGGAGGAGGAAGAGGGCTACCACTGGGCAATGGGGGGTACCACGAATGACCGCGCGGGTAGTAACTCCGCGAGTAGCCGCGCCGCGGCGGCTGATCGCGCGGCTGAACCCGCGGCTGATTCAAAGTCAGGAGGAGGATACTTTGGCGGCTGGACGAAGGGACTCAGTAACAGCTTTTCGAGCGCAGGGCGCTCCATCACGAATGGGTTCGATACCGCACGGCACCATGCCATCTCCGCTACAAACAGCTTCGCGGAGGGAATTCAAGACAGCGCGGAGGCCGCCAGAGACGCCGCCGTTTACGTCGCAAACAACCCGGGCAAGACTCTGAGGAAGTCGCTTTCGGACGCGGCGCTAACGGCGGCGGATATTGCGCACGAAACGATAACCGCGAACAGCCACGAGGCACTAATGAATGCGGGTGCGGGGTTCGCCGTTGGCGGAGTGCCCGGGGCGCTGTTGGCAGGAGGCGGAACGTATCTGCGCGGCGCACACGCGGCGGCGATGCGGAAGATGGGGAAGATTGGTTCGGGGGTCGCGGTAGTACCGTCCCTGCCAGTGCTGGAGCACGCACAGCCGTAAACAGCGACGCGGCATGGTGTGTTGTGGTTTGGTTGGTGTTGTGTGGGGTGGGGTGTGGCGCGGTATGGTGTGGTGCGTGACGTGGTTGTGTGGTGAGATGCGGTGCGTGGCGTGGTGGAGTGGTCTGGTCTGGTCTGCTGTGTGACATGATGTGATGCGATGCGTCGCCTTGCGCGGCCTTGTGTGGCCGTGGCGGTGTGACGCCTGGGGTGTGAGCATGCAGCAATAGCGGAGCATCTGGGGCAGAGTGTAACCGCTGGTGTTAGCCTTGTTATGTGGCGGTGGTGTTGGCGCCTGCTGTCCTGCATCATGCTGAAGAGAAGCAATTGATGTGCAAGAGACTCTGGCGCCAGGTTTGGGAGGGCTTGGAGCTGGTTACCCTACCTGCTGTCCTACATCCTGCTGAACCGAAGCAGTTGATCTGCAAGTGGCAGCAGCGACGCCAGCAGCGACTGCTTGCTGAAATAATTACTGCCCTTTTTCGTTTTTGTCTAGTTTAGCTAGAAAGAGTTTCTTGGGATGGTGCCTGTGTGTGAAGAAGTTGGGGAAGTGCATGCGTGGGTGTGGTGGTTAATGCATGTGTGTGCAGAAGACGGGCTTATGTGCATGGCAGGGTAGGGTAATATGGTAGAACGCAGGGGTGGATGCATGTACTCAGGCTTATTATAAATCCTATGTGCTTTTTAAAAGAAACAACAACAAAGGATAGGGGGCTCCCTTTCAAGCATTGTGCTCTACTCCAAACTTAGGAACTGCATTGTACTTCGGCCATTCACTCCTGTGTTATTCGTCTCTGCACTAATCGGGCTGCTCATACTGTTTGTCTCTAGAGATACTGCTGGTTCCTACCCACTTGTCAACCACTCACGCTCCTGTTGTGATAATCACTTCCCTCTCTCATTTACTGCTCTCTCTATGCCGTACCATCCCTCCCTGCGTCTCTTCTCCATTCAATCTCTATTCCAAGCACATTTTTCCCTGAATAATCCAGGGAAAGACGACAGACAACTCTGATTTTCAGAGTTTGTTTCCCAACAACACTGTGAATCAGGTTAGTGAAATATGAAGAGAAAGCCCTGGGATGGGGAGAAAAGGGGGGAGGATGCTTTCAAATTACTATATCTTGTTCTGCTTACCACTACAAGGAACTTGGTTTCTGTACCTTAATTTTGCCTTGTAATTTATCAGGCTTATTAAAACAATGTTATAATCAGGTTAGGGGTGCTTTGTTATTGTATCGAGGACCTCTTTGCGAAGAGACAAGTTCTATTGCCGCCGCATTTTGCGGCAAGATCCTTGCTCAATGTGCGGTGCGGGGTTACCAATAATTGCACGCACCAACACCACACCACACCTGCACAGCGCGCTGCACGCCCATCACCACCCCATCATCCAGATCGCAAAGTCCTTCGAAACCTTGCTGGCACCGCTGGTGCCGCGGTGCATTTGAATGAAAGACCCCCACTCAAGCAGATGTGCCCAGTCAATAATGCTTGAATGGCCATTTGGTCCACGGTTACTGCAGTCACAGCGCGATTACTGCTGACGCATAGAGCTGCATGCCAACGGAAATCTGCATCAGGAACCTTTTTGGCGACTTATAATAATTTTCCGAAATGTACGGCGCCTAGAGGTGTTGAGCTAGCCCATTGTCCGCCGACCCGCCCGCCACCCGCGGCGGTCATCTCATGATCCGCCGCGTGGCGCAATCGACGCGCACGATTAGAATTCGCTTCACCCAGCCCCTGCGAGCAATAACTGTGAGCGGCGAAAGTTCTGGCTCTGCCACCGCCGTAGACGGAAGTTTTGAGGCGCCTCAAAACGAAAGTTCTGGCTCTGCCACCCACCGCCGTAGACGGAACGTCGCCGTTCCTCAAGGCTGCTCCCGGCCCAAACGGAGATTAACAGCGTCGCTGCCGTCTATATATACCGTCAGATTCCGTATTCAGTCAGTCAACACTCGGCGCATACGAGCACTATTAGCGCAGCCTCGAGAAGTGAGATCTGAAAGTAACAAGTTTGTCATCGACTGTCTCGTTGTTCGCGCATTCGACGCAGCCATGGGTGCCCTTCTTCGCTTCGGTTTCGTCCTCGCTCTAACTTTCGCATGCCTCTCCTCTCTCCACGCGTCGGCATCGCCGGGAAAGGCGGCCCGTCTCCGTGCCGCCGAGATTGACGCGAGTTCCATTCGCGCTCTACAGGCGGCCTACCGCAGTCTGCTGGAAAGCGAGCTTGCGGCGGCTGATTCAGCAAATTCGGTGAACCTGGACATGGCTGCGAGCGGCGGCGGGGAGGAGGAGAAAATGGCGGCTGACACGGATCATGGCGGTGCGGATGAGTTGCTAACTGAAACAGGGCGAGAGCTGTTTGGCTGGCAGGGCGTGAAGGACAAATTCAACAACGCCAGAAACAGGGTCAGAAACAGCGTCGACACCGTCCGAAACAAGGTCAATACCGCCACAAACAAAATCGCGAATGGCGCCAGAACGAGTGTCCAGACCGTGAAAAACACGGTCGTGACCGTCGCGAATGACCCGAATGTGAAGAGTGCGATCGCGAAGGCGGGGCGCGCTGCAGGGGAGATCGCCAAGGAGGCGGTGTCAACGAGCGGGCGCGACGCGCTCGTGAATGCGCGTGAGGGGTTCGCCTCCGGCGGAGTGGCGGGGGCTGCGGCGGCGGGTGGCGGAACACTCCTGCGCGGCGCAGAGGCCGCGACTCTGCGCCGGATTCAGAGCCGCGGCGCAGCGCCTGCAGCGTAGAAGAATGCGACGGGCTTGTCGTAGCCGCGCTGCAGGCGCTGCGCCGGATTCAGAGCCGCGGTGCAACGCCTGCAGCGTAGGAGAATCCGCAGCCTGCGATTTAAACAGCGACGTGGTATCGTGTGGTGTGGTGTGGTGTGGTGTGGTGCGTGACGTGGTGATGTGGTGTGGTGGTGTGGCGTGGTGCGTGCTGTGGTGGTGCGATGTGGTGCGTGACGTGGTGATGTGGTGTGTTTTGGTGCATGTCGAGGTGCATGTTTTGGTGCATGTCGTGTTGGTGTGGTCTGCTCTGGTGTATGCCGTGGTGGTGTGGTGTGCTGTTCTCTGTGGTGCGGCGTGGCCGTAGCGCGGTGTGTTTTGGTGCATGTCGCGTGTTGCATTGCATGGTGGTGTCTGGTCAAGTGTGGTGCAGTGCGATGTTCTGTGTGGTGGCGTGGCCGTAGCGTGGTGTAGCGCCTGGCATGTGAGCATGCAGCCATAATGACGGAGCAGCTGGGACAGAGTGCAACTGCCATGATGGGGTCTGCTGCTAGCTCCGTGATGTGCCAGTGCTGCTAAACCTGGCAGCGTGGCGTGGTGGAGTGCTCTGGTCGGGTGTGTGCCATGGTGGCGTGATGTGATGCGATGCATGGCTTTGTGTGGCCGTGGCTTTGCATGGCTTTGGGTGGCTGCCAGTGTTATCCTTGTAATGTGGCGATGGTGCTGGCGCCTGCTGTCCTGCATCATGCTGAACAGAACAAGTAGATTTGCAAAAAGCCGTGGCGCCAGCTTTGAAAGCGCTTGGGATATCCAGCTGGTTACCCTGCCTGCTGAGCTGCAAGCAGAAGCAGCGGCACCAGCAGAAGGAATTGATCTGCTAGCGGTAGCAGCGACGCCATCAGTGGAAGATATTGGGACATGCGAATGTCTGCGTTTCCTGCTGAAGCATTTACAGGCCTCTTTTCGTTTTTTATATAGTGTAGCAGGGAAGAGCGCCTTGGAATGGTGCATGTGTGGGAAGGAGTTGGGAAGTGCATGTGTGCGTGCGGTGGGGTTACTTCATGCATCTGCATGCATGCATGTGGGGGCTTATGTGCATAGCAGGGTGGGGTATTATGGAATGGTAGATAGCAGGGGTGGATACCTGTACTCAGACTTATCACAAATCTAGTTTGCTTTGGAAAATAGACACACACACACACACACCACACACACACACACACACACAGACACACACACACACACACACACACACACACACACACACACACACACACACACCGATTGTTTCTCTTTGTTGCCTTGCATTCCAAACTCAGGAACAGCAGGCCTTGTCATATCCGTCACTACTGCACTGCCTGTCGCGAGAAATACTACTGGTTCCTACCAACTCATGTCTCAATCTTCACACTTCTCAACCACTCCCATTCCTTCTGTAGAGATGTCACCTCCTCTCTCCTTCCTTTTCTCTTCATGTAAATTTTGCCTTTTTTTTCTTTGCCCAATTTCATTCCCTTTACCTCCAGCTCTCTCCTCCCCTCCCTTCCCTCTTTTCCTGTATGTTCTCTTCCTTCTTAACTGCTCTCCTCTCTCCCCACCCCACACCTCGCTATCCCCTCTTCATTCAACATCTCCCCTTCTGCTAAGTTCCTTCTGTCCAGTTCCTCCCATCTTTCTCTGATGCGACTCTCCTCCAGTTAATCTCCGCTTCAAAAAGCAAAGTTCTCTGAATATCTGGGGAAAGACAACGGACAACTCTGATTTACCGAGTTTGTTTCACAACACTGGAATTCAGGGTAGTGAAAAATGAAGAGAACGCCCTGGGATGGGGAGGAAGGGGGCGGATGCTTCCAGTATGAAATATGTTTCAGTTGCAAAGGTACATAATTTTACACCTTCATGAAACGTGATTTTAAACCTTAATTTTTACCTTGTGATTTTTTGGCTGAATATAAGAATGTTCTAAACAGTATAGGGCTACTTTGTTATGTTCGTAAAAATGGAGCACTTCCTTGCGAATACACAAAATCACCTGTTCAATTGCCACCGCATTATGCGGTGGGATGTTTGCTGACTGTGCGGCGCGGGGTTACCAATAATTGCACGCACCAACACCACACCTGCACACCCATACCCATCCCCCCCAACATCCAAATCGCGACGTCCTTCGAACCCAAGGTCCTTCAAAACTACGGCGGGAGTCCTAAACTCGACCAGATGTGTCTGTAGTCTAGAAGCCCTGAGGTGGCCATTCGATACGCGATTATTGTAGCGCGATAACCGCTAACGCTTACATATCTGCGCCAAAGAAGCCGCTTACCAGCAAACTTTATTGGCGACGCGATATGATTTTCCGAGATGTGGGGCGAACAGAGACTGAGTAGGTTTTGAGCTAGACCATAGACCGCCGAACCGCCCCCCGTGGCGTGGCGCAATCGACGCGAGGCAACCTCACGACGCGCCCAGCCAGAATTCACTTTACTCAGCCCCTGAAAATCATGCTGCTAACAATAACTGTGAGCGACGAAATTTATGGCGCCGCTGCTCTACGTCGCCTTTGCTCGTGGCGGCTCCGGGTGATTAACAGCCGCTGACGTCTATTTAACACCGTCATAACCAGTCGTAAGTCAATTCACTCTCCGCTAAGAGTACAGTTCGACTACCAGCCTAGCCAGATTTGAAGATTACAACTTGTGATTGACTGTCAGTTTTCTCGAACATTCCACGCAGCCATGGGTGCTCTTCTTCGCGTCACTTTCGTCGTCGCCCTAACGTTCGCATGCCTGTCCTCACTTCACGCGGCGTCTCCGCCGCGAAAGCTGGCCCTTCCCAATGCCGCCGAGATCGACGCAAGTTCCATACGCGTTCTGCAAGAATACGACGGCGCAGCGGCTGATTCGTCTGCAGATTCACCGAACCTGGACATTGGCGGGTTCTATGCAAGCGGCGGCGGAGAGGAGGAGGAAGCGGGGGCTATGATGGACAATGGCGAGGATGATTCGCGGAGAGAGCTGTTTGGCTGGGGTGATATCAAGAGCGGGTTTCAGAACCTAGGGAACAAGATCAACAATGCTGCGAATGACGTCAAAAACAAGGTCAACGCCGCTGCGAATGATGTCAAAAACAAGGTCAACGCCGCTGCGAATGATGTCAAAAACAAGGTCAACGTCGCTGGACAGCACATTGGGAAGGGTGCCAAGCATGGGTTCGAGGCCGTCAAAAACGTGGCCCACAAAGTGGCGACAGACAAGGAGCTGCAGAAACAGATCATCACTACTGTTAAGACAACCGCAGAGGTTGCCAAGACCGTTGCGCCATTGATTGCATAGGCTGCGATACAAACGGCGGTGCGGTGAGGTGTGGTGCATGGCGTCGTGGTGTGGTGAGGTACGGTTTGGTGTGGTGAGATGTGGTCCATGACGTGGTAGTGTGGTGGTCTGGTGTGTGCTGTGGTGATGTGGTCTGATGGCGTGGTGGTGTGATCTGCTTTAGTGTGTGTCGTTACAGTGTGGTGCGGTGTGGTCTGATGGCGTGGTGGTGTGATCTGCTTTAGTGTGTGTCGTTACAGTGTGGTGCGGTGTGGTCTGATGGCGTGGTGGTGTGATCTGCTTTAGTGATAGTGTGTATCGTTACAGTGTGGTGCGGTGTGGTCTGATGGCGTGGTGGTGTGATCCGCTTTAGCGTGTGTCGTTGTGGTGTGGTGCAGTGCGGTCTGATGGCGTCGTGGTGTTGTCTGGTCTGGTGTGTGCCGTGGTGGTGTGGTGTGGTGTGGTGTGGTGTGGTGTGTTGTGGTGTGTGTGTGGTGTGTCGCCTGGCGTGCAAACATGGAGCCATAGGAGGGACAGCTGGGGCAGATTCCAACAGCCACGTCGGCGCTAATAGCTGCTATCTCTGCAATGTGGCAATGGTGCAAGCACCTGCTGACCTGCAACACGCTCAACAGAAGCCGTTGAGAGGCAAGAAGCAGTGGCTTGGCGCCAGTTTTTGAAGTGCTTGGGATTCCAAGCCGGCTTTCCTGCCTGCTGTGATGCATCATGCCGACCATAAGCAGTTGCACCATGCCGTGGTGGTGGCAGTGGTTTTGAAATTCTCGGCAGACCATCTTTCTCGAGTGTAGCAGGGTGAAGTTTTTTCGGGTGGTGAATGTGTGTGAAGAACTTTGGGCTGTGCTAGCGTGTGTGAGGGGGTCACCCGGGGGCGCACATGGGTGTGTGAGAGGATGGGAGTATGTGCACGGCAGGGTGGGGTGGTATGGTGAATTGTTGCGTAGATTGTTGAGTTGGCTGTTATGTACTCAAGCCCATAATGAATATTATTAATTTTCTTATTCTAGAACATAATTACGGTACAGGAGGAGGTACTGTTGAAGCATTTGGATTCAGGGAATTCTGAAAGAACTGCCTGCTACCTTACTATTGGAAATTGAAATCACTCTTGCCACATCTTTCACATCATAACCCCTGCTTCCTAGCTCCCGGTCCCTACACTCCCCATCTCCATTGCTTCTGTTCCTTTTCCATTCCTCTCTGCTTCCTCTCCCCTCCTCTCCTCTCCTCTCCTCTCCTCTCCTCTCATCATCTCTCCTCTCCTCACATTTCCACTCCCGCCTCTCCTCCTCTCCACTTCTCTCCCCTATGATAATATAACCACTGTGTTTTGAAACTCCCGCTTCCCATGTTCACATCTTCTCCTTGAGTAGCCTTTCCACATCTACTGTTTTCAGCGCCTTGTATTTCCCCACCCCCAGGTCTCTTGGCAACCGCAAAGATCCAATCCCAACTCTCTTCAACCCAAGCACCTCCAAACCAGCAACTTCGGCAAGCCTCCGAACCTCCCTGTTCCTCCCCTCCGCCACCACCACCCGCACCTGTTCCCTCCCCTTACCTCCGCTTCCTCCGCCCCCTTTATTGTCACTATCTGTTACAACGTCGAGAGCTACGGGTGTGCAGAGCACACCGTCGATGTCGGTCCCTACGGCCATTGTTGCCAGCTGGCACTTGGTGATTGCCTCTGAACTGTGA